AAATAAACACCTTTGAGCTTTGCACACCTGGATTGTACAATATTTGACCATTATTGTTTTAAAAATCCTTCAAGCTTTGTCAAGTTGATTGTTGATCATTGCTAGACAGCCATTTTCAAATCTTGCCATAGATTTTCAAGACGATTTAAGTCAAAACTGTAACTCGGCCACTTAGGAACATTCAATGTCGTCTTGGTAAGCAACTCCAGTGTAGATTTGGCCTTGTGTTTTGTGGTCATTTCCTTAGTAGGTGATGTCAGAGGTCAGCATGTGGGAGAAGTGGGAGCTACGATGATAGACGAGTTTCCCACTAGTAATTACCAGTTGGCAGGGCGTTCAAGTGGATTTTTCCCAATCGTATGTGGTAAATAACCACTTCTCCCTTGGTTACAAACGTAGCATATGGGTTGAATATACCCTCCCCTTCTGAAATTCGAAAGATGCGCACCTGTGAAATCGTGATTTGTCCAAATAACCAGTGACGAAAAACCCATGCACTGGAACTATTGCTGCTCATTAGCTATAGGTGCCAATACTATAAAGACAGATCTACGGTACCATTTATGTTTACGTAGTCTGCCCACTAGAAATTACTTCTGCTTGAACACACAGATTATTGTTAAAGAGGTAATCATGACTTTATTGAGGATCAGGTCAAGTGGTGCCCTAATCTGACAGCTCCTAATGTCAGTAGAATGGAGGCAAGGACAAAAAGATGACCTATTGCAGAGGTGATGGTGCATGCAGTGCCAAACCGAAGCGCCATGACAGGATGGATTAGGATCGAATCCTCATTGGTCCATCAAAACAGGAAGTCCAGAGAAAAACCAAGCCAGCTTCGGCCATAGTGACTTACACAATAGACCAATCCAAATCACATCAAGTAAAGTTAAATATTTGTATGGCACACAATGTTTGCTGGAGAATGTTTGTCTTGATCACACCGATAGCGTCATTGCGCAAAATAGTACGCAGCATCATCTGGATATGTGTGCAACAAATGTTCAACATTCACTTTCTGCTACCATTTCTGTCAAGCCCTCTACGCATACAGTTTGACGCATATGTTCGATAAATCCAATGTATGCAACACACAGAACGCACTGCAACTGCCTCTGCAACGCAAGGCAAACGCAGCGTTCCATTGGAATTGAATGTACTTCTGGTGTACTAAAATGTAATGACGCAGTAGGTGTGATCGATGCGTATCCCAAGCAAGCAAACATAAGATGACAGTGTCTATGATTCATTATGATTCAATTTGATTTTAGGATTCAATTTAATTTTGGTATTATATCGTGTCCTTGACATTTCATGTAACACTAGGACCAATTAGCACTTGTTCCACCTGTTGAGCCTACATACTCATCAACACCATCATGTCTGTGAGGACTGGTTTGGCCAAGCCACTCATCAAATCAAAGTTTATTGGTCGTGTACACAGTTTAGCAGATGTTATAGTGGGTGCAGCAAAATGTTTATGTTACTAGCTCCCAACAATGCAGTAAAATGTCAAACAAGTACACAAATAATAAAATAAAATAAAACAAGAAGAAGAAATCAAGAAATCCAGCACATTCACAGAGAAATTTCACTTGAGGTGTCAGAAACTCAAGGCAATCATCCTACATTGTTCGTTACAGCACAGTTCATTTAACATTTAAATAGAACAGAAACATTTCTTCACACTAGACCATTTCCTGGAAAATTAGGTCCCAGTCGTATCAACAATGTTATTTGAAAAACGATTTCCTTTTATTAATGATAACAGCAATTTACAGTTAAAATACCATCTCAGTTATGATACTGCATGCTGAAATGAAGGAAACAACCATAAAAAAAACGTGCTAACACTACAGTAGGTTTCTTTTGGCAATTTGGTGTTTTATAGAATGCACAAGATTTGTGTCCAGTGATTCCCCCTCCTCCTCATCATCAGTAAAGGCTAGATCCAAATGAATGCAAGTTTAAATATATGTATGCAATAATAATCAATGTCCAAAAAATATGATTTTTATTTATTCAAATATTACATAATTCTTTATTCAAATAAGTTTGAATGACATGTATGGAATGGAATTATTCAATTGCGTTTTCCATACGCATTTGACCCTTACTGCTCACCATACTGCCATGTGTTTTTGGCAGTTCTGGAACAGAGGTATAGTCTGAGGTTTATTGAAATTACAGATATTGGTTGATCATTTTTAGGTAGAAAGTTTGTATTACAGTCTGTAATGTAAAGGTGTAGACGTTTAAAATACTGCATATTTTGTGTGGAATAAGCTTTCGCGTGCTGCAATCTAACGTTATTGTCTATTCAGTGCAGTGGCCAACTAGCTTAGGAGTTAGCTCACCAAATTCATTAAACTTTGCTAGCTAGCTAGGTATAATTTCCACAGACGTTCTGTTAGTTTGTATCTTACTTACTGCCAACTGTAATTGTGTGTGTTCTTTGCGAGTTATCAAGCCCTCAAAATGATTAACCTAGCTGAAGGTGAAAGTGACTTGGATGTACAGTAACGTTAGCTGTAGCTTGATAGCTAGCTAGCTACTGAACCAGTATATTTGCGTTAGAGACTTCTAACGCCCAGAAAGCTCTGATTCAAACTCCCATTCACCAGCTCTACAAGCGTTAATATGTCAAAATACGTTAATTGATCACCAAATATGGAGTTTCGCTGAGCAACTATCTCCATTTACTCCCGTTATGGCCGGTATGTACTTCCAAAAAATGGCTAAATAAAATTTTACATGCAACAGAAGAACAAAAAAAGCCTATTCGGCACCTCCAAATGTGTATTGAGCTGTTGTAGACATCCGACCTGTTCGTGGTGAATGGGAGTTTAAATCGGAGCTTTCTGGGCGTTAGAGACCTCTGGGTGTTAGAGAGTTCTCTAATGCACAGATACTGGTTCAGCTAGCTACAGGACATTTGTTTAACATTGGCAAGCGTCAGGGAACTTGCTCTGTTCCAGGAAACTCATCATGATGATATTGATATGTCTTCTGGCTCTACTGGTACTACTAGTAACCCCAGGTACACCAGCAGCTAGACAGCCACACTGTTTTTAGCGTTTATGGTAATTCTACCAAATGTATCCCATTGCATTAACAATATAAAGACATTGTCCTATATGTTCTGTTTGCCTGCCTTAACCAGTAAATACATAGTTTTGGAGGGCAAGCAACAAGCCATGGTTAATTCTGCTATCCACAAGCGTCAGGACTGTCACTTTCAAAGGCACAGGGATGACCATTTAAACAATGTCACATTGTTTACACTAGCAATGCCGAGCTTGCAGTACAGGCCTGTTTACATTGTTAGTGAACAAGTTAAAGGCACTCTAGAAACCCCTGAATAGTTTAATTTACATGTTTCGCTGACTATTGTCCCTCTTTGAGTTAGAAAAATGTGCTATGCAGCACAGTAAAATAACATCTATTTTTTAAGACTATATCTGGGTGTCAAAGCTCGACATAGTCAGACGAGACTAGAGCAAGTTGAATATGTTGGAACATAGCCATGTCAATCCATAAACAATTTTATGCCGTCTTGCTTACGACTAATTCAACAACAGCAACTTTGTTTTTCCATTCTCAAAGAATATGAATGTTAGTTTATTCCCCCTATTGTCTCTTATATACATTTAACAACACCACACAACAATTTAGGCCACATTTCAATCCATTCACAACAAAATGTCATTTTGTCGAACCAATCACCTTGTGCAGTGTAATAACATTGTGATCAATCAACCAGCATTGACAGGTGGATTTGATCCTTTAATCCTAGTCAGTCACGTCACAAAGAAGGCCTACGATAAGTTTCAACGATAAACACCAACTTGTAGAAGACAGTTGTCAGAAGTCTACTTTTAGCATTGAATATGAGAGCCTTACCTTGCTATTAGTTTGGGCTGCAGTAGTGTTGCTGTGGATGCTGTATTAAGTCGTTGAGAGTGAATGTTATAGCTGCGTCAGGGGCTGTGAATGGGCTGTTGCACACTGTCGGCCTGTCACTTATCAGCTCTATAATAGAGGGGGAACGGGTGGGGGTGGGGTGCGGTACGGTGGGGGGACCTACATTGTCTCCCATATTCCCCCTCTGTTCAGAGTCTCACACACCCAGCACATACAGATCTCCCTGGCTATCAGCCAGGGCACTGACAATAACCATCTGGTAGTCTGTCCACTCGTCTGTCCTCTCTGCCTCATTGTCATTCTTTGATGGGACAAGAACCTGAGATGGTCCAAGTTTCAATGTATTCAATGTAGCGACTAGCAAACTGCTCGGTAGCCAGTCATCTGTCTGTGTTCGGGGAAGGTGTCTCGTGAATAATGCATTAAATTCATGCAAAATAATGTCAGTGGCCAATGCCAGCTGTCAGAGCTTTAGTTTACACTGCGGGGGTCGTCTTTCAAAGGGATGCAGGTACCTGCTTGGGGGCTGTTCTTCAATGTAGGTACACTGTGCATTAGGCTAGTGGTAGCCTATATGACACAGCAGATGGCTGGAGTTTGGGGCATCACTCTGTCTTTGGGCAGTTCTGCTCTTGTATCATAGGTTGTCATGTCAGTCCGCTGGGAGCTAGGACAAAAAATGTCATGTAAAATGTCTTTTTGAAACATGGCCAGAAAGTTTGGTTTTCTAGGCATCCTCTTCAATAACCTTAGTTTTGTTGTGTACTTTTATTTTCAACAGGAGAGCTCCGTTCTTTTTGAGTTTTAACTTCTTTGAAAGCACAGAAACTGGAATATTTCTAATCTAAGCATAATCTTTCGGTCTTTCTCTCTTACTCGCAGGCATGACCATAGAAGATGAATGAGAATTTTAAAAGGAGATTTGACTTTCCCAGCCCTCTCATACAGGCCCAGGTAAAGTGCTGACTGAGAGATTGCCTCTGGATTGGGGATGCAACGGTGGTCATACTTTTATTGTTCAGGTTATTATGAGCCAGGATCCAACTCTGTAGTAAACCTGTTGTCTATGTCTGCAGACAGTGAGGAGTTTGGTTGCGGCTGTGCTGAAAGAGAAGGGCCAGAATGAGAGGATCGGCCAGTCCTCCACCCAGGTAGGTGTCTGACTTTGACATTTGTATCTGAGTATCACGTTTGTTTGTTTGAGTGTGAAGCTGTGCCCCAGGCTGTAACCATTTGTTTCTGACTGACCCGCTGTGTTTTTGATCGATGCATTGTGTTTATGACTGTGTCTCTGACTGTGTCTGATTCCTGGCTGTGGAGGCCCTGTGGGAGCAGTGCCATAGTGACTGTGCCTCTGCTCTGTCTCCTGTGTCTTTGACTGTGTCTGACTCTGTTGCAGGGCACAGCCGTGGAGGCCCTGTGGGAGCAGTGCTGTAGTGACTGTGCTGCGGTGCGCTCAGCCTGCTGTGACGCCCTGGTGCTCCTGGTAGAGCAGGCCCACGCCGACCTGCACTATGTACTCAACAGCATCCTCAACCTCCTGCCCTCCGCCAGGTACCGCACGTGTCCACGCATGCACACACGAGGGTTTCCATTAGGAAAATGTGGCGCCGGACAATTGACTGGCAGCATTTTAATTGACCGGACATTTGAGAAATTGACCGGACCCATATGCTTTGGGTGCGTGACCTGATTAGGGCATCCACCCACGGTGCTCAGAATGACAGAAATCACATTTAGATTCTGGTAATTTATATTAACAGAACATGCAAGTCAAGGATGCAACGATGTGTGGTCCTTCTTTCATTCTGATGTGCACTTTGAAGATGTTAGAATAACTGTCCACATTTACTCTTTCTCAGCCAGCAAGACGAGTAACGAACAGCAAAATCACTAGCCTATGTCAATCTACTATCCCCCATAGTAAAAAAGTTGACCTATTCTATTGGTCAGCTTGTCAAGAAAGAAATAGCCTATGCCGAACCAGACTCTGGGACCGTTTTGGGACGATAGATCCCAAATTCATACAACCAATAGGCCTAGGCTACATTTTAAAAGTAAAAAAGCAATGAGGCTGATGCAACAGATCAGAACGTTTAGCTTAAAATGTTGATCAACTATTATTTAATCATATTATAAACGCAGCCAAGCGCACAAGGCAGCAGGCTACGCTCAAATGTTTGTTCCATAATGCAATTAACGGGAAAACACCGTTGTTAAAGCCCACCGCACATGCAAGTGTTTTCATGTGACAGAGATGAAAATATCCATTAGAAATTTTGAAAGAGGGGAGATCTAATATGCAACAACTAGCATCGGTTGCATGACTAGGATTGTGCCTTTGGCTACTGGACAATGAAAGAAAGTTAAAATAATTGCCTCCGGATATGGTCTAATTTTGGCAAGGTAAGACATGCCTCATAATATGTAGTAAAACTTTCAGGTTTCAAACAATTAAGCATTTGTTTTCAAAATGCGTACTGCCTCTAGCTCATTACAAAGTGGTGTGTGATACGCTGATGAAGCCTGCCTTCCGTTGCCAATGCATGCTGTTTGAGATGATGTAGCAACAGCTCTCGTGTTGTCTGACAGATTTTCCACTCAAAGGCTCTATCTGTATGCTGTACACGTGTGATAAATAAGATACATAACTAATATACTGTACACACGAGGCAATTTAATTCCACAACATTATGCAAATTAACCTATAGACCGCTAAGCATGATCAGTCAAATATATTTCCATCAATTAATAGGCTAAAAAGCATAATTTCGCAATGAGATTTTTCTTTCTTCTCCCGGACAATTGACCGGAACCAGTTTTTTATTTATCTCTTTTCACATTTTTTATAGGCCAAAAGCTGGCTATTACTGGCTAACGGAAGCCCTGGGGCGCACGCACACGCACAATTCAGAAAATATGTCTCAGCGTGTATTACAACCTTTATTACACATGTGCTCAGAGAGTTCAGACAGACTTGATTAGAGTTAGACTCATAAAAATGATCTGCTACTGTTGTTCTTCTATTAAGACAGCCTCCCCCACCCTGTGGAGGTCTTAACAGATCTTAGCCATACTGTCAGACGTGCCCCTCCCCTATCTCTCTGTGGTTGAACACTTATCAGGACATCCTGTTACACAGCATTGTCACGCCAAACTGTAGAGCAGTTGATCGTGCTATATTAAGTCATTTTGAAACCCCTTAGTAGTTCTGTAGCATTGAGAATGCTCTCACTGTAATATGGTAACAAAGTCATTTCACTGAGGAGGGGACACGCTGTCTTTGCCACTCGCCAAGCTGCTGCTGCTGACTTTGAGCTATTGATCGTGCTTAGGTAATGGCCATCGCAGCAGGAAATGGAACGCCAAACAGCTTGTGACCTTTCCCGTCTCGGATATTATGGCATGCGTCGTCTAATATCATTGTGTAAATGTTAGGTGTGCTACTCTTACTGCAGTGCTCACCAACCGGTGAATTCGCAAGGCACATTTTTTCAATTCGCCATTGCGCTGTTGGCGGTATGTGCACTTGATTCAGAAGCCCTGCGCTGGATAGGCAAAGTGTTCCCGTTTTGAACTATTTCATTTGTCTGAAGAAACAAACTCTGCCTACCCGGCGGACCAGGAGAGCTAAATCAAGTTCTCCTACTGCGCTGGCCAATCAGATAGCTTAAATCTCTGTGACTACCGCTTCCACAACCCCACAGCAAAGTTTGTCCAGTGTGAAGGAAGTTAGAGGAAGTTTTGCGAGCCAATGCTAACTAGCGTAAGTGCAATGACTGGAAGTCTATGGGTATCTACTAACATGGCATAAAAATGGGATCCACGAGTTCATCTGACTCTGAGGAAGTAGATAAAGGGACTCATTGCCAACATCCCGCAGTATCCCTTTAATGTTATAGGTGAGTGAGTGCACACGGGGAAGAAACAGCTTGAATCTTCATTTTGAAAGAAAAATCTGCATTTATACTAACATGGCATCTCTGTTATGTTTTATTCTTACATTTAGGACTGACAGTCCAAGTCAGTCTAACAAACATTACAGACATATCCCTCTTCATCTGGGATCTGAAATAGCGACCAGTCCCTCTCAACGCAATGTGACATCTGGTTATCATGTACGACTCAGTAACACAGTGGCCACCAACATTTTCTGAATCAAGATCACTTTCGGAGTCAAAAACCAAGCTGAGATCTACCGCTCAGATTTAAAAAAAGAACATGACTTAAAGGGATATGTCTGGATTTATCTACTTTCCCATAGTCAGATAAACTAGTGGATACCATTTGTATGTCTCTGTGTCCAGTATGAAGGAAGTTAGAGGTAGTTTCGCGAGAGAATGCAAACTAGCGTTAGCGCAATGACTGGAAGTAGATACTCATAGACTTCCAGTCATAGCGGTAACGATAGCTAGCATTGACGCACAAAACTACCTCTAACTTCCTTCATACTGGACACAGACATAAAAATGGTATCCACAAGTTCATCTGACTCTGGGGAAGTAGATACAGGGCCTTATTGTCAAAATCCCAAAGTATCCCTTTAACGTCCTCTGCATAGTATAGGCCTAAGCTATCTGGGTTCTGTAAACTGCTAGTTATACCTCTGGCCTTTTTTTTCTGTTTCTTATGAACAGGAATGTGCAGGGGTTGATAAAAGTGATAGGAAGGCTTCTCCAGATGCAAGCGGACCAGCGAGACAAAGGAACGCCCTTCACTTGTCCCTACTCCATCAGGTTAGTCCACTTCACTTGTCCCTACTCCATCAGGTTAGTCCATTTCACTTGTCCCTACTCCAACAGGTTAGTCCACTTTACTTGTCCCTACGCCAATAGGTTAGTCCACTTCACTTGTAACAGCTCAATCAGGTAATTCCATGGTTGCCATGGCGCCTAGTGGCAGCCTTGGTAGTTTACTCCTGCAAAACGTATCCTTAATTACAGTGAGGGAAAAAAGTATTTGATCCCCTGCTGATTTTGTACATTTGCCCACTGACAAAGACATGATCAGTCTATAATTTTAATGGTAGGTTTATTTGAACAGTGAGAGACAGAATAACAACAAAAAAATCCTAAAAAACGCATGTCAAAAATGTTATGAATTGATTTGCATTTTAATGAGGGAAATAAGTATTTGACCCCTCTGCAAAACATGACTTAATACTTGGTGGCAAAACCCTTGTTGGCAATCACAGAGGTCAGACGTTTGTTGTAGTTGGCCACCAGGTTTGCACACAACTCAGGAGGGATTTTGTTCCACTCCTCTTTGCAGATCTTCTCCAAGTCATTATGGTTTCGAGGCTGACGTTTGGCAACTCGAACCTTCAGCTCCCTCCACAGATTTTCTATGGGATTAAGGTCTGGAGACTGGCTAGGCCACTCCAGGACCTTAATGTGCTTCTTCTTGAGCCACTCCTTTGTTGCCTTGGCTGTGTGTTTTGGGTCATTGTCATGCTGGAATACCCATCCACGACCCATTTTCAATGCCCTGGCTGAGGGAAGGAGGTTCTCACCCAAGATTTGACGGTACATGGCCCCGTCCATCGTCCCTTTGATGCGGTGAAGTTGTCCTGTCCCCTTAGCAGAAAAACACCCCCAAAACAGAATGTTTCCACCTCCATGTTTGACGGTGTGGATGGTGTTCTTGGTGTTATAGGCAGCATTCCTCCTCCTCCAAACACGGCGAGTTGAGTTGATGCCAAAGAGCTCGATTTTGGTCTCATCTGACCACAACACTTTCACCCAGGTCACCTCTGAATCATTCAGATGTTCATTGGCAAACTTCAGACGGCCCTGTATATGTGCTTTCTTGAGCAGGGGGACCTTGCGGGTGCTGCAGGATTTCAGTCCTTCACGGCGTAGTGTGTTACCAATTGTTTTCTTGGTGACTATGGTCCTAGCTGCCTTGAGATCATTGACAAGATCCTCCTGTGTAGTTCTGGGCTGATTCCTCACCGTTCTCATGATCATTGCAACTCCACGAGGTGAGATCTTGCATGGAGCCCCAGGCCGAGGGAGATTGACAGTTATTTTGTGTTTCTTCCATTTGCGAATAATCGCACCAACTGTTGTCACCATCTCACCAAGCTGCTTGGCGATGGTCTTGTAGCCCATTCCAGCCTTGTGTAGGTCTACAATCTTGTCCCTGATATCCTTGGAGAGCTCTTTGGTCTTAGCCATGGTGGAGAGTTTGGAATCTGATTGATTGATTGCGTCTGTGGACAGGTGTCTTTTATACAGGTAACAAACTGAGATTAGGAGCACTCCCTTTAAGAGTGTGCTCCTAATCTCAGCTCGTTACCTGTATAAAAGACACCTGGGAGCCAGAAATCTTTCTGATTGAGAGGGGGTCAAATACTTATTTCCCTCATTAAAATGCAAATCAATTTATAACATTTTTGACATGCGTTTTTCTGGATTTTTTTGTTGTTATTCTGTCTCTCACTGTTCAAATAAACCTACCATTAAAATTATAGACTGATCATTTCTTTGTCAGTGGGCAAACGTACAAAATCAGCAGGGGATCAAATACTGTAGTGAGTGTTGCAACCGAGGACAGACAATGTTTATGCGCTACACTCTTCAGCACTCAGCGATCCCGTTCTGTGAGCTTGTGGCCTACCACTTCACGGCTGAGCCGTTGTTGCACCTAGACGTTTGCACTTCACAATAACAGCACTTACAGTTGACCGGGGCAGCTCTAGCAGGGCAGAAATGTGATGAACTGGCTTGTTGGAAATGTGGCATCCTATGACGGTGCCAAGTTGAAAGTCAACAAGGCCATTCCATTCTTCAGTAAGGCCATTTTACTGCCAATGTTTGTCTATGGAGATTGCTTGGCTGTGTGCTCAATTTTTTCAAACCCGTTTTTACTTTGTATTGGTTGTAGATTGAAACAATTTAATCCATTTTAGAATAAGGCTGTAACGTAACAAAATGTGGAAAAAGTCAATGGGTCTGTATATAGTGTATTTGACTACTTCTTCAATCAACTATCTAATTGTTTGGATTCAAATACCAGCTCAGATCCTCCACGATCCTCATCTCTTTTTATCTCATCTCCCATTTACTGGACTGAAGGCTGGACCAAAAGATACAGAAATGGCAGCAACTATCACTCACTACACCCAAGGATTCATCAGAAGTTTTTAACATATTAAAACAACCCTGTGCAGGGAGCTGAAGAACAGCCTTATGCAATAAGGTATCCTCTGGAAAAAATGCAGACGACGGGGCGGTAGGAGTCTAATGAACAAACTTAAGTCTATTGTGTACACTTGTAATGCGAGCAGTACATCATGCACACCTGAAGTGGATGATAAAGGACACTGGCCAGTTCTGCAGGCTGCCCCTCAGGCAACTTCCAAAGTAATTCAACTGGGGATTTTAAATTCAAGGTCCATAAATAACAAAGGCTTACTACTGAATGGCATAATCACCGATAGACTTTCTCCTTCTCACTGAGACTTGGCATCAGCCCAATGAGTACATATCCCTCAACCAATGCATTCCATCTGGCTACACCTACCTGGACTGTTCTCGCACATCCGGACGGGGTGGCAGATTGGCTGTAATCTGCAGGACTGAGATTTTACTCCAGTACAAGCTGTCATGTTTTGAATGCATGTCTTTCAAGATCACTGGCTCTGTATCACTACTGGCTGTGCTGATTTATTGGCCTCTGACTTTCTTGCTGAACTATCTGAGCTACTATCACTCCTGAGCTCCTTGTGCCCTGCTATGCTAGTGCTTGGTGATTTCAACATGCATGTCGACTCCCCTGACTGCAGTCTCTCTACTGGCCTGGCTGTTGTCCTGGACAACTTTGGACACCAACAGCAAGTGGACTTTGCCATTCACAACAAAGGCCATACGCTGGACCTGGTCTGTACCACAGGCGTGGATCTGGCCAAATTGGAAGGAAATGTGTCAGGGCTGTCCGACTATAAACCCATCACCTACACCCTAGCTATTCCTCTACCCATTTGGCCCAAGAAACGCTCCATTCAGTTTAGAAGACTGAAAACAATAAACAGTGGCCAGCTTACTGAATATCTCTACCTGCCAGTTACTGACTCTGGCTCAATACAACACTGCCTTGGCCTCCATACTGGATGAAGTTGCTCCTTTGAAAACCTGTATGGTGTCTTTCTCCAAATCGTCTCCCTGGTACACTGAAGAGCTACGCTCTCTCAAAGCAACTGGCCCTCGTCTAGAACGACAGTATAAGAAAACTGGGCTTAACTCTACATGCGCAGATGTATGAGCAACATCAGCAAGATTACCAACTGACCATAAATGCAGCTCTGACATCCTACTACTCCCAACTGATCAGCAACGGCAGTGGTAACTCCCGTGTGCTGTTCTCTACTGTGAGCATGCTCCTCCAACTAGGGCTGTGGCGGTCATAAAATGTTGTCAGCCGGTGATTGTCAAGCAAATAACTGCCGGTCTCACGGTAATTGACTGTTAATGAACATAAACACATTTAGCATCTCCTGGCTTCCACGCATAGCCTACAAGCCACTGATGCAGACCTTTAGAACATCTACATTTTAATAAGTCTAATAAATCAATTTAACATAGCCTACACCATCACAATAAATCCATTATTTATTTTAGACAGATCTAAAGAAACATGATATGAAGAAAATGTAGTTTATTTCAGAATAACAGAATAGCATACTCTGAGTTGTCCTTATGTTAGGCCCTGATCTGGCTATGCCATATGGCTGTGGGCTACACTAGTTCATTTAGCAGGCCAGATTTGCTGTGTCATTATTTTATATTATTTTATAGTATGAAGAATACAATTGAACATAGCTGAATAAAATAGAAAGGATATTTTCTCCAAACGATTTGAGGGAGTGCGCACATGCGGTTATTCTATGTTGAGCGGTTAACAAAGAAACAGGTCCTTCTATGCACTTAATTTAGAGTTATTTATGCAACTTTAGTTGTGATACAAACGTTGAGCTATATGTTTGGATTTTTTATACATTCTAAGGCTGCATGATGCGACTCTAAATTATGATTTGAAAAAAGTTGCATGAAAGGCAAGAGCTCTGCTTTGTTTTTTGCGCAGGCTGTACACACTTCTTCAGTCTCTCATTCACAATTTGACAAGCACTTGATAAAGCCTCTAATTTCCCGGCGGCATCCCCTTTGTGTGGCCGTAATGCCCCCTAAAAAAAATATGTGCCTTTTGCGGCCAGTGCCTTGGGCTGAATATAATCATTATAATTCCATTCTCCCGGCTGCCTGCTCCGAAGCACCTCTCTCACTAACATGGTGCTCTCAGATATCTAAATTCTTATTAGCCAATGCCCGTCACGTGATCGGGTCCTTCTCACAGGCTACAAGTGAAGACAGACACATCGGGGACGCAACTGTGCGCGTCCTTATCCAATTCCGAGGCGCATATTGAAGATGTTGGAAGAACTGTCCACATTTACTTTTCGTCAGCCAACAAGATGAGTAGGCCTAACGAATAGCAAAAGCACTAGCCTATGTCAATCTACTATCCCCCATAGTACAAAAGTTGACTTATTCTATCCTGTGTGAGAAATAAATATTCCAAACATAGTCTGGACAGTTGTGGGATGCAATAGATCCCAAATTAATACAACCACTAGCTTCAAAAAAAAGTTTAAAAGCAATGAGGCTGACGCAACAGATCAGAACGTTTAGCTTAAAATGTTGATAAACTATTAGGCTATTTCTTCACATCATAAGCTCAGCAATGCGCACACGGCTGTAGGCTATAAGCGTGAATGTTCCAAAATGCAATCAATTAGCAGGAAAACACCATTCTCAAAAGTGACCGCAAATGCAATTATGCATGTAATGCTTTTATTATAAAGGTCAATTTTTATGGTGAAAATTATCTTCCCCAAACATGGATCTCACGCGATTTGTATGTATGCCATTTAGGCTCTACACCCGTTGTAATGCAAATTAATGTACTTAATTTTAAGAAGTTATTTGGCCACTTTAGTTGTGATACAAACCTTATCAAAATATATAGGCCTATGGGCTAGGCTACATGTGTGACTATTATTAGAAAATGTTGCAAAAAAGGCATGCAGTGTTTCTTGCCTTACTGCATTCAAGCTGGGCATAATTCACAAGTGATAATATATAATTCACAAATGATAGGCTAATATTGTCACATCAGACTATTCTTGATTTTAATGTTGTCTTTACATACAGTGGGGAGAACAAGTATTTGATACACTGCCGATTTTGCAGGTTTTCCTATTTACAAAACATGTAGAGGTCTGTAATTTTTATCATAGGTACACTTCAACTGTGAGAGACGTAATCTAAAACAAAGATCCAGAAAATCACATTGTATGATTTTTAAGTAATTAATTTGCATTTTATTGCATGACATAAGTATTTGATACATCAGAAAAGCAGAACTTAATATTTGTTACAGAAACCTTTGTTTGCAATTACAGAGATCATACGTTTCCTGTAGGTCTTGACCAGGTTTGCACACACTGCAGCAGGGATTTTGGCCCACTCCTCCATACAGACCTTCTCCAGATCCTTCAGGTTTCGGGGCTTTCGCTGGGCAATACGGACTTTCAGCTCCCTCCAAAGATTTTCTATTGGGTTCAGGTCTGGAGACTGGCTAGGCCACTCCAGGACCTTGAGATGCTTCTTACGGAGCCACTCCTTAGTTGCCCTGGCTGTGTGTTTCGGGTTGTTGTCATGCTGGAAGACCCAGCCACGACCCATCTTCAATGCTCTTACTGAGGGAAGGAGGTTGTTGGTCAAGATCTCGCGATACATGGCCCCATCCATCCTCCCCTCAATACGGTGCAGTCGTCCTGTCCCCTTTGCAGAAAAGCATCCCCAAAGAATGATGTTTCCACCTCCATGCTTCACGGTTGGGATGGTGTTCTTGGGGTTGTACTCATCCTTCTTCTTCCTCCAAACACGGCGAGAGGAGTTTAGACCAAAAAGCTCTATTTTTGTCTCATCAGACCACATGACCTTCTCCCATTCCTCCTCTGGATCATCCAGATGGTCATTGGCAAACTTCAGACGGGCCTGGACATGCGCTGGCTTGAGCAGACGGACCTTGCGTGCGCTGCAGGATTTTAATCCATGACTGCGTAGTGTGTTACTAATGGTTTTCTTTGAGACTGTGGTCCCAGCTCTCTTCAGGTCATTGACCAGGTCCTGCCGTGTAGTTCTGGGCTGATCCCTCACCTTCCTCATGATCATTGATGCCCCACGAGGTGAGATCTTGCATGGAGCCCCAGACCGAGGGTGATTGACCGTCATCTTGAACTTCTTCCATTTTCTAATAATTGCACCAACAGTTGTTGCCTTCTCACCAAGCTGCTTGCCTATTGTCCTGTAGCTCATCCCAGCCTTGTGCAGGTCTACAATTTGATCCCTGATGTCCTTACACAGCTCTCTGGTCTTGGCCATTGTGGAGAGGTTGTAGTCTGTTTGATTGAGTGTGTGGACAGGTGTCTTTTATACAGGTAATGAGTTCAAACAGGTGCAGTTAATACAGGTAATGAGTGGAGAACAGGAGGTCTGTTAGAGCCGGAATTCTTACTGGTTGGTAGGTGATCAAATACTTACATTGGGGGGAAAAAGTATTTAGTCAGCCACCAATTGTGCAAGTTCTCCCACTTAAAAAGATGAGAGAGGCCTGTAATTTTCATCATAGGTACACGTCAACTATGACAGACAAATTGAGAAAAAAAAATCCAGAAAATCACATTGTAGGATTTTTAATGAATTTATTTGCAAATTATGGTGGAAAATAAGTATTTGGTCACCTACAAACAAGCAAGATTTCTGGCTCTCACAGACCTGTAACTTCTTCTTTAAGAGGCTCCTCTGTCCTCCACTCGTTACCTGTATTAATGGCACCTGTTTGAACTTGTTATCAGTATAAAAGACACCTGTCCACAACCTCAAACAGTCACACTCCAAACTCCACTATGGCTAAGACCAAAGAGCTGTCAAAGGACAGCAGAAACAAAATTGTAGACCTGCACCAGGCTGGGAAGACTGAATCTGCAATAGGTAAGCAGCTTGGTTTGAAGAAATCAACTGTGGGAGCAATTATTAGGAAATGGAAGACATACAAGACCACTGATAATCTCCCTCGATCTGGGGCTCCACGCAAGATCTCACCCCGTGGGGTCAAAATGATCACAAGAATAGTGAGCAAAAGTCCCAGAACCACACAGGGGGACCTAGTGAATGACCTGCAGAGAGCTGGGACCAAAGTAACAAAGCCTACCATCAGTAACACACTACGCCGCCAGGGACTCAAATCCTGCAGTGCCAGACGTGTCCCCCTGCTTAAGCCAGTACATGTCCAGGCCCGTCTGAAGTTTGCTAGAGTGCATTTGGATGATCCAGAAGAGGATTGGGAGAATGTCATATGGTCACATGAAACCAAAATAGAACTTTTTGGTAAAAACTCAACTCGTCGTGTTTGGAGGACAAAGAATGCTGAGTTGCATCCAAAGAACACCATACCTACTGTGAAGCATGGGGGTGGAAACATCATGCTTTGGGGCTGTTTTTCTGCAAAGGGACCAGGACGACTGATCCGTGTAAAGGAAAGAATGAATGGGGCCATGTATCGTGAGATTTTGAGTGAAAACCTCCTTCCATCAGCAAGGGCATTGAAGATGAAACGTGGCTGGGTCTTTCAGCATGACAATGATCCCAAACACACCGCCCGGGCAACGAAGGAGTGGCTTCGTAAGAAGCATTTCAAGGTCCTGGAGTGGCCTAGCCAGTCTCCAGATCTCAACCCCATAGAAAATCTTTGGAGGGAGTTGAAAGTCCGTGTTGCCCAGCGACAGCCCCAAAACATCACTGCTCTAGAGGAGATCTGCATGGAGGAATGGGCCAAAATACCAGCAACAGTGTGTGAAAACCTTGTGAAGACTTACAGAAAACGTTTGACCTGTGTCATTGCCAACAAAGGGTATATAACAAAGTATTGAGAAACTTTTGTTATTGACCAAATACTTATTTTCCACCATAATTTGCAAATAAATTCATTAAAAATCCTACAATGTGATTTTCTGGATTTTTTTTTCTCATTTTGTCTGTCATAGTTGACGTGTACCTATGATGAAAATTACAGGCCTCTCTCATCTTTTTAAGTGGGAGAACTTGCACAATTGGTGGCTGACTAAATACTTTTTCCCCCCACTGTATGTCATGCAATAAAATGCAAATTAATTACTTAAAAATCATACAATGTGATTTTCTGGATTTTTGTTTTAGATTCCGTCTCTCACAGTTGAAGTGTACCTATGATAAAAATGTACAGACCTCTACATGCTTTGTAAGTAGGAAAACCTGCAAAATCGGCAGTGTATCAAATACTTGTTCTCCCCACTGTATACTAAATAATATGTGTGAATTTTGTTTGGATTTAGAATGGACCATTATCACGCATCTGTCTCGAAACAGGGGCAGCGGAAAAAAATACATGTAATCTATGCACTTAAATAGTGAATGGATGACGCTTTTCCCGTGGTTCTTTTCCTGCCAGCCATGTAGGCTTAAAATTTTGTTGTAAAGAGAAGCAATGTGCTTAATATTAGGGAAGTTGAGAAATAAATATAGTAGGCCTAGCCTATAGAAATCTGATGGGATCCTCCTCTTTTTAATAGAGGCCATCAAAACTCTGTTTTCAAATTGCATAGTCTATAGAAATGTTGCGTAACATGAGCTCATGGGTTCTCATTAAGTGTTTGATTACATTTTCGATCATATTTGCATTGATGTCAGAGTGATTAGAGGGACAATAGAGTGCTGAGTACCAGGCAGTTAGCAAGTTTGGTAGGCTACTAATGACCATCAGCAGCATCAGAGCTTGGAGAAGCCTAATTACCGTGACTAAACTGTCACGTGGAATTTGACTGCGGTCATGACTCGTGAACGCCGGTGTGGCGGTAATACGTTCACCACAACACCCCTACCTCCAACCTGTGAACAATTCTGCTACCTCAGCCTCCCCAGAACGGTGCAATCAATACCTGTGCTTCTTCCAAAGCTAAATTGAAAACATGAATAACACCATCCTGACCTTCCAAGCCCCATTAGTTGAGCTACCCAGTCCTACGCTCCCTGAGTCAAGGTTTTCCACCTTCACCACAGTCACTGCAGCTGGTTTGGACAAAGAGGCCCACCATTTGCTCACTTGACCCTATCCCCACCTCCCTTTTCAAGATCTGCTTACCTGCTCTGTAGCCTTTCTTCACAGAGGTTATCAACAAGTCCCTCATCACTGGGTGTGTCCCTCATTCAGCTCAAACTGTCCCCAGTCACATCAGTACTTAAAAAGCCTGGATCTGACCCTGACAACCTCCAGAACTACAGGCCTATTTCCAACCTGCCCTTCCTGAGTAAGCTCCTCGAACGGGCTGTTTCTAGCCAACTCCAAAACCATCTGGACACTCACAACCTACTTGAGCCCTTTCATTCAGGTTTCAGAGCTAGACACAGCACTGAGACTGCCCTGGTAAGGGTCACCAATGACCTCCTCATGAATGCTGACTCTGGGGTTGCCAGCATCCTCATACTGCTGGACCTCAGTGCAGCATTCGACACGGTCAGCCACGCCATCCTGCTGGACCGCATGGAGAAGGACCTGGGCCTGTCAGACACGTGTCCTCACCCACACCTCCCCTGCGATAACATCCCTCCAGTGCTGTTCAACCTCCACTGGCTCCCCATATGCTCACACATCGACTACAAAATCCTGTTTAACACCTACCAAGCTATCCACAGCTCTGGACCCAAGTACCTGTCTGACCTCATTCTACCCTCCTGCCCCACACGCACACTTCGCTCCTCAAGTTCTGTCTCCCTTCAGCCGCCCCGCAGCAGACTAAAAACTATGGGTGACAGGGCTTTCAGTTCCGCGGCTTTGCGGCTGTGGAACACACTTCCAGACACTATTATGGCTGCAGAGTATCTGTCCTCCTTTAAGGCACATCTCAAGACTGTGCTGTTCAGAAAAGCTTTCAAGGACCTCTGCTTATTCTGTTCTCGTCCTCCGGATCTGGCGACACCTAGCTTTAATTGTTGTCTGTGTTCTATGTTGTGTGTTTTGGAATTTTTTGTATATTTTTTTGCCTTGGGTCTGAGAGAAGCGCTTTACAAATTAAATGAATTATTATTATTATTTCTGCAGTGGTAATGATACCATTCTGTTGTAATAAAAGCTGTGGGTAGTCATGATAGCATTGTTCTAATTACTTCTGTAGTAGTAGTAATAATAACATGTAATAATAACATGTAGTAGTCATAAAAGCATCCATAGTAGTCCAAATAACATCTCATAACTTGTAGTAGTCATAATAAAACATGTCATAACATCTGTCACTCTCAAAATTACATCTGTAATAGTCATAATAGCGTGATGTCATAACATCTGTAGTAATGTTTTTTTTATATGTCTTTTGGTTATGATAACATTGTCATGCAAATAGTCTGGGTAGCCATTTGATTAGATGTTCAGGAGTCTTATGGCTTGGGGGTAGATGCTGTTTAGAAGCCTCTTGGACCTAGACTTGGCGCTCTGGTACCACTTGCCGTGCGGTAGCAGAGAGAACAGTCTATGACTAGGGTGTCCTAGAAGTTATAGAAATGCTGCGATGATATCATAGTAATGTGCAAGTACTTTGCCTTCTACTGCAATTATGTCTTCCTCCCAAATGGTACCCTATTCCTTAGTGCACTACTTTTAACCAGGGCTGGTCAACATTAGTGCACTATAGGGAATTAGGGTTTAATTTGGGAAGCATAGAATGATTTCCCTGTGGAGAAATGCTAGGAAGTTAGCATACCGACCCCCTCCATAGGATTGTCCTCTGGCCGAGCCATCCTGCTGATAGTGATTAATGTCTCATTTGGGTAACATCAACCTACTCTGATGGGCTGTTAAGGCCCAGCTCTGATTTAATTTCACAGTGTAGTGATGAACCATGAATCATGACACCTCAGCCGTCACCTAAGGTGTCAGGAATGAGATGCATGAGGTGGGGGCAGGGTCGAATTGCGTCATAGTACAAAAGGGCCAGCATCTACTGCCACTAGATGCTTCAATAATGATCTGAGCAGCCATATAGTAGACCTACACCTTGAGCCAGCTAGCCAGCACACAACTCTCCAAGACGGACATGGGTATTCTGGTTTTGAGAATGAATGGGTGTCAACCACCAAGGGTAGGGGGAATCCTTCTGGGGATAAGTCAATACAGTTCCATGTATCTCAGTTGGTAGAGCATGGCGCTTGCAATGCCAGGGTTGTGGGTTTGATTCCCACGGGGGACCAGTATGAAAAAAAGTATGACAATGTACGCACTCACTAACTGTAAGTCGCTCTGGATAAGAGCGTCTGCTAAATGACTGAAATGTAAATGTAAAATGTACAGAACTCTTAGCTACTGTATATCCAGGGCAGAAATGGATCCTTTTCTCAAAGCATGTAGAGAGAATCCTCCCCCTCTCCCTCCCCTTCCTCCTATCCCTACCACAGTCTTTGATGTGCACCTCTGCCAAGATCCTGGGGCCTCCGAAATCAGTTACAGATTGGTTGGGTAAAAAGACAATGAGACGGAAGCTAGGCCTGTCTTTTCTCTCTCTTTCTCCCTCCCTCTTGTTTTCTCACACCATACCTGTATCTCTCTTTCTATACCTCCCTCCCTTTCTCTATATTTCCCTCAATTTCATTGTTACCTTTTTCCCTTCTTTACCTCTCGCTGCCTGTCATTCCCTGGTGAGAAGATGAATGTGGCTGGGGCAGCAGGGTGGCGCCGCCGGGCCGACAGCTCCGCTCCGCCATTGGTGGATGCGCCTGGCTCTGCCGGGCGATTGTAAATGCTGCAGGATTAATGAAGAATGCCCACTAGGTGCCCATTGTTGACCTTCTGCCCGCCACTGCCCCGCTCAATCTGCCACAGAGACACTAAGCCACTTAACTACCCGGCGGGACCAGGAGGAGGGGGGGGGGGGGGGGGTTCAGGCGGTCCGAGGCAAAAACGGACCGCATTCTCACAGGATCACGTCCTGGGTCTGTCTGTCTGTCCCCATAACCTTGTTGGTCCCACCCAACCAGACAGGCTTCAGTTCAGCTGCATCTCCAGCACGTCCGACCGATTTCCGATTCAGACTTGGTGTGGCACTAAAGCTTGTATACATTTTGAAAGTGTTCTCCCAGTGAGGCCCTGTCGTGTCTCCCTCACCCCAACCCCCACCTCCTTTTGTGTGATCTGGGAGTCAGCGTAACCTGCACACATTCCCAGACTGGTGGGTTCATAAAAGGACAGTTCAAAGTTAATTAGGCAGTTCAAGCTAGAATCCTTAATTGTAACAATAACAAAGTGTACTCCCCATCCCTGTTTCGCAAAAAAGCTAAGGGATGGAGCTGAATAAATGTAACCACTCTCAAATTCATAGACAGCGCTATGGATGCAATGACTGACCATCCATTATATCAACATTATAGTTTGAACCATGTTTTGAGGCTGTATAATGTTTGTTTACATTTACATTGTTTACAAACATTGGAGTAAATGTGGAGATATGTTCATGTTGCACGCGATCTGTTATGTGGGCTAGATCCAGCTGTTTGCCTCAATCACAAATGAATGGAAAAGATAAACACTATCTAATTTCCAAATCTTTTCCATTCATTATCATTTCAGCCATATAGCCTGGTATAGTGTATCTAGACAACCAATGGGGTGGGATGTGGACTTCAGACCACTTTTATAATCTGAAAACGACAAACTTTGATTTTGGAGCAAACAGTCCCTTTAAAGCCCTGCTACCCTCCAACCCAGCGCCCTCTATTCTGCCACTGCCAATGAACTTGCAGTTCAACAACGGCAAGGTAGCAAGGTCAGTCTTGTCAGCTTCCTGCTCCCTCCATTGTCTGGCTGTGAAAGCAGGTAATGGTGGGTCTGTCTGGCCTGTCTGGAGAGAAAGAAGGCCTGATGGATAGGCCGCATTGAACTGGAGTTTGAGACGAACCACGGGGAACCTGAGGAGAGGGATAGAGAGATAGTCACACAGATTACGCCATGGTACGTGGAGGGAGGGGGAAGGGGGAGGTAAAGGGAAGGGGGAGGCTTTGTTCCACAAGAGACTGTGGCAGGCAAGTTGGTCAGTCACACGAGAGCGAGAGAGAGAGAGAGAGACTCTTCCTTCCTTCCTCCCTCCGGTGTTGGAGGCACTCAGTGACGCGTGCGATGATTGACGTGGGGCAGTGGTCAGAATGTCCCCCTGCCACACTTCAACTGTGTTGTTTTAACCTGGGCCTTTGTCATTTTCAAAAGCCATGTCCAATCGCACTTGAAATTTAGACTTCACGTTGGTTTGCTCATTCAAATTCTTATGATTCTAAAGAGTGGGATGCTATATCCTCGAGCCTTTGCCCTCTTCAGCCCGGTGTTCCGAGTTTACCCACGTTTCTTTAATCACTAAGACAGTCAACCTTTTCCCACTTACAACTACTCTGCCAGAATCAGGACTGGGGCTCCTTTTCTTACCTAATTGAATGTCATTGTGGATGGTTGGGACCAGGAGCACCACAGCCCCTCTGTTCGCCAGTCGGCAAGTGGCCAGATCTTAGCCTGGGCACAGTCTGCCCGACGCCAGCCCTGCCCCAAACCCCAGGTGGCAGGGGGAAGGCTGGGATGAGGGGCGAGGGCAGGCATTAGCCTCGGAATAGGCTTCTTTGGCTTTGGTGGTCCTCCTCGTAATGTTTTTGTGCCCCTTTCTTTTGTCGATAAGGCAAGATCCTGTTACAGCAAATCCCCTTATTGTAGGCCCTGTGTAGCTCAGTTGGTAGAGCATGGCGCTTGCAACGTCAGGGTTGTGGGTTCGTTTTCCACGGGGGGCCAGTATGAAAAAATGTATGCACTCACTAACTGTAAGTTGCTCTGGATAAGAGCGTCTGCTAAAATGACTAAAAATACAAATAAATAAAATTGTATGGGACACTTTTAAATGTGCCTTTAGAGGCCATGCAATTCAGTACTCATCTTGAAAGCAAAAGCAATTTAGGTTAAGAGTCCATACTAACAAAGGAAATAGAAGGTCTAACAGAACAGATTGATAGCAATAAAAACTGTAACATAGAGGCTCAGAATAAATTTGAGGAAAAACAAAAAGAAATTGAGAAACTTGTTCAAGAAAGATCAAGTGTAATATATTATAAAAATAATGCAAACTGGATGGAATATGGGGAAAAATGCACCAAATTCTTTTTTAAATCTTCAACATAGAAATGCTACTAAAAACAATTTACTGAATCTGGTTACAAATGATGGAGTCACCCATGATTCACCAAATTATATTTTGAAGAAGGAAGCAAAGTACTTTAAGTATATGTGTTCATTTCAGTCACCTCTAACTGAAGCTAATTGTAGGGATTTATTTTCTAATGATAATGTAAAATTAACAGCCATACAGAAAGACTCATGTGAAGGTGAAATTACAGAGGAGGAACTTCTGGATGCAATTAAAGACTTTAAGTCCGGGAAAACTCCAGGGTTGGATGGCATACCAGTCGAGGTATACCAAACCTTTTTTGATATACTCAGAGGACCGTTATTAGCATGTTTTAACCACTCCTATGTAAATGGTAGATTATCAGACACTCAAGAAGAAGGTCTGATTTAATTATTACTGAAACAGGATACAAGTGGGAAATATAAAGATCCAGTCCATTAATAAAATTGGAGGGCCCTTACACTTCAGTGTTGTGATGCAAAAATTATAGCAAAATGTATAGCGCATAGAATTAAAAAGGTATTGTCGGACATTATTCATTCTAATCAGACATGTTTTTTACATGGACGATACATTGGAGATAAAATAAGGCAAGTACTGGAAACAATAGAACACTATGAAAAATCTGGGAAACCAGGCCTGCTATTCATAGCAGACTTTGAAAAGGCATTTGATAAAGTACGACTGGAGTTTATATATAAATGCCTGGAGCATTTCAATTTTGGAGAATCTCTTATAAAATGGATCAAAATCATGTATATTAACCCTAGGTGTAAAATAGTAAATAATGGCTATTTCTCAGAAAGTTTTAAACTGTCAAGAGGAGTAAAACAAGGTTGTCCACTATCGGCATATCTATTTATTATGGCCAACGAAATGTTAGCTATTAAAGTCAGATCCAACAATAATATCAAGGGATTAGAAATCCAGGGCTTAAAAACAAAGGTGTCATTGTACGCTGATGATTCATTTCTTCTTTTAAATCTACAACTTGAATCCCTCCACAACCTCATAGAGGATCTAGATACATTTTCTAACCTCTCTGGATTACAACCAAATTATGACAAATGTACTATATTACGTATTGGATCACAAAAAAATAAAAATTGTACATTACCATTACCAGACCAATAAAATGGTCTGATGGTGATGTGGATATACTCGGAATACATATCCCAAATGAAATAAATGTTCTCACTCCAGTACATTTTCATAGAAAGTTAGCAAAAATAGATAAGATCTTGCTACCATGGAAAGGTAAATATCTGTCTATTTGTGGAAAAATCACCCTGATTAACTCGTTAGTATTATCCCAGTTTACCTATTTGCTTATGGTCTTCCCTACGACTAGCGAACAGTTTTTTAAAATGATATGAGAAAAAAATATTCAATTTTATTTGGAACGGCAAGCCAGACAAAATTAAACGGGCCTATTTATATAATGAATATGAATTCGGAGGACAGAAATTATTAAATATTAAAGCATTAGACCTATCACTAAAAGCTTCAGTCATACAAAAGTTATACTTAAATCCGAACTGGTTCTCTAGCCAATTAGTAAGATTATCTCACCCCATGTTCAAGAATGGCCTTTTTCCCTTTATTCAGATTACAACCTCTCACTTTCAGTTATTTTAAAAGGAAATAATCTCCCAAATATCACTATTTCTAAAACAAGCCATAGAAAGTTGGTTGCATTTTCAATTTAATCCTCCAGAAACGACAGAACAAATAATGCAACAAATGGTGGTTAAACTCAAATATACTAATTGATAAATATCCAGTATTTGTTGGGGGAAAACAAACGGTATAATCTTCGTAAATGATATCATAGGTAGGACTGGTGGAGTTATGTCGCACATGCAGCTAACAAAAACATATGGAAATGTCTGCTCTACCTAAAATTACAACCAAATAATTGCAGCATTACCGCAAAAATGGAAGAGGAAAGTGGAAGGGGGAAAAAGTAAGGGACTTGTCTGTCGGCCCTGCATTAAAGAATATAATTGGTTAAAGAAAATTGTGATAAATAAAAAAGTATACCAGTTTCATTTAAGAACCAAAAGATTGACAGCCGCCCCGTATAGATTGAAAAATAGTTGGGAAGAGATTTTTGACGTACCGATTCCATGGCATAGTGTTATGAACTGATACGCAAAATGACGCCGGATTCAAAATTATTATACAAAATTCTTGCTACCAATAGAATGCTATTTATATGGAGGATACAATCTTCCCAGCTCTGCAGATTTTGCTGCGAAGAGACAGAATCATTAGATCATTTGTTTTGGTACTGTCCATTTGTGGCTTGTTTTTGGTCACAGGTCCAGGAATGGCTGAGGTCCAGGAATCTACAATTTACAATTGTAGAAACAATGAGAATAGAAGGGTTCAGAACTTTTGTGAAACATCACAGTACAGTTGAAAAATATATGGCAAATAGAACTCCAATATGGATGGTGTTAAGAGATAGATGGGAGGTGTTGAATGGAGCTGAAGGATGGGACTAATAACAACGAACAACAACTAATAACAGCAAGATACAGTGGGGAGAACAAGTATTTGATACACTGCCGATTTTGCAGGTTTTCCTACTTACAAAGCATGTAGAGGTCTGTCATTTTTATCATAGGTACACTTCAACTGTGAGAGACGGAATCTAAAACAAAAATCCAGAAAATCACATTGTATGATTTTTAAGTAATTAATTTGCATTTTATTGCATGACATAAGTATTTGATACATCAGAAAAGCAGAACTTAATATTTGGTACAGAAACCTTTGTTTGCAATTACAGAGATCATACGTTTCCTGTAGGTCTTGACCAGGTTTGCACACACTGCAGCAGGGATTTTGGCCCACTCCTCCATACAGACCTTCTCCAGATCCTTCAGGTTTCAGGGCTGTCGCTGGGCAATACGGACATTCAGCTCCCTCCAAAGATGTTCTATTGGGTTCAGGTCTGGAGACTGGCTAGGCCACTCCAGGACCTTGAGATGCTTCTTACGGAGCCACTCCTTAGTTGTCCTGGCTGTGTGTTTCGGGTCGTTGTCATGCTGGAAGACCCAGCCACGACCCATCTTCAATGCTCTTACTGAGGGAAGGAAGTTGTTGGCCAAGATCTCGCGATACATGGCCCCATCCATCCTCCCCTCAATACGGTGCAGTCGTCCTGTCCCCTTTGTAGAAAAGCATCCCCAAAGAATGATGTTTCCACCTCCATGCTTCATGGTTGGGATGGTGTTCTTGGGGTTGTACTCATTCTTCTTCTTCCTCCAAACACGGCAAGTGGAGTTTAGACCAAAAAGCTCTATTTTTGTCTCATCAGACCACATGACCTTCTCCCATTCCTCCTCTGGATCATCCAGATGGTCATTGGCAAACTTCAATGAGCAGGGGGACCTTACGTGCGCTGCAGGATTTTAATCCATGACGGCGTAGTGTGTTACTAATGGTTTTCTTTGAGACTGTGGTCCCAGCTCTCTTCAGGTCATTGACCAGGTCCTGCCGTGTAGTTCTGGGCTGATCCCTCACCTTCCTCATGATCATTGATGCCCCACGAGGTGAGATCTTGCATGGAGCCCCAGACCGAGGGTGATTGACCGTCATCTTGAACTTCTTCCATTTTCTAATAATTGCGCCAACAGTTGTTGCCTTCTCACCAAGCTGCTTGCCTATTGTCCTGTAGGCCATCCCAGCCTTGTGCAGGTCTACAATTTTATCCCTGATGTCCTTACACAGCTCTCTGGTCTTGGCCATTGTGGAGAGGTTGGAGTCTGTTTGATTGAGTGTGTGGACAGGTGTCTTTTATACAGGTAACGAGTTCAAACAGGTGCAGTTAAAACAGGTAATGAGTGGAGAACAGGAGGGCTTCTTAAAGAAAAACTAACAGGTCTGTGAGAGCCGGAATTCTTACTGGTTGGTAGGTGATCAAATACTTATGTCATGCAATAAAATGCAAATTAATTACTTAAAAATCATACAATGTGATTTTCTGGATTTTTGTTTTAGATTCCGTCTCTCACAGTTGAAGTGTACCTATGATAAAAAATTACAGACCTCTACATGCTTTGTAAGTAGGAAAACCTGCAAAATCGGCAGTGTATCAAATACTTGTTCTCCCCACTGTAACTAATGTAGGGCATGCTGTGTCCATAATAAGTATATACATTTACATTTTACATTTTAGTCATTTAGCAGACGCTCTTATCCAGAGCGACTTACAGTTAGTGAGTGCATACATTTTTTTTTTTCATTTTGCTCCCACCCCCAGTGCAGCTTTGATGATTTTAGGTTGAGAGCTTTTGTGAAGGAGCACAGTTGGATATAGAAGCAAACCGGATAGACATCATGAAAATGATCGGAGAGGTTAAGGGTAGAGGAAGTTCAGGAGTAAAAATAAGCACAAACTGGCTCTAACCAGAATAGAAAGAGGAGTGGGAGGCCCCGGTGCACAACTGGGCCTCCCACTCCTCTTTCTATTCTGGTTAGAGCCAGTTTGCACTGTTCTGTGATTTCTCGCATGGAATAGCCTTCATTTCTCAGAACAAGAATAGACTGATGGGTTTCAGAAGAAAGTTCTTTGTTCCCTAATGTGTAAACAGCAACAACAAATAAAACACATGGAATCTGATCTTTTGACTTCCAATTTATATCACTTCCATATGTGGATCTCAATTCTGATACAAACCCGTTCCTCCATATGCGACCTCTGTCTGGATGGTCATATCAGATATTTTTTGCTCTGAAGTGTTTTTTATTGCCCACATTTTTAAGGAACAGTGACGGGAAATTAGCATTTCCTCTGTGTGCTACTTCAGATGCTACGTCAATGCAAATCTGTTATGGGTCACGTGTAAAAACTGTGTGTGGAGAGTCAGAAAAAAATATTGGATATAGAAAGAAAATCTGATTTCGGGTTTTAGGGTGGCTGTGTAAACAGCCTTTGACCTCAACGTTAAGTTATTCGGAAGAACATCTGCCTGAGAAACTCTTAGTCGATGAGGCCCAGAAGCATCAGTCAGTCACACACGTCTTCAAGGCCAGGCTTCTGCTAGACACACCCCCATTCAGGGAAAGACTGAGCACAACGAAGTAGCTATAATATCTACACTATTACCCACTGGGCTGTAATATAATGAAATAACTAAATAAGAGAACAGAACACATGAAACCAAATATCCAAACTTATTTTTTCCTGTTTGCACATATATTTATATATTCATGCATATGTGTTGCATTAGCTTTCAAACTAAATTCCAGCAGACCAGCACTTTTCACATGGACGTGACACCTTACATTTTGATTGCTTTGCATTGTCCTTGTCAACTAAATGAGATGAAAGAAGACAGATAAACACAAGGCATAATTTATTATGAATTATTGTTTATTTAAGTGTCTTTGATGCCCAGACATATGGGCTTATAAGACACTATGGCTGCGTCCCAAATGCCGCCCTATTCTCTACATAGTGTAATTCTTTTGACCAGGGCCCATAGTGTTCTGGTCAAAAGTAGTGAACTATATAAGCAATTGGGTGACATTTGGGACGCACCCTAATTTGACTGATTATTTACAGCAGTGAGCAAACATAACTCATCTTCACATATCCATAGAGATTGCATACCTACCAGTAGCCCAAAGCAAAGCCAAATAAATGAATTAATATGTTACAGGAGCAGCCCCCATCCATACATCACCGTTTTGGAGAACCGTCCCGACTGCTGGCCCGTTCTGCTGCTGGAGATTGACGACTTCATCCAGCGGGCCGCTGACAGGTTAGCTAAGGGGTTTTCTTCCGCTGGCCAGCCCCGGAATCCAACTAGAGGAGAGGCCACACTGCTCGGCCTTCAAACATGTCAAAGTAATCTGGTCGTACAGCTGGAGCGTCCTCCATAACTCATGACATGACTGTCAGCTGGTTCACCTGTTTGATTTGTGTTCATCTTGGAGGCATGATATTATCTACTTGAAATATGCTTTAAAGTTATATTTTACTACATGGACGTGCAGGTGTGTGTTTAACATAGAATTCTCCTGTCTGTTTGTGTGCGTGTGTGTGCGTGTGCTTTCGTGCATATAAAACGTGTGTGTAGGGATGAGTCTGCGTATGTGACCATGTTGGCCCCCTTCCTGCGCTACCTGTACTGTGAGCCCCAGCGGCTGGCAGAGTACGCCCTGCTCAGACACAGCCTCCTCAGGGTCCTACTGCCCCCTCAGCCGGTGGACCAGAACCAAGAAAATAAGAAAGACCAGGAAAAGGAAGAGGACCCGGGACAGAGCCCTGTGGTACGCCACAGCCTGGTTCGCTGTCTCCACGAGCTAGTTCCTCGCATGCAGGTGAGATGAGATTGATTTTCCTTTTTAATCCTTTGAGGAAACACACCATTTACAGTGTAGACATGAACCTGTGTTATGTCTCTATCTCCAGGTGGACAGTGTGGAGGCGGTGTTGGAGCTGCGGGGCCTCGTGGAGGCCATGATCCCGGCCCTGGAGGGGGCCGACTGGGTGACTGAGAGGGCCCGGCTGGCCCTGCAGCTGCTGTGTGCCTGTCAGCTCAGTCTGAAGCTTAGCGGAGACTGCAGACCACTACTCCAACTACTGCACCAGCTCCTCCCCACCCGCACAGAGGTGAGCCAGCCGCACAAAGTAGACCAGGGCTGCATCTCAATAGTCTAAAATGGCTTCCTCACCTTGTCTCATCTCCTTCATCTGCACAGATCAGGAAACAGTTTGTGCGGATTCTAATGAGATCAGCCTCTTGCTTCACACTCTTTCAGACGTTGCGCCGCTGTTTATGGTTATGTTATATTTCTGAGTGAGAAGGAAGAACCCCCAGCAAACCGTTTCCCCACACAGACACAAAGCACAGCAGCTCTTTAGCTTGTTTGTCTGCCTGCGGCTGTGGAGGTTTTGTTAGGATTCTGTCGACAGCTCCCGCTCAATGTATCCAGATCTGCCTCGCTGTGCGATCCTAATCTCTTCAAAGCATTGGATCGGGAGCGCACATAGCTCCAAAGATTCCTCCGGGGGTCGGAGACTGAGAGGGAATCTTTTGAGCTCAGTGCGCTGCGCTTACGATCCCTGCATTTTCAAGACCCCTCGGGTGGGATGTGTGTTTGTGTTGGGGGGTGGGAGGGGGTTGTCAGTTTGTATTCCCACTTCCTCTAAAGTGCGTGTATGTGTGTGCATGTGACTGTGCGTGTGTGTGTTTTTCCAGGAGTTCCCGGTGGAGGACATCATGGTGGGCTTGGCTCTGCTCCTTCTCGAGGCTTCAGCGCCCCAGCAGACCGGGCTGCTTACACTGGGTAACATCTCTCTCTCTCTCTCTCTCTCTCTCACTCTCACACTCTCACACACTCACTCACTCACTCACTCACTCACTCACTCACTCACTCACACACACACTGGTACCCCACTCTGTCCCTCTCTCTTCTACTCTAAACTTAACTCTCTCTCTTCTTCTACCACACTCACCTTTCTCTCTCTCACCTACCTCTCTCTCTCTCTCACTCACTCACTCACTCACTCACCTACCTCTCCTTACCTCTCTCGCGTCTGTCTCACTCTTCCACGCTCTCTTTCCCTCCCCCACACTCACCTCTCTTTTCTCTACCTTCCCTACATGCACCTCTCTGTCTCTCTCGCTCATCCCTACCCCCAACCGTCTTAATGATGATATCTTTACCCCCTACAGCCCTAAGTCTGGCCCCTCCAGAGTGTGAGCGCCCTCCCTGGGGGACCCCGGTGCTGGTGCTGCCTCTCCTGCAGGTCCTCTCCTGCTCCGCCCTCATGGAGCCCCTGACGGACCCCCGCACACACACACGCAACCAGAGCCTGGCCCAGAGCCTCCTACAGAATGCCCAGAGAGAGTCCTCCAAGCCTGCTGAGGTAAACAAATGATCTTCTTAGGGTTAGTACTCATTCCACCCAAAAAACTTGAAGAAGGATTTACCTCAGGATTTACCTTTTTTATGATGTGCATGAGAGGAGCAATGATTGATGCCAAGCAATGAAATATGCCAAGTTAACAGTACATGTCTGTCATACTGTAAATATGATGCAATGCATTCTTGTTAGCATATGGTCTTTATACCTATGGTTCTGCCTCCCCTCCCTCTCTCCACCCCACCTCCACCCTCATCTCCCCCTTCTCCCCACTCTCTCCCCTACTCCTTACCAGAAGGTGTCCCAGTTAGCCTTACCCCTCAGCCCGTGGTCCAGTGAGTTGCTGGTGGCCACCCAGGTCCTACGCCAGGTGACAGGGGACCCGGTGGCGGCTAGCGAGTGGCTCCTGGCGGTGACCTCGGCCCTGCCCCTGAGCCAGTGTGTCCCCTCTCCCCTCACCCTCACCGTGGCCCACTTGGTGGTCACCGGTCAGCAGGACGTCTGCAGACTGGCCCTGAAAACAGCCGCTGCCATCGCCCAGGCAGACCCCGCACAGGTAGCTACTGGAAACCGCATGCTGAAGCCACATTTATTGAATTTACTGCCCACATTCATATATAACTGATAAGTTAAACTCTATGAAACATAGAACTGTCATATGTTTTTTGGGTGAACAATAGTTTTTTGTTGAATCACTTAAAGATGCGTTAAAAGGTTTTGTATAATTTCAGCTAGTAGTTTTGAATGTAGAGTTCACGAGCCAAAATGTGTCCCCGAAAACTGTGCACAACATCATCCATTTCGTATGATATGTTACATCCTGCAAAAAAAAAAAAACTTTACGCATTTGTAAGTGCTTAAGATCCCGTTCGGTACAATCAATGAGAAACAATATTTTTTCCCCTTTTTAATCATTTGCCGTCCCTGTTTCACTCTGCGTCCAAACATTTTCTCCCTACTGAACACAACTCTGCTTGTTGCTATCACTACAGTGCATTCGGAAAGTATTCAGACCCCTTCACTTTTTCCACAATTTATTACGTTACAGCCTTATTCTAAAATGGATTAAATTGTTTTTTACCTCATCAATCTACCCCATAATGACAAAGAAAAAACAGGTTTTTTATAAATGTTTGCACATTTATTAAAAAGAAAAAACGCAAATATCAAATTTACATAAGTATTCAGTCCCTTTACTCAGTACTTTGTTGAAGCACCTTTGGCAGCGATTACAGCCTCGTGTATTTTGGGGTATGACGCTACAAGCTTGGCACAACTGTATTTGGGGTGTTTCTCCCATTCTCTGCAGATCCTCTCAAGCTCTCTCCAGAGATGTTCGATCGGGTTCAAGTCCGGGCTCTGGCTGGGCCACTCAAGGACATTCAGAGACTTGTCCCTAAGCCACTCCTGCATTGTCTTGGCTGTGTGCTTAGGGTCGTTGTCCTGTTGGAAGGTGAACCTTCGCCCCAGTCTGAGGTCCTGAGCACTCTGGAGCAGGTTTTCATCAAACATCTCTCAGTACTTTTCTCTGTTCATCTTTCCCTCGATCCTGACTAGTCTCCCAGTCCCTGCCACTGAAAAACATCCCTACAGCAGGATGCTGCCACCACCATGCTTTACCGTAGGGATGGTATTGGCCAGGTGATGAACAGTGTCTGGTTTCCTCCAGACATTACACTTGGCATTCAGGCAAAGAGTTCAATCTTGGTTTCATCAGACCAGGGAATCTTGTTTCTCATTGTCTGAGAGTCCTTTAGGTACCTTTTGGCAAACTCCAAGCGGGCTGTCGTGCCTTTTACTGAGGAGTGGCTTCCGTCTGGCCACTCTACCATAAAGGCCTGATTGGTGGAGTGCTGCAGAGATGGTTGTCCTTCTGGAAGGTTCTCCCATCTCCACAGAGGAGCTCTGTCAGAGTGACCATTGGGTACTTGGTCACCTCCCTGACCAAGGCCCTTCTCCCCCGATTGCTCAGTTTCGCCGGGCAGCCAGCTCTAGGAAGAGTCTTGGTGGTTCCAAACTTATTCCATTTAAGAATGATGGAGGCCACTGTGTTCTTGGGGACCTTCAATGCTGCAGAAATTGTTTGGTACCCTTCCCCAGATCTGTACCTCAACCCAATCCTGTCTCGGAGCTCAATGGACAATTCCTTCGACCTCATGGCTTGGTTTTTGCTCTGACATGCACAGTCAACTGTGGGACCTTATATACCAGGTGTCTGTCTTTCCAAATCATGTCCAATCAATTGAATTTACCACAGGTGGACTCCAATCAAGTTGTAGAAACATCTCAAGGATGATCAATGGAAACAGGATGCACCTGAGCTCAATTTCAAGTCTCATAGCAAAGGGTCTGAATACTTATGTAAATAAGGTATTCTCTGTTTGTGTTTTTGAACACATCTGCAAAAATGTCTAAAAACCTGTTTTCACTTTGTCATTATGGGGTGTTGTGTTTAGATTAATGAGGATTTTTATTTATTTAATCCATTTTAGAATAAGGCTGTAACAAAATGTGGAAAAGGTGAAGGGGTCTGAATAATTTCCGAATGGACTGTATATCGCTGGTTGAAATGCAAAGGATTAAAACTGTCAGACACTGTGACCCTGGAGGACTATCAATGGAGATTTGAGTCACCTGCTCTAGACAATAAAGAAATGTCACAGTGTATATCACCCTTATTTGCAGCGCTCATTAAATGGCTTAGTGCACACCTTTGATTCTGTAATTGCTCCCTGAGCGCCTGTTGTTCTGCTAGTTAAGTGGGGAGCAGTAAGTTATTGGTGCCTTTTATACCCATGGCATTTCCTTGTACCCGTGTGTGTGTAAGAGAGTGAGTGGGTGTGTTTGTGTGTGTGCGTACAGTATGAAGCATTTTTGTGTCATTACAGTGTGTGTTTGTGTGTTGACACCTCATATACAGTTTTTATGGGCTGATTAATTTATCCTTCACCCCATTGGCTTGTGGGCTGATCCCCCGCCTCCGATCTCCACGTCTCTCAGTAACTAGGAAGCTAAATCATAACACCACCACTGCGGCCGCCGCAGCCTGCAGACACCGGGGTGCTGCAAACACAAGATTTCATGTATTCTAGTTACTGTCTTGTCACTACAATGCTAACTCGTAGCGTCTTCAGGCACTGCCATGCTACAAGTGAAGGAAGGACCTAGTAAAGCTAAGATGTTATCTTTAACCAAGAAGAACAGACACAACACAATAACCAACTATTCAGTCACCATCTAAACTGTAGTTACTCTCAATGCGCTGTTGTAAAGATCTGGGGCTGTATGTTTTAAGCGTCTCAGAGTAGGAGTGCTGATCTAGGATCAGGTTCCCCCTGTTTATGTAATCTTACTTACTGAAATTTAAAAGGCAAAACTGATCCTACTCTGAGTAGCTTGACACCATATGGCCTCAGATCTTTACAACAATGCATTTAATGTAATGACAAAGGTGGTTGGTTATTGTGTTGGGGAACACAGGTGGCCATTCCCTCAAAAAGGCCCCCCAAAATATGGGAAAGGAGAGAAAATCCCCCCCCCCCCCCAATGATAAGTCATGCATATGCGGGGGTTGCTAGGCAACAGGGCAATGTGTGGGCGAACGGGAGCGATAAGCGCGTTATGCTAATGAAGGCATAGCAGTGGCAGAGGCGTCGCCGACGGGACTGAGGGTGAGACAAGGACACATTTCTCTCCCTCTTCTATCCCCGGAAGGAAGTAAGGAAGGAGTTAATGCATGGAGTATTGGCTTTAACCTCTGCTCTGGCTCGACTGTTTGGGGCGCGCATTGGGGTTTTTCAGAGGATTCCCTCAAAATGTAATTGGATTTTGAAAGAACTGAAAATAGCTCTTTCACGGAGCACTTAACTTAAGTCCCTGGCCTCTGAAGCCAACGTTTTTGGATGAAACCAATTGAACACAAATTATCCCAAACCAGGGGGCAACAGTTAGGTGGAGACATGAAAACATGTATAGTAGTGCTGAAAGTAAAGAATGGTAAGCACGCTGACTGAATTCTATCAATCCAATGCATCCAATGTTTGTGCTAACTGGTAAGTGAAATTCGTGATCACACCATGGTGTCCATAAGACCATGTTAATTGACCAAGTCATGAATGGTCCAAGAGAGGGAGGCCTGCTATCCATGGGGAGGGGTCAGAGGCTACATCCCTGTTATTGGGGGGCACAGGGAGGGGCGGGGGTTACACAGGCATCCCGCAGGAATTGAGTTAATCCCGCACTGTCTCAGTTCAGAAGTTAGAACAGCATACCCTGTTGGGGGTAGGAGGGGCTATATGATTTTATGAGGGAACCACTGAGCAATCCCATTCCGGGGGTTGTTATTAAGCCTTACAGTGCCTTCAGAAAGTATTCATACCTGTTGACTTATTCCACATTTTGTAGTGTCATACTGGTTGTTGATCATTCCTAGACAACCATTTTCAGGTCTTACCATAGATCTTCAAGGAGATTTAAGTCAAAACTGTAACTCGGCCACTCAGGAACATTCACTGTCTTCTTGGTAAGCAACTCCAGTGTAGATTTGGCCTTTTTGTTTTTGGTTATTGTCCTGCTGAAAGGTAAATTCATCTCCCAGTGTGTGGTGGAAAGCGGTTTTCCTCTACAATTTTGCATGTGCTTAGCTCAATTTCTTTTTTATTCTGAAAAGCTCTCCAAGATTACAAGCATACCCATAACATGATGCAGCCACCACAATGCTTGAAAATATGGAGAGTGGTACTCAGTAATGTGTTGAAGGCACTCCATCTGTACCTTATGTACTTAACACAAGAACACAAGGCCGTTCCACTTACTTGCGTAGCAAAAACACGCAAGCATATGCAGCATATACTTATCTGGGCACAGTTTTCTATTTGGCCCATGGGCCTGCTGTTTGGCACCCCTTCACTATACTGTATGGAGGGCTGGCTGTATGTTGGACGTGTGTGCATTACCTAATTTGTCCTTATTGCTTTCTATAATAACACATACACTACCGTTCAAAAGTTTGGGGTCACTTAGAAATGTCCTTGTTTTCCATGAACACATACATGAAATGAGTTTGAATAGGAAATATAGCAAAATGAATAGGAGATGTAGTCACTGACAAGGTTAGAAATAATGATTTTTAATTTAAATAATAATTGTGTCCTTCAAACTTTGCTTTTGTCAAAGAATCCTCCATTTGTAGCAATTACAGCCTTGCAGACCTTTGGCATTCTAGTTGTCAATTTGTTGAGGTAATCTGAAGAGATTTTACCCCATGCTTCCTAAAGCACCTCCCACGAGTTGGATTGGCTTGATGGGCACTTCTTACGGTCAAGCTGCTCCCACAAAAGCTCAGTAGGGTTGAGATCCAGTGACTGTGCTGGCCACTCCATTATAGACAGAATACCAGCTGACTGCTTCTTCCCTAAATAGTTATTGCATAGTTTGGAGCTTTGCTTTGGGTCGTTGTCCTGTTGTTGGAGGAAATTGGCTCCAATCAAGCGCCGTCCACAGGCTATGGCATGGCGTTGCAAAATGGAGTGATAGCCTTCCTTCCTCAAGATCCCTTTTACCTGTACAAATCTCCCACTTTACCGCCACCAAAGCACCCCCAGACCATCACATTGCCTCCACCATGCTTGACAGGTGGCATCAAGCACTCCTCTAGCATCTTTTCATTTGGTCTGCATCTCACAAATGTTCTTCTTTGTGATCCGAACACCTCAAACTTTGATTAGTCTGTCCATAACAATTTTTTCCAATCTTCCTCTGTCCAGTGTCTGTGTTCTTTTGCCCATCTAAATCTTTTCTTTTTATTGGCCAGTCTGAGATATGGCTTTTTCTTTGCAACTCTGCCTAGAAGGTCAGCATCCCGGAGTCGCCTCTTCACTGTTGATGTTGAGACTGGTGTTTTGCGGGTACTATTTAATGAAGCTGCCAGTTGAGGACCTGTTTCTCAAACTAGATACTCTAATGTATTTGTCCTCTTGCTCAGTTGTGCACCGGGCCTCCCACTCCTCTTTCTATTCTGGTTAGAGCCAGTTTGCGCTGTTCTGTGAAGGGAGTAGTACACAGCATTGTACGAGATCTTCAGTTTCTTGGCAATTTCTCGCATGGAATAGCCTTCATTTCTCAGAACAAGAATAGACTGACGAGTTTCAGAAGAAAGTTATTTGTTTCTGGCCATTTTGAGGCTGTAATCGAACCCACAATTGCTGATGCTCCAGATACTCAGCTAGTCTCAAGAAGGCCAGTTTTATTGCTTCTTTAATCAGCACAACAGTTTTCTGCTGTGCTAACATAATTGCAAATGGGTTTTCTAATGATCAATTAGCCTTTTAAAATGATAAACTTGGATGAGCAAACACAACGTGCCATTGGAACACAGGACTGATGGTTGCTGATAATGGGCCTCTGTACGCCTATGTAGATATTCCATAAAAAATCAGCCGTTTCCAGCTACAATAGCCATTTACAACATTAACAATGTCTACACTGTATTTCTGATCAATTTGATGTTATTTTAATGGACTAAAAAAATTGATTTTCTTTCGAAAACAAGGACATTTCTAAGTGACCCCAAACTTTTGAACGGTAGTGTAGATTCATTTTCCCTCAGTTCCCTTTCCATATTCTCTAGTCTTGGCCTAGGATGATGATACCTCCACTAGAACTGACACTAATTTGGCTGGGGTTGTCTGTTTGTTCTGCCCCCAAGGCTCTACATGTTTGTCAGGTTTTGTGGGAGAGAGAGAAAGCTTACTTAGTCTTGGAATGGCAAGAGCCTCCGGGACAATACTCTGCTATTGTACAACTCTGTGTGTCACCTGTGGGGGGTTTGAAAGAAGGAAGGAAAGAGAGAGACCGAGTGGGAGTGAAAAGAGAGAGACAGACAGAAAGTGAGTTATTAAGAAAGGAAGAAATTAAGGAATGAGGAGCTCCTAGAGAGAGAGAGGGTGGGGGGTAACACCAGCGCAGGAACGCGACTTTCAAAGTTCAAAGCCTGATGATTCCTTTGCCGTTTCATTGCGCTGTGTGGCGGCGGGGGGTGGCGGTGGCGGGTGAGATGGATTGATTGTGACAGTGTGCAGCTTAGCGCGGCCTATAATGATGTGGGTGAGAAGAACTCAGCAAGAATGTAGAATATTACTCCCCTTTACTCCCACTCTCCCCCATACAAGAAAAAAAGTGCTTCAAGTAGGTATGCTTCAACAAGTGTGTGCCCCCCTCCGCTCCTCTGTCTCTCACTCACTCACTTTCTGTCTTTCTCTCTTTCCCACCCCCCTCTTTCTCTCTCTCCCCCTCCCCCATCGCTCTGTATTTCTCTCCCTCCCTCCCTCTCTCTCTCTCTGCAGGTCCCATCCCTTCTTCCTGTTCTGTTGTTTAAGCTGGGGAAGGAGTGTGACCCAGACTTGTCCCACGCTGTGCTCTACTCGCTGCCAAACTTTGGGACCCACAAGGTACTTACTTCACTGCACACGACTGGCCTGTTTGAAAGGCTGAGTCATAGCCCCAAACACAAAAGGATTTCCTCGCAGTGGAAAAATGCTATATTTTAGCTGCTATAACTATTAGTAGGAGTCTCAACGTCAAAGGACAGGGCTCAGTTTTAGAGAAGACTTTGCATCTCATTGCCTCACATTGAATATGGTCAAGATAGACTTAATGCAAAGCCTTCCAAGAAAGCCTGCTTTCCTGTGTACCAATTTATGTAATTGAATAGTGTATTGGCTCAAACTCAACATCATACTTCATATTGACATCACTGTGTGTGTGTGTGTGTGTGTGTGTGTGTGTGTGTGTGTGTGTGTGTGGCTTCCCCTCTCTGACGTGTGGTTTTCAGTTGTGTCTTCCCCAGGTGCTTCACACACTCCAGATGCTGGGCAGCACCCCCAAGCTGAGGGCCGTGGCACTGCGCCTCATGACTGCTCTGTGGGAGAAACAGGTTAGTGACTGCTGCATCTCCAAATGCAGAAGAGCCATATTCTAAGGCATACTTTTTTTTATGTGAATATATACAGTACCAGCCAAAGGTTTGGACACACCTACTCATTCCAGGGTTTTTCTTGAGTTTTACTATTTTCTACATTGTAGAATAATAGTGAAGACATCAAAACTATGAAATAACAAATATGTAATCATGTAGTAACCAAAAACGTGTTAAACAAATCAAAATATATTTTATATTTGAGATTCTTCAAAGTAGCCACCCTTTGCCTTGATGACAGCTTTTCACACTCTTGGCATTCTCTCAACCAGCTTCATGAGGTAGTCACCTGGAATGCATTTCAATTAACAGGTGTGCCTTGTCAAAAGTTAATTTGTGTAATTTCTTTCCTTAATGCGTTTGACAGAAGATAGTTGATACAGAAGATAGACCTATTTGGTAAAAGACCAAGTCCATATTATGGCAAGAACAGCTCAAATAAGCAAAGAGAAACGATAGTCCATCATTACTTTAAGACATGAAGGTCAGTCAATCAGGAACATTTCAAGAACTTTTAAAGTTTCTTCAAGTGCAGTCGCAAAAACCATCAAGCGCTATAATGAAACTGGCTCTCATGAGGACCGCCACAGGAAAGGAAGACCCAGAGTTACCTCTGCTGCAGAGTATAAGTTCATTAGAGTTACCATCCTCAGAAATTGCAGCCCAAATAAATGCTTCACAGAGTTCAAGTAACAGACGCATCTCAACATCAACTGTTCAGAAGAGACTTCGTGAATCAGGCCTTCATGGTTGAATTGCTGCAAAGAAACCACTACTAAAGGACACCAATAAGAAGAAGAGACTTGCTTGGGCCAAGAAACACGAGCAATGGACATAAGACTGGTGGAAATCTGTCCTTTGGTCTGATGAGTCCAAATTTTAGATTTTTGGTTCCAACCGCCATGTCTTTGTGAAACGCAGAGTAGGTGAACGGATGATCTCTGCATGTGTGGTTCCCACCGTGAAGCATGGAGGAGGAGGTGTGATGGTGTGGGGGTGCTTTGCTGGTGACACTATCGTGATTTATTTTGAATTCAAGGCACACTTAACAAGCATGGCTACCACAGCATTCTGCAGCGATACGCCATCCCATCTGGTTTGGGCTTAGTGGGACAATAATTTGGTTTTCAACAGGACAATGACCCAACACACCTCCAGGCTGTGTAAGGGCTATTTGACCAAGAAGGAGAGTGATGGAGTGCTGCATCAGATGACCTGGCCTCGACAATCACCCGACCTCAACCCAATTGAGATGGTTTGGGATGAGTTGGACCGCAGAGTGAAAGAAAAGCAGCCAAGAAGTGCTTAGCATATGTGGGAACTCCTTCAAGACTTTTGGAAAAGCATTATACGCTGGTTGAGAGAATGCCTGTAGTGTGCAAAGCTGTAAAGGCAAAGGGTGGCTACTGTTGGCAGTTGATGTTATTATTCAATAACACAGACCCCAAAGCAAATCAGGGGGAGAAAAATATATTTATTCAAAGAGAACAAATCATAGTTGTTATGCTGGGAAGTAGATGGTAGATATTCATTCTTCACTGTGAGTCCAGTTGACCGAGGTAGATAACCTGTGATTGCGTGAGTTGGGCCTTATTAGGGCTAGCTTTATGGCCTTTGGCATGCAAGTGGTCTAACAGTGATTTAGATTCTTGGCATGTGTTTCCTCATCTTCTGACGCTAACAATATATCATCAGCATATTGTATGACAACAGATGACATCGGAGGAAGATCTTGGAGATGTCTCCGCAATGCCTGATGATAAATCGAAGGACTATTATGAAGACCCATAGGAGTCCTAGTCCACTGATACTGTTGACCATCCACAGAAAAAGCAAGCCATGGACGGACCTCTGAATGTAAGGGTACCGACCAGAACCCATTAGTCATATCAACGACTGAGAACAGAGAGTGAGCAGGTGACAATAAGGAAAAGATGGTTGAGGGTTCAGCCACCAGTGGAGTGAGCTTGGATATGGCTTCATTTGAATTCTTGTAATCCACTGTCACCTGCCAGTCACCACTTGATCTTTTTCACTTGCCATACCGGGCTATTGGAGGCAGAGTGTTTCTTTTCAACAATCACTACTTTAGTAGCAGCCATAGCTTCCTTGCTAATGGGATATTGTTTAGTGCAAGGTGGGGCAACACCTGTCAAGCACACTGGTTCCATGTCCAAAGCTCCACACTCATTTTTCTTCGTTGTCCAAATAGGATGGTTCTGAACCTTAGATCCCTGCAGTTGTCTAATTTGCCATGTCACCTTTCCTTCAGAGATGTTCAGTGTAGAGGTTGTTCAAAGGATCCTATCCACACCCTTGCATCAATCTTCATTGGACCATTGGAAATTGATAATGGTTTGGTCTGCTTCATATCTGTCTCCCCCCACTCCCGTTGCTCTCATCTTCTTGCCCGTGTACTGAGGTTTGCATAAGATATGGTGACTTCAGCACCCGTATCTACTAAAAAATCTACTGCAAAGTTGTTAACCAGCATGTTCACATATATTCCATCCGATTTCATATGTACACCAGCTGAGATGGGACGTAAGAGGGGGTTTGTTAGTTTAACTCCACTGCATCCAGCAGACCCTGCTGCTGAGCCGGAGAGAGCTTCTTACATTTCTGCATCAGCATTGTGTCATTGGAGCTGTTGTCCTGTTCCTTAGATGACCACTGCTTCTCTTGGCCACTTCTCATAAGGACACGTTTTCTTGTCCGACATTCTCGTAGCCAGTGACCAGAAATCCCGCAATAATGACATGCACCAGGTTTCTTTTCTGCTGAACGAGTAATGTTGTTGGTTTCACTCGGAACCTGCTCAACTCTGATGACAGGCGGTTTATTATGTTGAGTGATGTATCTGTCCAGTCGTGACAGCCTGTCAATGATGTCGCCATAGTTTTGTCTCTCCCAATCAGTGGTTGTGGAAACAAAAGTTTTTGCGCAAATCATTGTGTATGGATTGCATCAACTGATGTGTGATTGCCCCATTCTTGGAGGAGTTGAGTGCATCTTCATCCTCCATGTGTCTAACCACCTCTGCTCTAAACCTCTTCAAATTCAACAAATGGCTCTTTCGATTTTTGGACACATTTGGTTATCTCTCCCCAATTGGTGGTGGCATTGGTCAGACCCTTAAGGAAAACATGTATGCCTGTCCATCCATCGGCCACATCTTGCTCTTCACCACCCACAGCGCCATAAACCTTTTCTTCAAGTACGCCATGTTCACGGTTGTTCAAAACAAAGGCTAATAACTGTAACCCATCATAAGGATGTAGATTGTAGAGTTTTTTATATCGCCTTAAATGGTCCCATGTCTTCATACCCACGTCTTGTGGATGCTTCAAAGTCTTTGACCATTCATCCAACTGTTTTGGAGATGCAGATTTATGTTTGATTACTGTCACTGGAGGTTTGTCTTTACTCCCTTTAACAGCCTGTGTTCTGGTTGGCCTGAGACATCGTTTGTCACCGCTGTCAGAGTCTGTTGACTCAAAGCCAGGCAGTGCTGACCAGATGCTTGAAACCCGATCTGCCTTGCGCAACTCAGCATGAGGGTAGATTGAGGGAACAAAGAGCCCACAGGTGGGGGCCAAGTCTGCCTTTGACACCCTTGTATTCTGTAATTGTTGAATTTCCTCTTTTAATGTTCTTGTTTGTTCACCAAGAGCCCTCAAATTCTCTCAGCAATGTCTTATCATGATTATCACGAAGGAATTTGTCATCTCGTTTTATACAGTTAAAGACCATTGTGTCTTGGTCAATGAGTTAGACATTCTCTGTATTTTCCCCCAAGCTTTTTGTATATCAGACAGATTCCAGATTCCATCTTTGTCAACAATGACAGAATATTTCTTTATTATCTCCTGCCTACACTTCTCTACTTTGAAAGGGTTCTTCATATCACTAGACAGTGAATTTAATATATTTTTCATGTTCACATCCGGAGCAGCTGTCACGCCCTTTTCCAGAGTGGTTCTCTCACTTGAAAATGCCCTTACACCAACTTCAGAAGTTGTATAATATATATATATATGTTTATAAACTTATTTAACCCCAAAATATATGTATATATAACACCTTGAGGACTCAAACCTCTATCTATATAACGCAAATTGTTTCTGTAGGGCCTGGTTACCCATAAAAAACTTGCGTTTACTTCATAAGCTTGTTGAGGACTTGAACCTCGTAAAACTTGTGTTCACTTCAAAAGCTTGCAAAATGCTTACAAGGCTTACATTACCCAAAATTGCTACTCAACTAGCAACTCACTTCTATACAATAAGGTTTCACTCCCTTAATCAATTATGGCTTATTTTAATTGATAGGGCTTTTACAAAGGACTCTAACCTTTAACAAAGGACTAACCTTTAACCAAGGACTAACCTTTAACCAAGGACTAACCTTTAACCAAGGACTCTAACCTTTAACAAAGGACTCTAACCTTTATACATCACATATACATATCACTCATTGCATGCACTTATTTTAACCTGATTTCGTGCTTTTAGATGATATAGGTCTAGACTCACCCAGCAATTATGCCATCAATCAGGAGATTAAGAACTGAATCCCGAAGTGGGTTGAGCACAGCCCTCTCTTTATCCCCTGGATCAACACACAGTTGATGAGTTTTTTCTTGTTGTTGGTCAAGACCAATTAATCCGGGTCACGGCACCAAGTGTTAGCAGCAAATCAGGGGGAGAAAAATATTATTTATTCAAAGAGAACAAATCATAGTTGTTATTCTGGGAAGTAGATGGTAGATGTTCATTCTTCCCTGTTCTCAATGTTTCTCCACTGAACAAAGAGACAGGATGTAGTTTATAGCCTCAAGCCTAGTATGTGGCTGACCAATTAGAATTCCTTGCAATAAAATTGGGATACTGGCCAAACCCCCAAGTATCTTGTTTCAGGCTCAATGTATAGACCATTTGGACCAATGAAAACTTCCCACATGTAACTATGAATAAAAACAACTATTTCCATTGATCGTTAATTCCCTCTTGACCTCTAGTCCTCTGTTGACCACTAGTCCTCTTGACCACTAGTCCTCTGCGTTGTGTATATTTATCTTCGAATATTCGTACACTACTTTGAAGAATCTAAAATGTAAAATATATTTTGATTTGTTTAACACTTTTTTGGTTACTACATAATTCCATATGTGTTATTTACTAGTTTTGATGTCTTCACTATTATTCTACAATGTAGAAAATAGTAAAAATAACAAAAAACCCTTGAATGAGTAGGTGTGTTCAAACCTTTGACTGGTACTCTATTCGGAAAGTATTCAGACCCACTGACTTTTCCCACATTTTGTTACGTTACAGCCTTATTCTAAAATGAATTAAATACACACAAGACCACATAATGACAAAGCGAAAAGCAGTTTTTTTGTGCACATATATATATATATATATATATATATATATATAAAAAGATACCTTATTTACGTAAGTAATTAGTGCTATGAGACTCAAAATTGAGTTCAGTTGCATCCTGTTTCCATTGATCATCCTTGAGATGTTTCTACAACTTGATTGGAGTCCACCTGTGGTAAATTCAATTGATTGGACATGATTTGGAAAGGCACATACCTGGGGCGAAGGTTCACCTTCCAACAGCACAACGATCCTAAGCACACAGCCAAAACTGTTCAGGAGTGGCTTCGGGACAAGTCTCTGAATGTCCTTGAGTGGCCCAGCCAGAGCCTGGACTTGAACCCGATCAAAAATCTCAGGAGAGACCTGAAAATAGCTGTGCAGTGACGCTCCTCATTCAACCTGACAGAGCTTGAGAGGATCTGCAAAGAAGAATGGGAGAAACTCCCCAAATACAGGTGTGCCAAGCTTGTAGTGTCATGCCCAAGATTCAAGGCTGTAATCGCTGCCAAAGGTGCTTCAACAAAGTACTGAATAAAGGGTCTGAATACTTTTGTTAATGTGATATTTCAGTTTAACATTTTTGGTTAAATGTGCAAAAATTTATAAAAACCTGTTTTTGCTTTGTCATTACGGGGTATTTTCTACATTTGTGTAGAAACAATGTAATCAATTTTAAAATAAGGCTATAACGTAACAAAATGTGGAAAAGGTAAAGGGTTCTGAATACTTTCCGAATTCACTGTATGTACAGTGGGGAAAACAAGTATTTGATACACTGCTGATTTTGCAGGTTTTCATACTTACAAAGCATGTAGAGGTCTGTAATTTTTTATCATAGGTACACTTCAACTGTGAGAGACGGAATTTGCATTTTATTGCATGACATAAGTATTTGATCACCTACCAACCAGTAAGAATTCCGGCTCTCACAGACCTGTTAGTTTTTCTTTAAGAAGCCCTCCTGTTCTCCACTCATTACCTGTATTAACTGCACCTGTTTGAACTCGTTACCTGTATAAAAGACACCTGTCCACACACTCAATCAAACAGACTCCAACCTCTCCACAATGGCCAAGACCAGAGAGCTGTGTAAGGACATCAGGGATAAAATTGTAGACCTGCACAAGGCTGGGATGGGCTACAGGACAATAGGCAAGCAGCTTGGTGAGAAGGCAACAACTGTTGGCGCAATTATTAGAAAATGGAAGAAGTTCAAGATGACGGTCAATCACCCTCGGTCTGGGGCTCCATGCAAGATCTCACCTCGTGGGGCATCATTGATCATGAGGAAGGTGAGGGATCAGCCCAGAACTACACGGCTGGGACCACAGTCTCAAAGAAAACCATTAGTAACACACTACGCCGTCATGGATTAAAATCCTGCAGCGCACGCAAGGTCCCCCTGCTCAAGCCAGCGCATGTCCAGGCCCATCTGAAGTTTGCCAATGACCATCTGGATGATCCAGAGGAGGAATGGGAGAAGGTCATGTGGTCTGATGAGACAAAAATATAGCTTTTTGGTCTAAACTCCACTCACCGTGTTTGGAGGAAGAAGAAGGATGAGTACAACCCCAAGAACACCATCCCAACCGTGAAGCATGGAGGTGGAAACATCATTCTTTGGGGATGCTTTTCTGCAAAGGGGACAGGACAACTGCACCGTATTGAGGGGAGGATGGATGGGGCCATGTATCGCGAGATCTTGGCCAACAACCTCCTTCCCTCATTAAGAGCATTGAAGATGGGTCGTGGCTGGGTCTTCCAGCATGACAACGACCCGAAACACACAGCCAGGGCAACTAAGGAGTGGCTCCGTAAGAAGCATCTCAAGGTCCTGGAGTGGCCTAGCCAGTCTCCAGACCTGAACCTAATAGAACATATTTGGAGGGAGCTGAAAGTCCGTATTGCCCAGCGACAGCCCCGAAACCTGAAGGATCTGGAGAAGGTCTGTATGGAGGAGTGGGCCAAAATCCCTACTGCAGTGTGTGCAAACCTGGTCAAGACCTACAGGAAACATATGATCTCTGTAATTGCAAACAAAGGTTTCTGTACGAAATATTAAGTTCTGCTTTTCTGATGTATCAAATACTTAAAAATCATACAATGTGATTTTCTGGATTTTTGTTTTAGATTCCGTCTCTCACAGTTGAAGTGTACCTATGATAAACATTACAGACCTCTACATGCTTTGTAAGTAGCAAAACCTGCAAAATCGGCAGTGTATCAAATACTTGTTCTCCCCACTGTGTGTATATATATATATATATATATATATATATATATATATATATATATATGTATGTATGTGTGTATATATACTGAACAAAAATATAAACGCAACATGTAAAGTGTTGGTGCCATGTTTCATGAGCTGAAATAAAATATCCCTGAAATGTTCCATACGAACAAAAAGCTTATTTCTCTCAAATTTGGTGAACAAATGTGTTTACATCCCTGTAAGTGAGCATTTCTCCAATGACAAAATAATCCATCCACCTGACAGGTGTGGCATATCAAGAAGCTGATTAAACAGCATGATAATTCCACAGGTGCACATACGACAATAAAAGGCCACTCTAAAATGTGCAGTTTTGTCACACAACACAATGCCACAGATGTGTCAAGTTGAGGGAGTGTGCAGTTGGCATTCTGACTGCAGGAATGTCCACCAGAGCTGTTGCCTGAAAATGGAATGTTAATTTCTCTACCATAAGCCGCCTCCAACGTCATTTTAGAGAATTTGGCAGTATGTCCAACCGGCCTCACAACCACAGACCATGTGTAACCACGCCAGCCCAGGACCTCCACATCTGGCTTCTTTACCTGCGGGATTGTCTGAGACCAGCCACCCGGACAGCTGATGAAACTGAGGAGTATTTCTGTCTGTAATAAAACTCATTTTGACTGGCTGGGCCTGGCCCCCAAGCTGCGCCGATGGCCATTCATGTGAAATCCATAGATTAGGGCCTAATGAATTTATTTCAATTGACTTATTTCCTTATATGAACTGTAACTCCGTAAACGCATTGAGATTGTTGCTTGTTGTGTTTATATATCTGTTCAGTGTACACTACCAGTCAAAAGTTTGGACACACCTACTCATTCAAAGGTTTTTCTTTATTTTTTTTATTTTTTTTTACATTGTAGAATAATAGTGAAGACATCAAAACTATGAAATAACACATATGGAATCATATAGTAACCAAAAAAGTGTTAAACAAATCAAAGTATATTTTATATTTGAGATTCTTCAAATAGCCACCCTTTGCCTTGATGACAGCTTTGCACACTCTTGGCATTCTCTCAACCAGCTTCATGGGGTAGTCATCTGGAATGCATTTCAATTAACAGTTTTGCCTTCTTAAAAGTTCATTTGTGGAATTTCTTTCCTTCTTAATGCATTTGAGCCAATCAGTTGTGTTGTGACAAGGTAGAGGGGTATACAGAAGATAGCCCTATTTGGTAAAAGACCAAGTCCATATTATGGCAAGAATGGCTCAAATAAGCAAAGAGAAACGACAGTCCGCCATTACTTTAAGACATGAAGGTCAGTCAATATGGAACATTTCAAAAACTTTGAACGTTTCTTCAAGTGCAGTCGCAAAAACCATCTAGCGCTATGATGAAACTGGCTCTCATGAGGACCGCCACAGGAATGGAAGTCCCAGAGTTACCTCTGCTGCAGAGGATAAGTTCATTAGAGTTACCAGCCTCAGAAATTGCAGCCCAAATAAATGCTTCATAGACACATCTCAACATCAACTGTTCAGAGGGGACTGTGTGAATCAGGCCTTCATGGTCGAATTGCTGCAAACAAACCATTACTAAAGGACACCAATAAGAAGAAAAGACCTGCTTGGGCCAAAAAACATGAGCAATGGACATTAGACCAGTGGAAATTTGTCCAAATGGTCTGGAGTCCAAATTGGAGATCTTTGGTTCCAACCGCTGTGTCTTTGTGAGATGTGTGGGTGAACGGATGATGTCCACATATGTATTTCCCGCCGTAAAGCATGGAGGAGGAGGTATAATGGTGTGGGGGTGCTTTGCTGGTGACACTGTCTGTGATTTATTTCGAATTCAAGGCACACTTAACCAGCATGGCTACCACAGCATTCTGCATCTATACGCCATCCCATCTAGTTTGGGCTTAGTGGGACTATCATTTATTTTTCAACAGGACAATGACCCAACACACCTCCAGGCTGTGTAAGGGCTATTTGACCAAGAAGGAGAGTGATGGAGTGCTGCATCAGATGACCTGTCCTCCACAATCCCCCGACCTCAACCCAATTGAGATGGTTTGGGATGAGTCGGACCGCAGAGTGAAGGAAAAGAAGCCAACAAGTGCTGAGCATATGTGGGAACTCCTTCAAGACTGTTGGAAAAGCATTCTTCATGAAGCTGGTTGAGAGAATGCCAAGAGTGTGCAAAGCTGTCATCAAGGCAAAGGGTGGCTATTTGAAGAATCTCAAATATGAAATATATGTTCATTTGTTTAACACTTTTTTGGTTACTACATAATTCCATATGTGTTATATCATAGTTTTGAGGTCTTTACTATTATTCTACAATGTAGAAAATAGTATAAATAAAGAAAAACCCTTGAATGAGTAGGTGTGTTCAAACGTTTGACTGGTACTATATATATATATATATGTGTATATATATTACATTTAAAGTTGTATTACGTTTTCTTGTTTTTCAGTCCACAAACAAACACAATCCACAAAATGTGAATACTTTTTTTACATTCAAATAACAATACTGTATATGATGCCAGCTGATTGTCCACACTGCACTTTCAGAAGGGTGTTTCATTTGCAACGCATTGTTTCCCAGATGGCGGGAGTTGACACTTCGGCAGTCTTGATTTGGAATTAAGTGTCTCTTTCTGTCTCTCTCTTGCTCTCTCTCTCTCTCTCTCATTCACTATCTATCTGTCTCTCTCTGGGCCATAGGACCGTGTGTACCCTGACCTCCAGAGGCTGATCTCCCAGCTAGAGAAGTCGTCTGTGCTTCTGGGGAAGGAGGCCCAGTGGGAACAGATCCTAGCCAGGGCTGCCTGTGTCAGAGACATCTGCAGAGAGAGGTGGGCTCCAACACTCCTCTGAGACTTACACTGTCTGTCCCCTCAGGGTTCTTCCTAAACCATTCGCTTTCCCTACACCAAGTGTGGCCAACCCTCTTCCTGGGGAGCTGCTGGCTGTGCAGGCTTTTGCTCCGTCCCTGCTCTATAACATGCCTGATTCTACTCATCAGCTGCTCATCGGGAACCTAGATTAGCTGAATAAGTTGTTGGAGAAGGGCTGGCTCAAAAGCCTGCACACTCAGTAGCTCTACAAAAGTGCCTTGGAGGTAAGGGATAGAGGTGGATTTTGAATTCACTTCTAGAAAGAGGTTTTAATGACTCGTCTGTGTCCCAGGCCCTACCAGCACGGTGGGGACATGCTGGCTGCCATCACACACACTCTGGCCCAGTGTTCCAGACCAGACCAGGCCGCCCCCGCTGCCTTGGCCCTGCAAGGCCTACACGAGCTCTGCCGCACCGAGGTGAGAAATACACATGCATGCCAGGGTTTCCGTTAGCCGGTAATTGCCGGCTTTTGGCCGTACATATTTTTTTTTAAAGCCGATTAAAACAATGGTGGCCTGCCAAATTGACTGGGAGAAAAAAACAACGTTAGGCAGGCTATCAGCGCGCCACCCACCACTTTACAATGGGAGTTGGAGGCAGTATGCATTTTGAAAACATACTTCATTGTTTGAAACCTGAATGTTTTCTTTAATATTATGAGGCATGTCTTACCGTTCTTGAAAGTCCGACCATAGAAGGTGGAGGCAATTATCTCATAAAGACTTCATAGTGAGTTTCAAGTTTGGGGAAGCATACAATTTATCCTACCATTTCTACCAGTCAGTTATGATTTTCATATGTGCGTTTTCGTGGAACAGTTTCATTTCAATAATGTTTTTGTTTCTCAAAATCATTGTCATGTGGAAATCATAAAAATCTTAATTAAAAGGATAAATATCTAAAAGTTAAAATTCAACTAATGCGAGAGCACCAGCCTCTGCCATATGGAAACATTACCATAATCTTTGGTGCTAAATAGCATAAATGAGAGCATTGGAACTCAGAGACGGCCAATGCAGCCGTTGGCCTATAAATTCCATTGTCAACTGAGTAAAAATAGATAAAAACAGTAGAAAATATAACCTACTGATAACAATTCTGTTTTTTTCAATTACATTCATCTCTCTACTTTGCCTGTCTGTCTCCCTTTTTATCAGTCTTGACTTGAGCTATTGCTAGTGAAGTGCAAAATTGTATTAAATCATCACAGGGTCCAGCCCAAAGCTGTAGCTAGCGAACTTGCAGCATTGTATCAACTAGCCTATTCTAGGCCCTCGGAGTTTCCCGCCCCAGTGAGCTCGGGACTGACAGCTGTTTTTGCGCAAGGGAAAGGTAGGCTATTTTATGACGTTTCCACTGCATAAATGGGATCATCCGATTTATGATATTTTGCTCTTTCACACCGAGGCTTGGTGATTACTGATGCGGAGATTGTTGGAAAGATTTTCCAAACAGGCCTACTGTGAGGAACTATTAGGCAATCATTCGCCATGGATGTTTAAAAAACAGACTTTGTTGACTTACTGTGTGAGGTGAAGGAAAAAATGACTGGGAAGCTCAGCTTATTACTGGTGGACGTGGTAACTAAGACAATCAGAAATCAAACATCCCCAAATGGGCACTTTCCTACATTTAGCGCGCAGCATGCCAGGTAGGCTACTTCTATGCGTGCTCAGGCATGTGCGCTCCCTCAACATTAACAAGACAGAGAAACCAGACCCATGCTCATTGCTCACATGGAGCACTCCAAACAAAAGACAATGAAAAAATGGACAACTCGTAAATGATAGTTAGAAAATAAACCAAAACGTGTTTCTCACAAGTGTAGCCGGTTGTGAACTCTGCAAACAACGTTTCCACTCCGAGAATGAGAACGCTAAATGACTGTAGGCCTAATTAGTAATACAAATGCGTTAACAGAAATTAATGTAACCAAATGGCGGGGATTAACGGTACATTTACTACTGGTGACAGGTGTAATGGGGAATTGATCAAAAATAAACAATCGAAGGGCAAACAATGAATGCGCAAGAATTTGCGGGAGACAGCTGAGTGCATTCTGGAGAGCTGAGCCATGCATTCTGGAAAGAGACACACCTCCAGGCTGTCTTCGCCACACACCCCTCCTCTTCTTCTTGTCTCAACGTTTTAAGTTATACTCAAGACACATTATCTTCACACATTTTAGATGCTTTTCACTGACAGCCGCAACTCAATAATCAGCTAGGCCTTTTGCCACGCCGCTGCCTATGAAACACCTCCTCATATGCAATTTATTTCCTGTTCCTGCAAGTGCTGGTTTAGTGTTTTTTCCCCTTTTTCCTGTGAATTGCATTTTGGCAAGTGTTTGAAAAGGACGTTTTATTGTCTGCATCATTACAGGAGTTGCATGTTTTGTTAAGATGAATTACCATAATCTAAATGTGATTTCTGTCATTCTGAACACCGTGAGTGGATTTCCTAAAGTATATGTGTCCGGTAAATTTCTCAAATGGCCGGTAAGTTTAAATATTCCCGTCACGTTGTCCGGCGCCACATTTGGCTAACGGAAACCCTGACGCACGTACGCACGCACGCGCACACACACACATGCTCGCATGTAGGCACACACACACACACTACCACAACACTTTCTAAGATATCTGAATATGAGTATTGTGTTTTAATACTGTCTTACTCATCAATTTCTTTTGGTCTGTAAGCATAATTCAATAAACCCCCTAAGATAGCATTGTCTTCAGGTGGTAAACATTGATGATGTTGTGTTTCTCCAGGTGGTAGATGTGGGTTCCACATGGACAGCCTTGGGCCCTAAACTGAGCTGTGACTCTAGACCCCTGGTGGTCAAGGCCATAGCGGAGCTCCTGGCTCTGCTGCCACAGCTCACTGTCAAGACAGAGGAGTACGAGGTACACCAACTACTCCTCCAAATCAGTTAACTATACATAACACACCTGGGGCCATATTTTAACAATAGAAATGCAAACAAGTGTTTTTGTATTTATGCAGCATTTCAATTTGATGTGATTTGAAATGGGCCTTTTCACCCTTAACTATGGCTTGTTTTCCTTCAGAAACTCAAAGAGCAGGTTGTCAGCTTTCTCTGGGGCTACGCTCTCAACAAGGTTGGTGGAGAAATCAGCATGCATCCCAGACTAGCCAAATCCCAGATCTTTGTGCATGTTTTTGTTTTGATCGGTTTGTTTGTCATTTGTTTGTTTGTGTGTTCCAGGAACCTGAGGTGGCCATTTGTGGCTACAAGGCCCTGTCAGAGTTCCCAGAGGCAGCACACACACTCCATCACCTCCCCGAGCAGGTGAGAGTCCCACTGGATAGACAACGCTCTCACAATGTTCCTACAACCACCCAGACATTTTATGTAGTAGTAATTCATCCCTGGAGCGGCAGGTAGACTAGAGGTTAGAGAGGCGAGCCAGCAACAGGAGGGTTGCCAGTTCGAATCCTGGGTCCGACAGGAAAAATCTGTCTGGAAGTGAGCTTGTACAGGAGGGTTGCTTATATAAAATCCTAGATGCCATTGCCTGCCGTTGTGCCCTTGAGCAAGACACTTAACCCTCCACAACAACAGCTCCCTGGGCGCCCAGTGTGGCAGCCCCCCGCACCTCTCCAAAAACCTGTATATGTATCGGAGGGGTTGGGTTGAAAGCGGAAGTCAAAATTTGGTTGGACCTTGTGTGCAATTGACCAAAAAAGTTATCTTTAATCTGATCTTAATCCATCATACTCACAATTAATCATATTGTTGTTTATCATTGTTGTGTAATGCAATCAGTCAGCAAATAATGTCTTTGGTATGCTGGTTTGTCTTCCTGATAGGCCAGGCCGGTCGCAAAACTTCCTGAAAGTGTGGAGGAGGAACAGGGGAAAGAGAAGGAGGAAGAGGAGGAAGAAGATCTGTCCATTCCAGGTCCATCCTATGTGAAGCTCCTAGGTCTCACATCCCTCTCAGTCCTGCCAGGTAGAAGCTGCTCAGATCTTATATACTCCACATCTCTAACTACTTTGGTTCTTTCCTTTTCTGTCCTTTCTATGAATACTGTACTGTTAGACACATAGACTAACAACACACACACACGCGCGCATGCATACTCACTCTCTCTCTCTCTCTCTCTCTCTCTCTCTCTCTCTCTCTCTCTCTCTCTGTCTCTCTCTCTCTCTCTCTCTCTCTCTCTTTCACTACATCTCTTTAGAATCACAGCAGCACTGAGCACCGTGCCAACTTTCGAGGATGGGACTAAGTGTATTCAGATCTCGATTTAATAGTGTATTCGGATCTCGATTTAATGCAGCGTTTGAATTGTTTTGTGTGAAACTATTCAGCAATACCCCCCCGAGGACTGTCCATACGCGCTGAAACGCAACACCAAAGGGCAGTTGACTCGAATAAATCAGAAATTCTGCTCCAATCCCTCGACAGCCGCTTTCGCCAAACTCTACCCCACTCCAGTTGCCTGCTCCAATGTAATTTAATGAAGCGTGTCAATTATATTAAACGATGAGGAATCCTGAAAAGTAAACCGGCGCTCAATGTCCTTTTGTCGACATGCTTTGTTCCCAGACGCCCCGGACCACTCTTTCGCTCTTTCCCTTCTCTGCCTCGTTAAAATAAACTATATGTGTTTACACCGTAGTCTCCCACTGTGTGTGAAACTGTGTGAATACTCTTCTCTGGTCTTACACTGGTTGGGGACATCCATCATGACATCCATTATATACAGTATGTAGGCCTAAATTCAAATAGTATTTGTTTTATTTCAAATAGTGTTTCATTTAGCCTTCCTGAGTGCAGGATGGGTGCGGTTTGCACTTTTGAGACTATTCTATTTTGTTCCATTGCAGAATTCAAATCTGCCACTATCGCCTCTTTTCCCTCACTCTCTCTCTTTTTCAATCTCTCTCTTTCTCTCCCCACCCCCCTCTGTTCAGCTCTTGAGCTCTTCCTGACGTCCCTGGTGAGGCAGGAGATGAGCCAGATGCCCCGTGGGGTGTACCACTCTGCCCTGAAAGGGGGGAGCCTCCGGTCAGACCAGGGGAAAACGGTGGCAGGGATCCCAGGCTTCATGCTGAAGACCTATGAGAAGAGCAAACAGCCTGGTCTCAAACCTGGCCTGGCAGGTAGGTACCAACACACACCATCAATGAGAAAGATTCAATAACAGGGTGTCCGCGGGTCCTTAATTTATCTGATATAAAGGCCTTAATTAGTCTGCTAAATTGTTGACATCCCCTGTATTGAAATGTAAGGATAAATGAATTAAAATCATGAATCGGCTAGTCAGTTAAATGTATGCAAAATGAATCATTCTTGACTGCATGAGTTACTATGCATTTAGTGTTACTGTTCATGAAAATAAAGGTTAGATTTCTCAAATTAATATTGATAATTTATTTGACTAGGACCAGGTTAGCTAGGTTTTCCACAAATTACGTTTTATGTGATGTAATGTTTGTGTGTTCCAGCCGGCCTCCTTCTCTCCTTTGACCTGTCCGTCCAGACCGACCGAGATGGACGACCAATCAACCGCTTCCTCCTCAGCAGGGGGCGGAGCTACCAGCAGATGTTAGCCACTCTCATTCACGAGGTGACCTCTCCTATCTCTCTCTGGCTGAATCCCAAATCACCCCCTTCCCCTCGGCCCTCCATTTGTGCGTTCACGTTTACCTCTGCCATTTGCACAAGTGTCCCAAAGCTGAGGGAGTGAAATGTATTGAGGGTGTAAGGGCTAATTAGACCCACAGATAGCAACTTTGACCGAGCCAGCAAGGCTGCAGGCTTCAGACCGAAGTGCTATCCCGACACGCACTGTGATATGTTTTGAGTTTGTGCAATTTCATACAAATGAATGGAAAGGCGTGCCTAATTATATTCCACATGCATTTGTTTCTGATTTTGAGACTTGCCAGAGATTAAATACCTTCCAAATTAAATGTTTAACTGTTACTGAGGTTTATATCTTGTAAAACAACAGGGGGATTTGTTAATTTGAATTTCATGCTAGTTTTATTATTTAAAAGTGGAACATGAATTGCATCATTCAAGTCACGAGTGTGTTCAAAAGTTGATGGGTTTATTGATCCCATCGCCAGTCTCTGGAAGTCACACTCTGAGTTTCATCAGCAACACGTGACAGCGGAGGGCCCTCCGAGCGAGTTGGTAGGGGCAAGGGGGTGGTTCGGGATTCACTGTCTCTCTCTTTCTCTCTTCTCTCGCTCTCTGTAGACGCCTTTGTATTTCTCCCCTATCGTCATATTTCTGCTCACTTTCTCTTTCTTTCATTCATATTCTATTTCTTCTTTTTCTGTTGTCCTTACCTTTTCTGTTTGTCATTGTCTCCTCTGGCTCTTTCTTTCTCTCCCTCTTTCTTTCTCTCCCTCTGTCTTTCTCTCCCTCTGTCTTTCTCTCCCTCTGTCTTTCTCTCCCTCTTTCTTTCTCTCCCTCTGTCTTTCTCTCCCTCTGTCTTTCTCTCCCTCTGTCTTTCTCTCCCTCTGTCTTTCTCTCCCTCTTTCTTTCTCTCCCTCTTTCTTTCACTCCCTCTGTCTTTCTCTCCCTCTTTCTTTCTCTTCCTCTTTCCTTTCACTCCCTCTGTCTTTCTCTCCCCTCTGTCTTTCTCTCCCTCTGTCTTTCTCTCCCTCTGTCTTTCTCTCCCTCTTTCTTTCTCTCCCTCTTTCTTTCACTCCCTCTGTCTTTCTCTCCCTCTTTCTTTCTCTCCCTCTTTCTTTCTCTCCCTCTTTCTTTCACTCCCTCTGTCTTTCTCTCCCTCTTTCTTTCTCTTCCTCTTTCTTTCACTCCCTCTGTCTTTCTCTCCCTCTTTCTTTCTCTCCCTCTGTCTTTCTCTCCCTCTGTCTTTCTCTCCCTCTGTCATCATCACTGGCTGGTTGACTTGAGGAGAGTAACCTGAACATTTCTACATTTCTAAACACTTTCAGTCTCTTTATCTGGTGGCCACCGTGTATTATACAACAGCCATGTTTCAAACTGACAGCTGGTTCTACGTAGGGCTGTTACGGTGACTATATTACCGCCACACCGGCGGTCACGAGTCATGATGGTAGTCAAATTCCACGTGACCGTTTAGTCACGGTAAATAGGCTTTTCCAAGCTCTGATGCTGCTGATGGTCATTAGTAGCCTACCAAACTTGCTAACTGCCTGGTACTCAGCACTCTATTGTCCCTCTAATCACTCTGACATCAATGCAAATGTAATCCAAAATCTAATCAAACATTTCATGAGAGGCCATGAGCTCATGTTGCGCAACATTTCTATAGGCTATGCAATTACATGAGAAAACAGAGTGATGGCCTCTATTAAAAAGAGGAGGATCCTATCAGCTTTCTATAGGCTTACAATATTTATTTCTCAAATTTCCTAATATTAAGCACATTGCTTCTCTTTACAAGAGGTGTATAGCCTACCTGGCTGGCATGAAAATGAACCACGTAAAAAGCATCCTCCATTTGCTATTTAAGTGCATAGATGACGTAAATTTTCCGCTGCCCCTGTTTCAAGACAGGTGCATGATAATGGTCCATTCGAAATCAAAGCAAATTTCACACATATATTATTTAGTAAATTGAAAGACAAGATTAAATCAAGAATCGTGTGATGGGGTGACAATATTAGCCTATCACTTGTGAATTATATATTATCACTTGTGAATGATGCCCAGCTTAAGGCAAACAGTACATTCTTCTTTTTTTTGCGACTTTTTCTAATCATAGTCGCAGAAAATGTTCACAATAAAAATGCACCTTTATAATAAAAGCATTACATGCATAATCACATTTGTGGTCACTTTTGAGAATGGTGTTTTCCTGCTAATGGAACATTCACACTTCTAGCCTGCTGCCGTATGCGCATTGCTGCGCTTATAGTGTGAAGAAATAGCCTAATAGTTTATCAACATTTTAAGCTAAATGTTCTCATCTGTTGCATCAGGCTCATTGCTTAAAACAGGTTTTTTTATGCTAGTGGTTGTATTAATTTGGGATCTATCGCATCCCTCAACTGTCCCTGACTATGTTTGGAATATTTATTTCTCACTGAATAGAATAGGTCAACTTTTGTACTATGGGGGATAGTAGATTGACATAAGCTAGTGCTTTTGCTGTTCGTTAGGCCTACTCATCTTGTTGGCTGACGAAAAGTAAATGTGGACAGTTCTTCCAATATCTTCAATATGCGACTCGGAATTGGATAAGGATGCGCTCAGTTGCGTCCCCGATGTGTCTGTCTTCACTTGTAGCTGTGATAAAGGCCCGATCACATGATGGAGAGCCATGTGAGTGAGAGGTGCTTCGGCACGCAGCCGGGAGAAGGGAAATATAATTATTGTATTCAGCCCAAGGGCACAATGGCCACTGGCCGCAAAAGGCATGGATTTTTTTAGGGGGCAGAACGGCCACACAAAGTGGATGCAGTCGGGAAATTTGAGGCATTATCAAGTGCTTGTCAAATTGTGAATGAGAGACTGATGAAGTGTGTACAGCCTGCGCAAGAAACAAAGCAGAGCTCATGCCTTTCATGCAACTTTTTTCAAATCATCATAAGAGTCGCATCATGCAGCCTTAGAATGTATAAAAAATCAGAACATATAGCCCAACATTTGTATCACAACTAAAGTTACATAAATAACTTTAAATTAAGCGCATAGGAGGACCTGTTTCTTTGTTAACTGCTCAACACAGAATAGCCGCATGTGCGCACTCCCTCAAATCGTTTGGAGAAAATATCCTTTCTATTTTATTCCGCTATGTTCAATTGTATTCTTCATACTATAAAATAATATAAAAATAATGCCACGGAATTCTAAGCAAATATTGTCTGCTAAATTAACTAGTGTAGCCCACAGCCATATGGCATAGTCAGATCAGGGTCTAATATAAGGACAACTCAGAGTATGCTATTCTGTTCTTCTGAAATAGACTACATTTTCTTCATATCATGTTTCTTTAGACCTGTCTAAAATAAATAATGGATTTATTGTGATGGTGTAGACTATATTACATGGATTTATTAGACTTTTTTGTAGATGTTCCAAAGGTCTGCATCAGTGGCTTGTAGGCTATGCGTGGAAGCCAGGATATGCTAAAAGTGTTTATGTTCATTAACGATCAATTACCGTGAGACTGGCAGTTATTTGATTGACAATCACCGGCTGACAACGTTTCATAACTGCCACAGCCCTAGTTGTATGCTACAGTAACAGTTTAAGGCATCCTCAACATACTCCACAAACGGTTTATTTTAGCAGTACGTTCATCAACATTCCCTCCGAAGTGTTTTGTGTATGAGCGTGAAGTTGCTAGATAGGTTGGTGGACACACAGGCTACTCCCACTATCCAGGCAAAATGCTTTCCATGAAAACCCTTCACCAAGGCGTGTTTAGGTGTGGGATGATCTTTGGAAACATTTACAGTTATTTTTATATAAACGTGTTTAAAGATGGACGACCTATGTCAGCATGTTTGTGTTTATTTGTACACATACTGTGCTGAAACGCATACATGTATGAATGTACATACATACTCAGTGTTTCTCTTCTCTGTGGTCAGGTGAACATTCAGCCGTCAGAGTGGCATCGTGCCCTCCTCCTACCCCAGGCCTGGCGAGGGTTCATGAGCCGAGCTTACCATGCCGTCCTACAGGTGTGCATGCCATATGAATAATGCATGTCTTTCTGTTTATCTGTATTGAGTTTGCTGGTCAATTTATGGTCATGGTTGCCGTATGAATGCGGTTGATTTGCGATCATGGTTGCTGTACCGGTATGGTGGTTGTGTGTATGTGGTTGCTGTGCGATCATGGTTGCTGTACCGGTATGGTGGTTGTGTGTATGTGGTTGCTGTGTGGTCATGGTTGCTGTGACCGTGTTCATTAGGGTCGTCGGGCAGAGCTGGAGATGCAGCAGAAGCAAGGCAAGGAGAGTCCAGAGGAGCTGCAGTACAAACAGCACTGTGCCTGGCTCTGGTGAGAACACACACACACACACACACACACACACACACAGACACACACACACACAGACACACACACACACAGACACACACACACACACACACACACACACACACACACACAGACACACAGACACACACACACACACACACACACACACACACACACACACACACACACAGACACACACACACACACACACACACACACACACAGACACACACCTGTCTTTAAACATGCCGTTCTATTCCATCATAATCCAGCCCATCGACCAACAGAGCACATTTCATTGGTCCCTGTAGCCGACAGTGTGATATTATTTAAGACTATGGAACAACAGGACATAGTTGACCTTTGCGGAGATGGTAATTTTCTGGATTACGTCCTCTTGTCGCCACCACCATAAAGCCCTGTCATTTTGACCCCTCTCCCTATAATCAAAAACATCTCAGCTCTTAACACAGATTCCTCTGCCCTTTACCACTGGGGTAAAGACACAGAACTAGGAAACATTCCTGAATAAATCTAGTTAGTAGTTTCTGTCACTGAGTTACACTGGAATTATACTACAAGATTGACAATAGTGTTTCTAGTTTTTGCATGTATCTAACTATCTTATTTGGAATGCTGTTCACTTCCTAAAACAGCTCTCTGCTCAAATTAGGGGATCATTTGAAGGCTGATCTGCCAGGAATATGGGCTACATATCAATATTCTAAAATAGCTTCCTCTCCTCGTCACAAGATTCTGCTATCTAATTAGTTATATATATATATATATAGATATATATATATAGATATAGATATATATCTCTATATATCATATACACTATATATATACCATAAGATATAGACTTATAGATCAATACCTATATATAATTATATACTATATATATATATATATATATATATATATATAGAGATACTATATTATATATAGATATATATATATTATATATATATTTATAATATATATATAGCTGACACAGTGATATGAGTGAAATGTGCACAACAGATTCTTCCAGAAAGATAACTGAAGCGAAGATTCCAGACATACTAAGGTGGATTAAAACAACTGGTCCATCCACCACCTCCCACAACAGAGATAACTATACCAGTCCTAGGGTGTGTCCGAAATGGCACCCTAATCCTTATATAGTGCACTACTTTTGACCAGGGCTGGCCCGTAGAGGTCTGGTCAAAAATAGTGCACTATATAGGGAATAGGGTGCCATTTGGGACATACACACTGTACTAGCCCTGTCCTGCACTCCTCTTCCCTCTCCCCATGTAGCGAGCCTCCACCTTATAACTCAAGCCCAGATGGTGCAATGTCTAAGCCCTCTAGGCTAGTGAATGAATGACTGGCCTGGCCAAGACATAGCCACACACACACATTCCTATACATGCTGTGTGTGTGTGTGTGTGTGTGTATATATATATGACTGCTAGTATATATATATATAGATAGATAGATAGATAGATAGATAGATAGATAGATAGATAGATATAATACCAGTCAAAAGTTTGGACACACCTACTCATTCAAGGGGTTTTCTTTTTTTTAAACAAATCAAAATATATGTTATATTTGAGATTCTTCAAAAAGCCACCCTTTGCCTTGATGACAGCTTTGCACACTCTTGGCATTCCCTCAAACAGCTTCACCTGGAATACTTTTCCAACAGTCTTGAAGGAGTTCCCACATATGCTGAACACTTGTTAGCTGCTTTTCCTTCACTCTGCGGTCCGAATCATCCCAAACCATCTCAATTTGGTTGAGGTCGGGGGTTTGTGGAGGCCAGGTCATCTGATGCAGCACTCCATCAGTCTCCTTCTTGGTCAAATAGCCCTTACACAGCCTGGAGGTGTGTTGGGTCATTGTCCTGTTGAAAAATAAATGATAGTCCCACTAAGCCAAACCAGATGGGATGGCGTATCGCTGTAGAATGCTGTGGTAGCCATGCTGGTTAAGTGTGCCTTGAATTCTTAATAGATCACAGACAGTGTCACCATAACACCTCCTCCTCCATGCATTCCAGGTGAAGATGTTTGAGAGAATGCCAAGAGTGTGCAAAGCTGTCATCAAGGCAAATGGTGGCTATTTGAAAAATCTCAAATATATTTTGATTTTTTTTTTAGCACTTTTTGGGTTACTACATGATTCCATATGTGTTATTTCATAGTTTTGATGTCTTCACTATTATTCTACAATGTAGAAAATAGTACAAATAAAGAAAACTCCTTGAATGAGTAGGTGTGTCCACACTTTTGACTGGTACTGTACATATATGTGTACACTGAACAAAAAAAAAATATATATATATACTGAACAAAAATATAAACTAAACAAGTGTTGGTCCCATGTTTCATGAGCTGAAATAAAGATCCCAGCATTTTTCCATACGTACAAAAAGCTTATTTCTCTCAAATGTTGTGCACAAATTTGTTTACATTCCTGACAGTGAACAGTTCTCCTTTGCCAAGATAAGCCATCCACCTGACAGGTGTGGCATATCAAGAAGCTGATTTAACGGCATGATCATTACACAGGGGCACCTTGTGCTGGAGGCAATAAAAGGCCACTCTAAAATGTGCAGTTTTGTCACACATCACAATGCCACAGACATCTCAAGTTTTGAGGGAGTGTGCAATTGGCATGCTGACTGAATGAATTTCCACCAGAGCTGTTGCAAAGAATTGAATGTTAATTTCTCTACCATAAGCCGCCGCCAATGTCATTTTAGAGAATTTGGCAGTACCGCAGACCACCGCAGACCACATGTAACCACACCAGCCCAGGACCTCCACATCCGGCTTCTTCACCTGTGGGATCGTCTGAGACCAGCCACCCGGACAGCTGATGAAACTGGGTTTGCACAACCAAAGAATTTCTGCACAAACTGTCAGAAACCGTCTCAGGGAAGTGACGAGATCCTGAGGCCCATTGTCATGCCATTCATCCGCCGCCATCACCTCATGTTTCAGCATGATAATGCACGGCCCCATGTCGCAAGGATCGGTACACAATTCCTGGAAGCTGAAAATGTCCCAGTTTGTGCATCGCCTGCATACTCACCAGATATGTCACCCATTGAGCATGTTTGAGATGCTCTGGAACAACGTGTACGACAGCGTGTTCCAGTTCCCGCCAATATCTAGCAACTTGCCACAGCCATTGAAGGGGAGTGGGACAACATTCTACAGGCCACAATCAACAGATTGATCAACTCTATGCGAAGGAGATGTGTCGCGCTGCATGAGGCAAATGGTGGTAACACCAGATACTGACTGGTTTTCCGATCCACGCCCCTGACTTTTTTTTTATGGTGTCTGTGACCAACAGATGTATATCTGTATTCCCAGTGATGTGAAATCCATAGATTAGAGCCTAATTTATTTATTTCAATTGACTGATTTCCTTATATGAACTGTAAATCAGTAAAATCTTTGAAACTGTTGCATGTTGCGTTTATATTTTTGTTCAGTGCATATAAACTCAGCAAAAAAAGAAACGTCCCTTTTTCAGGACCCTGTCTTTCAAAGATAATTCGTGAAAATCCAAATAACTTAACAGATCTTCATTGTAAAGGGTTTAAACACTGTTTCCCATGCTTGTTCAATGAACCATAAACAAATAATGAACATGCACCTGTGGAACGGTCGTTAAGACACTAACAGATTACAGACGGTAGGCAATTAAGGTCACAGTTATGAAAACCTAGGACACTAAAGAGGCCTTTCTACTGACTCTGAAAAACACCAAAAGAAAGATGCCCAGGGTCCCTGCTCATCTGCATGAACGTGCCTTAGGCATGCTGCAAGGAGGCATGAGGACTGCAGATGTGGCCAGGGCAATACATTTCAATGTGCGTACTGTGAGATGCCTAAGACAGCCCTACAGGGAGACAGGACGGAGAGCTGATTGTCCTCGCAGTGGCAGACCATGTGTAACAACAACTGCACAGTATCGGTACATCCGAACATCACACCTGCGGGACAGGTACAGGATGGCAACAACAACTGCCCAAGTTACACCAGGAACACACAATGCCACCAGCCATACTGCTTGTTCTGTGTATGATTTCCTGCAAGACAGGAATGTCAGTGTTCTGCCATGGCCAGCGAAGAGCCCGGATCTCAATCCCATTAAGCACGTCTGGGACCTGTTGGATCGGAGGGTAAGGGCTAGGGCCATTCCCCCCAGAAATGTCCGGGAACTTGCAGGTGCCTTGGTGGAAGAGTGGGGTAACATCTCACAGCAAAAACTGGCAAATCTGGTGCAGTCCATGAGGAGGAGATGCACTGCAGTACTTAATGCAGCTGGTGGCCACACCAGATACTGACTGTTACTTTTGATTTTGACCCCCCATTTGTTCAGGGACACATTATTCCATTTCTGTTAGTCACATGTCTGTGGAACTTGTTCAGTTTATGTCTCAGTTGTTGAATCTTGTTATGTTCATACAAATATTTACACATGTTAAGTTTGCTGAAAATAAACACTGTTTTTTTGCTGAGTTTATAATTCTGTATATATGCACACACACACACACCAGCGGGAACATCAGGGTCAGTGCATGCTCTCACTGGGGCAGACATCCGCCATGTCACCCAGCCATGTGAGTGATGTGCTGCGCTCAGATGAAAAGAGGCCGTGTGGGTGCGTGCGTGCGTGTAATCGTAAATCAAGGCATGAGGAGATGAAACGTTCACCCCCCCCGTCCAGCGATAGAATCTAAATCATCCTCCTTGTCTTCCTCCCCCACTTCTCCCACTCTATCCCCTCCCTCTCTCCCTCTACACAGGGTCAGGGACCAGCTGACTGATGTTGTCAAATCTGCAGCTAAGTGAGTCTGTCCCCCGCGTTCGTCTCCTCTGCATTGACATTGACATTGAATTTCCCACTGTGTCAAGTGTATGCATTAACAATGTAACTGCAATGACATTAAAGTTAGAATTACATTAGGTAAGGGATTTTACCAATTGTTAGTCTATTGTTTATACATTTGGTGTCAACAAAACAGTGGGCCTATACTAGACTAGGCCAGTGCCATCATTCAAACCCTTGAAACAGGTGGGTTAGTACTGGATTGGAACAAATCCTGTACGCACTGTAAGCCCCCCAACACAGGGATCGAAGAGCACTGGCCTATAGCCACACTGTTTGGTTGATGATGGCGGTGAGTCCTGCTACTGTTGTCATGGTAACCCGGTGGTACACCTGTGTCTCCGTGGCGATAGGGACAGTCCGGTGGTGCAGGGGAACTCCATCTTGGCTCTGAGTGGTCTGGCTGCGGTGCTGGCCAAATACGAGAGCAACCTGCCCGCTGACACCGAGGGTGGACTTGGGGTAAGAGCAGACTCCACACGTTATGGGAGCATTGGATTTTATGGCACTGGTACTTATCTGGTATTAACTAGGAAATTATGTGGTGTCAAGGGATACTAGTACCCTGGTGCCTAGTGGTGTTTGTTATAATGAATCTGAAGAGAAAACAACAAATAATGCATGCTAAGGTTGTTACTGTGTAATTACCATTTTACCATGGTATTTCTTATAAAAACTGTGGATCGAGCACTGAATGTTGATTGGCTGACAGCCGTGGTAACAGGAATGACAAAACAGTTATTTTTTCTACTCTAATTACGTTGGTAACCAGTTTATAATAGCAATAAGGCACCTCAGGGGTTTGTGGTATATGCCAATATACCACGGCTAAGGGCTGTGTCCAGACACTCCGCGTTGCGTTGTGCGTATGAACAGCCGTTAGCCGTGGTATATTGGCCATATACCATACCCCCTCGTGCATTATTGCTTAAGTAAATAGCTGGTCATTTCTGTACCATAAAATAGGAAAGGAGTGTCTCTGAAAGTATCCCATTGTTTTACCAGATCATTTCCTAATAAATATGAACTGAAAAAAGACTACAGTCATCTAAAGCTTTTGCCATTGGGTGGTGCTGTAACTCTCCCCTGCCATGTTTGTTGTGGTATATGCTGTAGGTGGGCCCTGAGATCCTGCCCACATCCACCTGGCTGGCCATGGTTCTGGACACTCTCCTCAGCATCGTCAGCAGCAGCTACAAGCCCAGAGGACAAGTCTTCCCCTGGTTCCTACACGTCAGTACGCCAACCTAGCACAACAACTAGAATTATCACTGAATTATGCTGGCAGCTAAATCATGCTATATTGATGTTACATCATAAAAAAGAAATGGATACCTGCACGCTGTTGTTGAATGTCTCTACGATACCATTCAACAGTATGGGTAGGCTTATCTTTTTTTATTGTTTAATTAGTATTTTCTTCAATTTACCCCTCTCAGCGGTCCTACTCGGGAGAGAACACTGCCAGTGCCATCGCCCGCTCCTGTGCCGCCCTGGCCCTGTCCCTGGTGGTGCCCGTGCTGGTGGCCTGGCACAAGGAAAGCGTGCCACAGGTCCTAGCCACCCTGAGGGCGGGGCTTCCCGGCTCGCCCACCGCAGACGACTCCCAGGCCGTCCAGTTCCACTCTGGCCTGGCCCTGGGCATGCTGCTGTCCTGCCTGCACCAGGAGAGGCTCAGGTAGGGGGGTCTGCCATGGGGCGGAGGGGGTGGAGAGGGGGTGGTCTGGTGTGTGTGTGTGAGTGAGAATTGACTCTTGAGGTGTTGTGTGTCTGTTTTGTCATTGTTCTATTGTGATGTTTGTTTGTATTGTGACATTGGATGACATTGGGTGTTATTGTGTTTCTGTGGTTTCCAAAGCATTCTCCCTCTGTTCCTTCCTTCTCTCTCTCTGGTTCAGTGATGTGTCAGGTCAGAAGATGACTGAGCTGTTGATGAGTTCTCTGGACACTCTGGAAGCCTGCTGCTTTGACAGCAACCTGGAGTACAAGTGAGTGTGTCTGAATTGCATTTATAAATTATTCAATAAATATATGATATGAGAATGGCTGGATTGGCACTACCCTACCATCTTATACAGTGAATTCGGAAAGTATTCAGACCCCTTGACTTTTTCATCATTTTGTTACGTTACAGCCTTATTCTAAAATGGATTACATAAATAAACATCCTCATTAATCTACACACAATACCCCATAATGACAAAGCGAAAACAGGTTATTAGAAATGTTTTGCTAATAAAACATTTTTTTTAAACAGACCCTTTGCTATGAGACTTGAAATTGAGCTCAGGTGCATCCTCTTTCCATTGATCATCCTTGAGATGTTTCTATAACTTGATTGGTAAATTCAATTGATTGGACATGATTTGGAAAGGCACACACCTGTCTATATAAGGTCCCACAGTTGACAGTGCATGTCAGAGCAAAAACCAAGCCATGAGGTCGAAGGAATTGTCCGTAGAGCTCCGAGACAGGATTGTGTCGAGGCACAGATCTGGGGAAGGGTACCAAAAAATGTCTGCAGCATTGAAGGCCCCCAAGAACACAGTGGCCTCCATCATTCTAAAATGGAAGAAGTTTGGAACTACCAAGACTCTTCCTAGAGCTGGCCACCCGGCCAAACTGAGAAATCGGGGGAGAAGTGCCTTGGTCAAGGAGGTAACCAAGAACCCGATGTTCACTCTGACAGAGTGCCAGAGTTCCTCTGTGGAGATGGGAGAACCTTCCAGAAGGACAACCATCTCTGCAGCACTCCACCAATCAGGCCTTTATGGTAGAATGGCCAGACAGAAGCCACTCCTCAGTAAAAGGCACATGACAGCCTGCTTGGAGTTTGCCAAAAGGCACCTAAAGGACTCTCAGACCATAAGAAACAACATTCTCTGGTCTGATGAAACCAAGATTGAACTCTTTGGCCTGAATGCCAAGCGTCACATCTGGAGGAAAACGATGCTCCCCATCCAACCTGACAGAGCTTGAGAGGATCTGCAGAGAAGAATGGGAGAAACTCCCCAAATACAGGTGTGCCAAGCTTGTAGCGTCATACCGAAGACTCAAGGCTGTAATCGCTGCCAAAGGTGCTTCAACAAAGTACTGAGTAAAGGGTCTGAATACTTAATACTTATGGAAATGTGATATTTCCCTTTCTTATTTTTTTTTATAAATTTGCAAAATTATGGGGGTATTGTGTGTAGTTTAATAAGGGGGGAAAAAAACACTTTAATCCATTTTAGAATAAGGCTGTAACGTAACAAAATATGGAAAAAGTCAAGGGGTCTGAATACTTTCCGAATGCACTGTACATGTGCGTGCGTATGAGGTGGCAAGCTTTCAGATGGTGCAACTATGTACTCCCCTACTATCTTCCGTTTTTCACTACCTCTCCTGTCCTTTCTCCAGTGCCGGCTGTGTGCTGGGCCTAGGCCTGGTGCTGGGGGCCCTGAGTGGCAGTGGACAGACAGAACACAGGGCCCGTGTGGGCCTCACCCTGGACAAACTGCTGGAGGCCCTACAGGGGGACAGCAGCAATCAGGGTCGCATGCTGCAGGAGGTGTGGCCCAAATCTTCATATTAGTCATACAAATATGAATTGTAACCAATAACGTTCTCAATCACTGCTGTTTTACTGTGAAGGGTCATATTTGACAGCTGAAGCAGCGCCATTTTGTTTTCTTGACGAGGCTTTATAACGATGTCTTCCCTTAAATAAAGAATGTATAATGTTAACAGATAATATTAATAGTCTGCTCACCTTTTATAAATCCTTATTTGTACATTAGTAAATGTGCATATGCTATTTCCTTCCCTCATTCATTTCCTCCCTCCCTCCCTAGGTGTTTGCCTACTCTGTAGCAGGTGTGGGGGTGGCAGCCTTCAGTGGAGGGGTTGTTGATGCCCTTAAAGCAGAGGAGATCATGAGCACTCTCCGTAACATGACAGAGGAGAGCCAGCAGGTGAGATGGCACATTTTCATGAGTGTGCGCAAGTGTGTGTGTGTGTGTGTGTGCGCGCCTGCGTGCGTGCATGCATGCTCTGTATAGTAATATGTTCAGTGGTTGTTCACGCGAAGTTTGTGTGTGTATGTGTAATGTTGTTAATCTACAACTATAAGTCTTTCCTGTGTTGTCCAGACTCCAGGATTCTCATTGGCTCTGGGCCTGGTTGTTCACGGTCTGTCGTCCTGCGGCCACGGCAAGGCAGAGGACATCCAACCCCGCCTTCTGGATGCCTGGATCAAGATCCTACTGGCTGAGGTACTGGAGCGACAACCAGGGCAGAGCAAACGTTTACCAATGTTCCAAACAAGCTATTTTAAACGATGGGCCTGGAATCGCAAGAGATTCCTGCCAATGAACAGTATGAGCCCCTTGCGAGATGATACAATTCCGGCTGTAATTAATTGAGTAAGGTCTCCTCCCCTGTGTTGCAGGGCTGTCCCACCATGCAGAGGCTGGCTGCTGTCAACGGCCTGGTGGCTCTGGTGGGATCAGAGACTGGCATCCTTCAGGTGAGACTTCCTACATTTGGGATGGGGTTAGTGGAATCTAACTTAAAAGTGCAGTAATCCTCCCAAATGAACAGTTCTAAAACCTCCCCCTAGATAAAGCCAAACACCTATTTATGGCTTTACATGTGCAATGGTAGAGTGTGTTCTAAGTGAATATACGCAAAGATTATGGATATACTGACAAGATGTCTCTCCACCCTAACAATGGGAGTCGTTGTCCACAAAGTGACACGGCGGGCTGTCGAGCTCCCGCCTATCCTTTCTTTCGATTGGCGGATACATCTCATTATTGTAATTCCTTTTTTGAATATTCGATGAAGGTTGTTGACGTCAACCGCATCTATTCCATGGAGAGAGATGCTATGCTACTAGCCTCATGTCATGAATATGCATAGCCATCTCGAGGACCACTCCGATATAAAGTATTTTTTCTCAAAGTTGCCGGGATGTCACATGTCCTACTTATATCAGTACACTCGTAACAACTTAAGCATTACGGGACTTCTATTAGATAAAATAAACCTCACGTAGCAAATAAGCCATTCATTATTTTGGGACCAAATTCGACACACTCTCATTAACCTCCATACAAAAACTCCTTGCTTGGCGAAACAACGCCACCTGCTGGAGGGAGACTGATTTTCTGCCGAGTTGGGCCTCTTCCAATTCCTCTCTGTTACAAGTGACAGTGAGAGTCTGTTCTCTCCCTTCCAGCTGAAGAATGAATCTGAGCAGTCCTCCCAGCAGCAGGGCAGACTGAACGAGGTCATACGGGCCATCACACAGGTAAGAACATTGATTGATTGATGACTTTTACTGTCCTTCAAGAGGATATTGTTTTAACAGCTCACAAGGGACATGCATAAAGAAACAAACAACAAACAACAAGCAATAAACTAACACTGCTCCTGTCTTTCACCTGTAGGTCATCACATTCTCGGGGGCCATCGGGCTGCAGTCTAACAGTGCCTGTCTGGTGGGGCATCTCCACCTGGCCCACATGTCCACCAGCCATAGCCGCACAGCAGGTAAGGACTACAAAACAACATGCCTCAGACCTAACATACCTAGAGATTCGTGGCTCCATAGAGATCATATAACTCAGTGATTCTATACAGTCGTGGCCAAAAATATTATCATCCTTGCACTTGTTTCAAATAATGCACAATTCCTGTAGACATTTCTGTTGAAGTTAAAAAATATTTTGGTATCCACATACACTACCAGTCAAAAGTTTGGACACACCTACTTATTCAAGGGTTTTTCTTTATTTATACTATTTTCTACATTGTAGAATAATAGTAAAGACCTCAAAACTATGATATAACACATATGGAATCATGTAGTAACCAAAACAGTGTTCAACAAATCTAAATATATTTGAGATTCTTCAAAGTAGCCACCCTTTGCCTTGATGACAGCTTTGCACATTCTTGGCATTCTCTCAACCAGCTTCACCTGGAATGTTTTGAATAGTTTGAATAGAGAAAATGATTAATTATCCTGTTTTGTGTTTCTTTGTGTACCGCAATGAGCATGGAGAAAATAAAGAAAACCAGAGAACTATCTGAGGAGGTCAGACACAAGATTGTAGCCAAGCATGGACAATCTCAAGGCTAGAAGTTCATCTCCAGGGACCTTGATGTTCCTGTTTCCACTGTGCGTAATGTTATCAAGAAGTTTAAGGCCCATGCCACTGTAGCCAACCTCCCTGGACGTGGCCGCAAGAGAGAACTTGATGGAAGATTGCAGCGAAGGATTGTTTGAATGGTGGAGAAAGCACCTCGATCAACTGCCACACAGATTCAAGCTGACCTTCAGACAAAAGGTACGACAGTTTCAACTCGCACCATCCGTCGCCAACTCGATGAAAGGGGGTTATATGGTAGGAGACCCAGGAGGACCCCACTGCTGCGAGAGAGACATAAGAAAGGCCGACTGCAATTTTCCAAAACACACCTGAACATGCCAAAATCCTTCTGGGAGAATGTCCTGTGAACAGATGAGACCAAATTAAAGCTTTTTGGTGAAGCACACCATCTCTATGTTTACAGAAAACAAAATGAAGCCTTCAAAGAAAAGAACACCTTCCCTACAGTCAAACATGGAGGAGGTTCAGTGATGTTTTGGGGTTGCTTTGCTGCCTCTGGCACTGGGTGCTTTGAATGTGTGCATGGCATCATGAAATCAGGAGAATACCAAGGCATTTTGGAGCACAGTGTCGGACCCAGTGTCAGAAAGCTGGGTCTCTGTCGAAGGTCATGGGTCTTCCAGCAGGACAATGACCTCAAACACACTTAAAAAAGCACCCAGGAACGGTTCCAGACAAAATGCTGGACTGTTCTGAAGTGGCCAGCAATGAGTCCAGATCTAAATCCCATTGAAAACTTGTGGAGAGATCTGAAAAGAGCAGTTGGGAGAAGGCACCCTTCAAATCTGGGAGAACTGGAGCAGTTTGCAGAAGAGGAGTGGGCCAAACTGCCAGTACAGAGGTGCAGGAAGCTCATTGATGGCAATAGGAAGCGCTTGATTGCAGTAATTGTGACCAAAGGCTGTGCTACCAATCATTAAGTCTAGGGTGTCAATAATTTTGTCAATGCCATTTCTGTTTATTTTCTGATTTAAATGGATGTATTAAGTTCTGAATGAAAAACAAAGGTTCTGTAATGTTACCGGTAAAATAAAGAATTGTGGAGACCAAATACTATTTTTAGGGGGAATTGTGAGTTACAGTGGGGGAAAAAAGTATTTAGTCAGCCACCAATTGTGCAAGTTCTCCCACTTAAAAAGATGAGAGAGGCCTGTAATTTTCATCATAGGTACACGTCAACTATGACAGACAAATTGAGGAAAAAAAATCCAGAAAATCACATTGTAGGATTTTTAATGAATTTATTTGCAAATTATGGGGGAAAATAAGTATTTGGTCACCTACAAACAAGCAAGATTTCTGTCTCTCACAGACCTGTAACTTCTTCTTTAAGAGGCTCCTCTGTCCTCCACTCGTTACCTGTGTTAATGGCACCTGTTTGAACTTGTTATCAGTATAAAAGACACCTGTCCACAACCTCAAACAGTCACACTCCAAACTCCACTATGGCCAAGACCAAAGAGCTGTCAAAGGACACCAGAAACAAAACTGTAGACCTGCACCAGGCTGGGAAGACTGAATCTGCAATAGGTAAGCAGCTTGGTTTGAAGAAATCAACTGTGGGAGCAATTATTGGGAAATGGAAGACATACAAGACCACTGATAATCTCCCTCGATCTGGGGCTCCACGCAAGATCTCACCCCGTGGGGTCAAAATGATCACAAGAACGGTGAGCAAAAATCCCAGAACCACACGGGGGGGCCTAGTGACTGACCTGCAGAGAGCTGGGACCAAAGTAACAAAGCCTACCATCAGTAACACACTACGCCGCCAGGGACTCAAATCCTGCAGTGTCAGACGTGTCCCCCTGCTTAAGCCAGTACATGTCCAGGCCCATCTGAAGTTTGCTAGAGTGCATTTGGATGATCCAGAAGAGGATTGGGAGAATGTCATATGGTCAGATGAAACCAAAATATAACTTTTTGGTAAAAACTCAACTCGTCGTGTTTGGAGGACAAAGAATGCTGAGTTGCATCCAAAGAACACCATACCTACTGTGAAGCATGGGGGTGGAAACATCATGCTTTGGGGGTGTTTTTCTGCAAAGGGACCAGGACGACTGATCCGTGTAAAGGAAAGAATGAATGGGGCCATGTATCGTGAGATTTTGAGTGAAAACCTCCTTCCATCAGCAAGGGCATTGAAGATGAAACGTGGCTGGGTCTTTCAGCATGACAATGATCGCAAACACACCGCCCGGGCAACGAAGGAGTGGCTTCGTAAGAAGTGGCGCAGTGGTCTAAGGCACTGAATCGCAGTGCTAGCTGTGCCACTAGAGATCCTGGTTCGAATCCAGGCTCTGCTGTAGCCGGCCGCAACCGGGAGACCAATGGGGCGGCGCACAATTGGCCCAGCGTCGTCCAGGGTAGGGGAGGGAATGGCCGGCAGGGAGGTAGCTCAGTTGGTAGAGCATGGCGTTTGCAACGCCAGGGTTGTGGGTTCGATTCCCATGGGGTATGAAAAAAAATAAAAAAAATAAAAATTAAGAATTATGTATGCACTAACTGTAAGTCGCTCTGGATAAGAGCGTCTGCTAAATGACGTAAATGTAAAATATGTAAATGTAATTTCAAGGTCCTGGACTGGCACAGGCCAGTCTCCAGATCTCAACCCCATAGAAAATCTTTGGAGGGAGTTGAAAGTCTGTGTTGCCCAGCGACAGCCCCAAAACATCACTGCTCTAGAGGAGACCTGCATGGAGGAATGGGCCAAAATACCAGCAACAGTGTGTGAAAACCTTGTGAAGACTTACAGAAAACGTTTGACCTGTGTCATTGCCAACAAAGGGTATATAACAAAGTATTGAGAAACTTTTGTTATTGACCAAATACTTATTTTCCACCATAATTTGCAAATAAATTCATTAAAAATCCTACAATGTGATTTTCTGGATTTCTTTTTCTTGTTTTGTCTGTCATAGTTGACGTGTACCTATGATGAAAATTACAGGCCTCTCTCATCTTTTTACATTTACATTTACGTCAATTAGCAGACGCTCTTATCCAGAGCGACTTACAAATAGGTGCATTCACCTTATAGCCAGTGGGATAACCACTTTACAATTATTATTATGAAAAAAAACAATTTGGGGGGGGGGGTAGAAGGATTACTTTATCCTATCCCAGGTATTCCTTAAAGAGGTGGGGTTTCAAATGTCTCCGGAAGGTGGTGAGTGACTCCGCTGTCCTGGCGTCGTGAGGGAGCTTGTTCCACCATTGGGGTGCCAGAGCAGCGAACAGTTTTGACTGGGCTGAGCGGGAACTATGCTTCCGCAGAGGTAGGGGAGCCAGCAGGCCAGAGGTGGATGAACGCAGTGCCCTCGTTTGGGTGTAGGGACTGATCAGAGCCCGAAGGTACGGAGGTGCCGTTCCCCTCACAGCTCCGTAGGCAAGCACCATGGTCTTGTAGCAGATGCGAGCTTCAACTGGAAGCCAGTGGAGTGTGCGGAGGAGCGGGGGTGACGTGAGAGAACTTGGGAAGGTTGAACACCAGACGGGCTGCGGCATTCTGGATGAGTTGTAGGGGTTTAATGGCACAGGCAGGGAGCCCAGCCAACAGCGAGTTGCAGTAATCCAGACGGGAGATGACAAGTGCCTGGATTAGGACCTGTGCCGCTTCCTGTGTAAGGCAGGGTCGTACTCTCCGAATGTTGTAGAGCATGAACCTACAGGATCGGGTCACCGCCTTGATGTTAGCGGAGAATGACAGGGTGTTGTCCAGGGTCAGGCCAAGGCTCTTCGCACTCTGGGAGGAGGACACAACGGAGTTGTCAACCGTGATGGCGAGATCATGGAACAGGCAGTCCTTCCCCGGGAGGAAGAGCAGCTCCGTCTTGCCAAGGTTCAGCTTGAGGTGGTGATCCGTCATCCATACTGATATGTCTGCCAGACATGCAGAGATGCGATTCGCCACCTGGTTGTCAGAAGGGGGAAAGGAGAAGATTAGTTGTGTGTCGTCAGCGTAGCAATGATAGGAGAGGCCATGTGAGGATATGATAGAGCCAAGTGACTTGGTGTATAGTGAGAATAGGAGAGGGCCTAGAACTGAGCCCTGGGGGACACCAGTGGTGAGAGCACGTGGTGCGGAGACAGCTTCTCGCCACGCCACTTGGTAGGAGCGACCGGTCAGGTAGGACGCAATCCAAGAGTGAGCCGCGCCGGAGATGCCCAGCTCGGAGAGGGTGGAGAGGAGGATCTGATGGTTCACAGTATCAAAGGCAGCAGACAGGTCTAGAAGGACAAGAGCAGAGGAGAGAGAGTTAGCTTTAGCAGTGCGGAGAGCCTCCGTGACACAGAGAAGAGCAGTCTCAGTTGAATGACCAGTCTTGAAACCTGACTGGTTTGGATCAAGAAGGTCATTCTGAGAGAGATAGCAAGAGAGTTGGCTAAAGATGGCACGCTCAATAGTTTTGGAGAGAAAAGAAAGAAGGGATACTGGTCTGTAGTTGTTGACATCAGAGGGATCGAGTGTTGGTTTTTTGAGAAGGGGTGCAACTCTCGCTCTCTTGAAGACGGAAGGGACATAGCCAGCGGTCAAGGATGAGTTGATCAGCGAGGTGAGGTAAGGGAGAAGGTCACCGGAGATGGTCTGGAGAAGAGAGGAGGGGATAGGGTCAAGCGGGCAGGTTGTTGGGCGGCCTGCCGTCACAAGTCGCAAGATTTTATCTGGAGAGAGAGGGGAGAAAGAAGTCAAAGCATAGTGGGAGAACATAAGCATAAGTGGGAGAACTTGCACAATTGGTGGCTGACTAAATACTTTTTTCCCCCACTGTACTATTTTTGGCCACGGCTGTATGTACTTCTGTGCATGACTCAGTATTTTCTTTTAAATACTTTAGGTGGACTTAGCTTGCCCTGTATAACACAACTAATGGAGTAGTGCTAAATGTGTAAATCCTGCCCCTTCCAACGCATGGAAAAAAGCTTAGTCAAGCACCCCCCTCTCTCTCTCTCAGTGCCCCAGGACTTCAGTTACCTCCCAGAGAAGAGTGTGATCAGGTCTGTTGTGGACTTCCTCACCGAGGCAGGGAAGAAAGGTCCAGAGTTTGCCCACCCTAGCCTGGTGAAGACAGTCCTGGGCCCCCTGGCCACAGTGGGAGGGAGTTACCAGTACCCCCCTGTCAACTGGAGCGCCATCCTGTCCCCTCTCATGAGGCTCAACTTTGGTACTGTGATACCCTCCCCACCTAACACTCTGTTCCACATAGTCATACACTCTCAGTAGGAAAGGACAAATAAATAAATAAATGAAAATATGTATACACATGCAGGCACACACACACACAGTGAAAGCTTAGCAATCATGTATTAGCAAAATACATGTTATTTCCCAACAGGTGAGATGGTCCAACACCAATGTATAGAGCTGGCATCCAACCAAGCCCAGTCTTCCCAGAGTGCATCTCTCTTCCTGGGGGTGTGGCTGAGCCCTCCCCTGGTCCACAGTCTTAGTGTGAGTCCTCCATAACCCAGTTTGTAATCCTCTATATAATATGCCATTCAGGGCTTTTCAATTCTCAATGTCAGTGGATGGTCAAAGTATTATGGGTTTCATTTTCTCCCTGGAAGTTAATTGGTCAATTATTGTTGTTGATTGGCCAGACATTACAGCTTGTAATAAACACCCCTGGAAACAAAGTGAAGAGTGCGAGCCCTCCATTCATTCTTCCTCCACGGTTCTCTCCCCCAGATGCGGACGCGAGGTCACCTGTACCACAATCTCTCTGTATGGATGAAGCACGTGTCGGAGGACAAGCTCCAGGTGTACGTGGAGACCCTGGGTCTGCAGCAGTTCCAGCAGGATGTCCGGCCCCAGCGCCTGGCCCTCTGTCTGTCCCTAGTACGGGGGCTGGCACAGGCCATGGCCCTCCCCAACCCGCCCAACACCATCTGGGCCGTCCTGTGTACTACTACAGAGAAGATCTTCAACCTACTCCCCAACCACATACAGGCAGGGGAAATCTTTATTTTTAGACAAGTACACCTGTCAGTTATTCTTCTTAGTCAATCATACGACAAGGAATGGCTGGTGTGCGAGACTAGTGATCACTAAACATATTGAATATCGACCATGCACTGAGATGTATGTCCATGGTTTATTATAGGACCAAGAGGTGGACCTGTACGTGGGAGTCTCCAAATGTCTGTCTGAGTTGGCTGACACAGAGATCGACCGCATCGCCCAAGTCACAGAGGTACTGATGTCACCTCACCTCACGCGTCATTAAAATCAACCTTCTCCAAAACTAATGTCTTCTTCCTGCTGCTTTTCTATTTTGTCCAAATCGATCACATCCCTTCTTTGAGTGATATGTTGCTCTCTTGCCCCCTCTACAGGCTCAGATGGAAAAGACCGGCTTCATCCTGGCTCACCTCACCTCCCAGGGCCGAGTGCCACTCCTGGGCCTCAACGACGTCATCGCTGCCGTGCTCCGGGGTTGGTCCAGCCACAAAGTGGGCTGGCTCCTCCTGCAGACTTTCTACCAATGCCGTCTGGCCGCCAGCCCCAACACAGGTCAGCCCAGCAACCAATTAGCTTTCAGGGCTGGCGGATTTCAAAGTTGTGCTTGAACTGATCTGACCTTTAGACCTATAGAAGTGCCAAGGGGGGGGGGGTCAGGGGTATTTTCAAAGTTTTTGTAATATACTGCATAATTTATTGGTAATTCAAGTACTCCTAAAGTGTTTTTGTTCTAGCTGCAAAAGCACACGTGATTGAAATACTTATTAGTTGGATCACGTGTGCTTGTGCAGGTTTAGAATAACAACATGTAACGTCGAGGGTACTGGGGGACCAGCGTTGAGGAAACCCTGGTTAAAACAAGTACACTTTCTAGGTGTGTCCAAACGAATGGAGTGGCTTTTGGAGCTGATGGGACTCATAAGAAATGTTGCTTACGGAGTGACCTCTGTCAAATGTGGAGACACCAGGCAGGTCAGTACAGTATATTAACACTATTCTCAGAAACACATACACAGGTGCTGTGTTATTTCTGTGTATGTGTGTGCACGTGTGTGAACCTGTGTGAATTGATACACCGTCACATGGGATAGCTGGTATGTTTAGAGGTCACGTGCAGGTGAGATATTGGTACAGTGAGCTCCAAAGGTATTAGGACAGTAACTTTCTCACTCATCATTATTCCAGATTCTTTCAGGATTATCCGTAATCATGGTAGCATCCACATTAATGTAGACGTGTTTAGAAAAAGATTTATTCTTATTTACAATAAAAGTGACTCCAAAATGACAATTATTTACCATTCATTTCTATTGGGCATAAAATAATCTGAAACACAACCAAAACAAACAGCAATTGAATCCAACAAATGTGTAGTCACAAGCTTGATGTAGTCATTGCGTGCTATGAATATGGGACCAAATACTTAATATTTTACTATTTTAATACACATACAGTTCATTCTGAAAGTATTCAGACCCCTTCCCTTTTTCCACATTTTGTTACGTTACAGCCTTATTCTAAATTGGATTAAATAAATAAAAATCCTCATCAATCTACACACAATACCCCATAATGACCAAGCGAAAACAGGTTTTTAGAAATGTTTGCAAATGTATTACAAATAAAAAACAGAAATACCGTATAAAAAGTCAAGGGGTCTGAGTACTTTCTGAATGTACTGTATATTGTACATTTGTCCCAATACTTTTGGTCCCCTAAAATGTGTGGACTGTGTACATAAATTGCTGTAATTTCTGAACGGTTCACCCGATATGGATGAAAATACCCTCAAATTAAAGCTGACAGTCTGCACTTTCACCTCATAGACATTGTATCATTTCATACCCAAAGTGCTGGAGTACAGAGCCAAAACAACAACACATTTGTCCCAATACTCTTGGAGCTCACTGTATGTGCTGCAGGTCTGTAGTGAGTGGGTTCTGGCTGAATGGCTATTATTCAGGAATTACTTTGGAATGTCGACCCTCGTGAAAATGGTGTGATTTCTGACCTGCGTTCTATTTGTTAGCATTGGTATGCTTTTATAGTCTTTTAATCAGGAAGTCTATTTGTGTGTTGCATATACTTGGGCTGAATAACCTGGACTTCATTTCCCATCATCCTGTGCAGGCCACAGACTTCCTGCTCCAGGTATTTGCTGCGGCGGTGATCTCCTGGGGCGACCACACCATGCCCCTCCTTCTGGGCGTTAGGACCCAGTGGTTTCCATGGCAGCAGGGGTCAAAGCCGCCCGGTCTACCTCACGCCCTCTACGGTGACACCGCGCTGGCCGAGCAGTCAGTCTCACTATGCCTGTTGGGATTGCCCCACAGCCTGAGACAGCTATTGGCTAAAGAGCCCTGGAGGGAACAGTCACAGAAGGTAGGTCCCCAACCTCCACACATTGATCATTTTCTTTGTGTGATGACAATGAGGTTTACTATGTGGAAAGCGATAACAAAAGACACTACTACGCTCTAAACAAGATAAGAGATGAATAATGTCCGTGAATTGGTAGCAGACAGTTACCAATAAGTAAACTGTTTTTGTGTGTTTCTTAGTTCATAGATTGGCTTTTCAGCATCACTGAAGGTCCTGAAACTGGTCTGTCAGAGACTTCCATCAACACTGCCAAAGGTGAGACACAGCGCCACAAAGCTCAATGTCCAATTCATAATATGGTCATTTAGCAGACACTTTTATATGGCAAAATAGGAAGTACATGCAGTATTTCAAGGCAAAAGGGTGAGCACACTGGCTTTTCCCCCCCCCAAAACTAACATTGATGAAATGATTTTGGGCACTGACCATTCTCTACTTCTCTAAGTAGTGGTTTCTCACACCCCACCGTTTTTTCTCTAAGTAGTGGTTTCTCACACCCCACCGTTTTTTCTCTAAGTAGTGGTTTCTCACACCCCACCGATTTTTCTCTAAGTAGTGGTTCCTTACACCCCCCCGATCTTCTCTCCCTTTTCCGTACAGCTGCCTTGCTGGCTCTGAAGTCCTCCACGGAGTTCAAGAAAAAAGCGGTGTGGACGCGAGCGTACGGCTGGTAACCTGGGTCAACTTCCTGCTCTCCTCAGGGCTAACAGGAAGTGACGTCACAGCCATTTGGCCAAGCCTTCTTCAGCTGTGATGCTTCAAACACTCACTGCCTTGGTCTGCTTGTAGCAGTGTATTGTGGGCGGTATCCCAGGGCAGCAGCTGCGTATGGGTGGAGCCGCAGAGGTGACTTGGGGGTTAGGGGTGGATTTAGAAAGGGAGGAGAAGAATAATTCCCCCACTGAGCTGTCCTGCTTAAAACTAGAATCCTTAATTGTTTTGGTAAAAAGCTGAGGAATGGGCCTGAAGAAATGTAACCACTCTCAAATTCATAGACCGAGCTATGAATGCAAGGACTGACCATCCATGATATCAAAATTATAGTTTTAACCATGTTTTGAGGCTATACAGTGTTAGTTTACTTTTTTTTTTTTCTTTTACCAACATTAGAGTAAAACAAGCTTATATGTTGGGTTCTGATGAAGTACGACAATTGAACTAAGCTCACGAGGCAAGTTATATTCTTGAAGAATCAATGGGTATATATCAAAAATTGATGTAGCAACTAAGGATTCTAGCTTTAAAACTCCTGCCCTGTGGAAAGGCCCTGTGGAGATAGTCTAAAGACCCCAGTGCCTGCCCTGGCTTTAAGGTGGGCCATGAAACAACCTATTTTCCCCATGATAGTTTACAAGGCCTATATATAAGTAACCTGCCTTATCATTCCTGCCTATTGTACTGTGCAATTGTCTGCTTTAGTAACGTTATTGGAAAAAAAACACTTGTTGTGCAACCATGAGTTCCTCATTAAAACACTTGAGATGTTAACACGAACTGATTTTCTGATGTTTTGTTGATTTTAGACTGAGTGGTGCTTAGATTGGACACGAAGCCTTGGAAGAAAAGACCAGCAACTTTCTCAACTGAACACGTTTATAAACATTTTGGTTATCCAACTATTACATAAGTGTGACCTCATCAAAGTGATGTTGTGCAAAGAAGGCTTCTTAGGAAGATGTTGTTCTCGTTTGCTGTTGGGTAATCTTCTTAAATAACTGCCAAAGTACAACAATAAAACTCCAAATATAAAAGTAACTCCCAAAACGATATATCCTAAAATAAGAAATCCACCTCATTTCCGTTTCTTCATCTTATTCCACTTCCCAAGACGCAGTTTTCTCTCCCTCAGCGAATGCCACACTGTTACACAAGCCCCTAGAAAGACAAAAGGTTGACTCACAGTTAGCAGGTTTGTTTCTGGGCGGGGCAAGTAGTTGAATATAAAATATTCAGTACAGGAGCTACAGTGCTGTGAAAAATGATTTGCCTCCTTTTTGATTCTCTTATTTTTGTATATTTCTGACACTGAATGTTATCAGATGCGCAGTGCTGGAAAGATTTTTCGCATTGAGAGAGGAACTGTTGTCATTCACAATGGATACAAAATACTTAGTTTACTTTCTGTGTAATGAAAAGAAAATGTGTCTCCTTGCCTATGTAACAGACATTTGTGAAACTGAACGCAAGCATGCAGTTGTAGTCCTCCCGAGTGGCGCAGTGGTCATCGCAGTGCTAGCTGTGCCACTAGAGATCCTGGTTCGAATCCAGGCTCTGTCGTAGCCGGCCGCGACCGGGAGACCCATGGGACGGCGCACAATTGGCCCAGCGTCGTCCAGGGTAGGGGAGGGAATGGCCGGCAGGGATGTAGCTCAGTTGGTAGAGCATGGCATTTGCAACGCCAGGGTTGTGGGTTCGATTCCAGTATAAAAAAATAAAAATGTATGCACTCACTAACTGTAAGCCAGAGCGTCTGCTAAATGACTAAAAATGTAAATGCAGGGGAAATTCAAAAACATTCTACAGATCACCTCCCAACACTTGGAAGTTTCACTGTCATCCTGGCTCAGTTGACATGCCCATAAGTAAAATCGAACAGCTGATCGAGCTGTCATGTGACCGAATGAATTCACAGGTCACTAACGCTTCGGACACACCTACAGTGTTATTACATTTTTGTACACCAGAAGTATATTCATTTCCAATGGAACGCTGTGTTTGCATTTCAGCATTGCGTTGCAGAGGCAGTTGCAGTGCGTTTTGTGAGGTGCATATGTTGGATTTATCGAACGTATGCGTCAAACTGTATGTGTAAACGGGTTGACAGAAATGATAGCAGAAGGTGAATGTTGAACTTTGTTGCACACATATCTAAATGATGCTGAATACTATTTTGCGGAAAGACACAGTCGGTGTGTTAAAAGCGACAGAACGAGTTTTGGTTCCTGACTCAAATGGAATACCATGAGGTCTGCCTCTGAGCATTACATGAAAATTCCACCCAAAACCTATTTTTTGGTATTTGTTTCATTAGTTCATTGTTGACAAAGTCCCAAAATGTTTTGCTTGTCAGCAGTCAAGTTTTCAAGATATGTAACTTTCAAAATACAGAAATCATCACCATTCAAAACAACTGGGAACTGGGAACCCAGAAATCTCTGACTTCCGACTTCAGTGCGTTCAAGACAACTGGGAACTCTAAAAAAAACTAGAGGAAAAAATCATTTTGAACGGTCATCCAACTAGGTAATTCCAACTTGGGAACTCGGGCCTCTTTTTACATCTCAGACTTCCCGACTTGAAGATCACTGACGTCATGATTTGACCTAGTATCCAAGTTGTCTTGAAAGCACCATAAAACTCATGGTACCCTTCCCCAGCTCATATCTGTGTGAAGCTGTATTCAGTGCTCTCATCTGCATTAAAACCAAATAATGATCCAGGTTGGATGTGACAGCAGAGATGAGGTGCGCACTGTCGACCACGCCCCCTGACTTTGAGAAACACGGATGCGACATGCATCAAGTACACCCATCTCATTAGTGGTGGTGAGATAAGATACATTGTCAGACTAATTTGCAATTGACTGGCATAGCCCCACATTAAAAGTATGTGATAGTGAGAAGACAATCAGAAATACTGTTAGAATGTTTTTCAATTGACTGCCATAGCCCCAAATAAAAAAGTAAACATTGGCTGTTAATTACAGATTTTTTTTCACATGGTTGGTGTAATGAGAATTTTCAGATATCAAAATGGGGTCGTAGGCCAAAAAAGTTCAGGAACCCCTGGACTAGGCTATTCCAGAACTTTACATGTGTTGCTTTTGAGCCATTCTGATGTGTGTTTTGGATCATTGTCTTGCTGCATGACCCATCTGCGCTTCAGCTTCAGCTCACAGATGGATGGCCTGACATTCTCCTGTAGAATTCAATGATGGCAAGTCATCCAGGTCCTGAGGCAGCAAAGCATCCCCAAACCATCACACTACCACCACCATGCTTAACCATCGGTATGAGGTTCTTACTGTGGAATGCAGTGTTTTGTTTTCATCAGACATAATGGGACTCATTTAAGAAAGTAATTACAGAAAAATGCCCTTTTTGTAAATGGCTCTTCCAGTTTCATTCAGCCTGTGGCTTTAGGCTGTGCTAAGGAAGCTAAATCAGTTAACTTACCAACAGCCAGTAAAGGTAAGTATGCCTTCAGGAGGATAGGGAAATAAATGTGTGCAGACACAGGCAGGCTGAGCTGGAATGAGTATGTTCCCAGTGACTCAAAGTAAGGCAGTGATTGGTGAACGGTAATGCCTGGAAAAGACCAAAGCAGAAAGATTCTTCACAAACACTCTTCGATACACAAAATAGACAAAGTGGAAGGCAAAATTGCAAAAATGTCTATGGTCTACTGTTGAAACACAGAAGTTGTTTAGGCAAAACTCATGTACTCTGTACTGTCTAAAACACACACGCGCGCCTCTTGAAGTTGGAATGTGGCCCATTTCCTGACTTCGATATCTTGGTCAGCCTGCTGTGCCAACTCACTTCCTGTCTGCTCTAACTCTCGTTTCCTCACTACATGCAATGCCTGACACATCATCACCAACTGTAACAGTATAAAACAAGACACTGAGTGGAGATTAAAACATACCCAGTGAAAGTGAACTATTACATTTATCTATCTTCAATCCCCTCTATTTTTTTTATACTTCATTCTCTTTCAAGGGGAAATCGGCAGTTGCTACATACATTTTTGAAGTTGTAAATTCATTAAATAATACCTATTGATTCTTGAAAAATATAACTTAGAAATGCATCATGAGCTTAGTTCAACTGTCGTACCCCATCAGAACCCAAAATAGAAACTTGTTTTACTCCAATGTCTGTAAACAACAAATGTAAACAAACTCTGTATAGCCTCAAAACATGGTTCAAACGATAATTTTGAGATCATGGATGGTCAGTCCTTTTATCCATAGCTCTGTCTATAAATTTCAGAGTGGTTACATTTCTCCAACTGCATCCCTAATTTCTTTACTAAAACAGTGATGGGGCGTACGCTTTGTTTTTGTTTCAACTGCAGATTGCCGTAAGATGCAATGAGCCCTGAGTCTGTAGATAAAGAGTCAGTAATGAATCTGTCGGTCAGGAACTACATTCTGTGAGAGAAAAATAACATTCCAAGCAACCTATAAAACCACTGTTTAATGTTTACTGTTAAAGTATCGGTGTTACACCCTCAGTGTATAAAAACAGCAGGTTCATTCGGATTTCTTAGACAATTTTTTTTACTAACCATATTCACATCCCTGCAAGGATCTTTTTCAGAAACAAAAGGGGTGTATTTTAATAGTTTAAATAATCACTGAGCTGTGGCAATGAAATCTTACTGAGTGCACCTTATGTAAAATAATAGTAATGTATGAACCTTCTGTGATGACTGAGATGATGTAGATGGGGATGGACAGGGTGTATCGAGCCCACAGCATGCCAAAGGAATCCGTGCCCATCAAACAAAGGAGTACATGGGGGTACCTGCAAACGCCAATCAGAACCAAAAGTCAACCCATTACCACCCCTTAGAGAGGTGCACATTTTTGTTCCATCTTAACACTAGTTTCAAGTTTTAATGTCACGTGCACAAGAACAGTGAAATGCCTTTCTTGCAAGCTCACAACCCAAGAATGCAGTAATCAATATCAATGTAGCACTAAAAATGACATAAGGTAGAACAAAAACACACAAAAAATAAGAAATAAGAGAAAGTGAGAAGTTACAGTGTCTTCCATATTTTGTTGTGTTACAGCCTGAATGTAAAATGTATTAAATGTTTGTGTCACTGGCCTACACACATTACCCCATAATGTGGAAGTGGAATTATATTTTTCAAAATTTTTACAAATGAATTACAAATTAAAAGCTGAAATGTCTTGCATCAATAAATATTCAACCCCTTTGTTATGGCAAGTCTAAATAAGTTCAGGAGTAAAAATTTGCTCAACAAGTCACGAATAGTGTTTAACATGATTTTTGAATGACAACCTCATCTCTGTACCACACACATACAATTATCTGTAAGGTCTCTCAGTTGAGCAGTGAATTTCAAACACAGATTCAACCACAAAGACCAGGGAGGTTTACCAATGCCTTGCAAAGAAGGGCACCTATTGGTAGATGGGTAAAAAAATAAATCAGACATTGAATATCCCTTTGAGCATGGTGATGTTATTAATTACACTTTGAATGGTGTATCAATACACCCAGTCACTAAAAAGATACAGGCGTTCTTCCTAACTCAGTTGCCGGAGAGGAAGGAAACCGCTCAGGGATTTCACCATGAGGCCAATGGTGACTTTAAAACAGTTACAGAGGTTAATGGCTGTGATAGGAGAAAACTGAGGATGGATCAACAACATTGTAGTTACTCCACAATACTAACCTAACTGAAAAGAAGTCAGTAAAGAAGTAAGCCTGTACAAAATAAAAAATATTCCAAAACTGCACCTCAGCACCCCCTCCAGATCCTGGTTGACTCTCTTCGTCTGCCCATTCGACTGGGGATGGAAGCTGGAAGACAAGCTGATGGCGGCGCCGAGCCAGGTGGTGAACGCCTTCCAGAACCTGAATCCGACACCACATCTTGGGGAAGGCCGTGGACCTGGAAAACGTGCTGCACCACCAACTTAGCCGTCTCCCGGGCCGACGGGAGTTTGAGAAGGGGAATGAAGTGGGCAGCCGAAAACCGGTCCACAACGACCAGGATGACTGTGTATCCATCAGAGGAGGGTAGGGCGGAAATCCAGCGAGATGTGGGACCAGGGGTGCTTGGGGATAGGCAGGGGTCGGAGCAGCCCTGCCGCGGGCTGACGTGAGCTCTTTGTGTGTGCGCACACCGGGCAAGCAGCCACGAAGGCGCACGTATCCCCCTCAGCTGATGGCCACCAGAACCTTGTACATAAGAACTCCAACGTCCTGGCGCCCCCCGGATGTCTGGTGAGGTCGGACGCGTGCGCCCACTGAAGCAGTCGTGAGCGCGCTCTGACCAGCCTATCGATTCCCCACGAAACTGGGGCAGCAATCAGGGCGTTGGGACAATGGGGTCGTCCCTCTCCACCAGGTCCACTTTGTCGAACTGCCGGGAGAGCGCGTCAGGCTTAGTGTTCTTCGACCCCGGACGGTATGAGATTGTGTACCGGAACCTGGTGAAGAACAACGCCCACCTGGCCTGGCACGTTTTGAGCCTCTTTTCCCCCTGTATGTAGGCTAAGTTCTTATGGTCAGTCCATACGATGAATGGATGGGCAGCCCCCTCTAGCCAATCAAATCAAAAAAAAAAAAAATGGCCACATGCGCCAAATACAACAGGTGCAGACATTACAGTGAAATGCTTACTTACAGCCCTTAACCAACAGTGCATTTATTTGTAATAAAAAAGTAAAATAAAACAACAACAAAAAAGTGTTGAGAAAAAAAGAGCAGAAGTAAAATAAAATAACAGTAGGGAGGCTATATATACAGGGGGGTACCAGTGCAGAGTCAATGTGCGGGGGCACCGGCTAGTTGAGGTAGTTGAAGTAATATGTACATGTTGGTAGAGTTAAGGTGACTATGCATAAATAATTAACAGTGTAGCAGCAGCCTAAAAAGATGGGGTGGAGGTGGGGGGTGCAAATAGTCCGGTTAGCCATGATTAGCTGTTCAGGAGTCTTATGGCTTGGGGGTAGAAGCTGTTGAGAAGTCTTTTGGACCTAGACTTGGCACTCCGATACCGCTTGCCGTGCGGTAGCAGAGAGAACAGTCTATGACTAGGGTGGCTGGAGTCTTTGACAATTTTGAGGGCCTTCCTCTGACACCGCCTGGTATAGAGGTCCTGGATGGCAGGAAGCTTGGCCCCAGTGATGTACTGGGCCGTACGCACTACCCTCTGTAGTGCCTTGCGGTCGGAGGCCAAGCAGTTGCCATACCAGGCGGTGATGCAACCAATCAGGATGCTCTTGATGGTGCAGCTGTATAATTTTTTGAGGATCTGAGGACCCATGCCAAATCTTTTCAGTCTCCTGAAATAGGCTTTGTCGTGCCCTCTTCACGACTGTCTTGATGTGTTTGGACCATGATAGTTTGTTGGTGATGTGGACACCAAGGAACTTGAAGCTCTCAACCTGTTCCACTACAGCCCTGTCGATGAGAATGCCTCCACTCCCCCAGGGCGAGCTTGACCACTAGCAGCTCACGTATCCCCACGTCGTAATTCCACTTCGCCGGTGACAGCCGACAGGAAAAAAGTGTGCAGGGGTGAGTCTTACCGTCCGTGAGGAACCACTGGGACAGGATTGCTCCCACTGCAATGTCTGAAGCATCCACCTCCACAATGAACAGCAGGGACAGATCAGGATGACCTAGGACTGGGGCCAATGTAAAGCGCCGCTTAAGCGCATCAAATGTGTTCCCCACTTCCGGGGTCCAGGCGAAGGAACGCACGCTCGTCTGGGTGAGGGCTGTCAGGGGAGCAGCTAGGGAGCTGAAATTGCGAATAAATCTGCTATAAAAATTAGCAAATCTTAAAAACGTTGTAGTTGCTTGAGGGCTGGGGCCAATCCAGTATCGCGCTGACCTTGGCTGGGTCCATCAGTAGGTCCCCCTGGGTGACGATGAACCCTGTCTCCGTGTGGAACACGCAATTCTCCGCCTTGACGTAGAGCTGGGGATGGAGAAGGCGTTGGAGGACCTGCTAAACGTGCTGCTGGTGTTCACTCATGTCCTTTGAAAATATTAGGATGTCATCCAAATACACGAAGACGCTGTAGTCAAGGAGGTCCCGGAGCACGTCATTGACCAACACCTGGAACACCGCAGGAGCGTTGGATAGACTGAACGGCATGACTTGGTACTCGTAATGCCCACTGGGTGTGTTAAAAGCCGTCTTCCACTCATCCCCCTCCTGAATCCTCACCAGGTTGTAGGCATTTTGTAAGTCCAGCTTGGTGAAGACCCGGGCTCCCTGCAACGACTCGAATGCTGTCCTCATCAGGGGGAGTGGGTGGCGGTTCTTAACCGTGATGTCGTTGAGCGCCCGGTAATAAATGCACGGCCGCTGCCAACCGTCCTATTTCCCTACGAATAAGAAACCTGTGCCCACGGGATAGGTAGAGGGACGGATGTGACCCTCGACGAGTGCCTCGTTGATATATTCCCTCATGGCCAGCGTCTCCGGCCGGGACAAGGAAAACAATCGCCCTTGTGTGGGCATGGTGCCCGGCAGGAGATCGATAGCGCAGTCGTATGGCCTGTGAAGAGGTAGGCCCTTGGCACGCCTCTTACTAAACACCTCCCCAAGATCCCAATACTCCCGGGGAACGCCTGCCAGGTTTGGGCCGGTGACGGAGTCTGTAGCCGCCGTCCTCCCCGTGGCAACTGCCGCTAGGGCGGTAGGCGGTTCGGAGTGCGGGACCTGGGGGGGTCTGGTGGTAGGTGGTCTGGGATGGTGGTTTGGGCTGATGAGTGGTTGGTGGAGACCGGAACAGGACGGGGGCGGAGCCTCCCTCCAGGATGAGCCGCCCCGTAGACCAGTCTATTCGAGATTTGTGGGCAACCAGCCAGTGGTGCCCGAGGACGAGGGGACACACCGGAGTCCACAATGAAAAATGGGATATCCTCCCATAGCCCCCCTGCCACCCGGACATGCACAGGGACAGTGCGCTGGCTGATGAAGCCCGACCCCAACGGCCAGCCGTCCAGGTGGGGTTCCCGCGATGTCGCAGGTGAGACTGGAGACACCGCTACCGCGGCTTCTGCTTCGCCGGCTGGTTGGGTGTCCACCCGGCTCTGCATGGCAATAGGCAGCTGGCGGAGATTCTCTGTGATCTGCTGCAGGCTGCGGTCGTGCTGGGTCAGCATAGCTCCCTGCGTTGCCAATGCGCTGCAATACTGTGCTGCCTCCGCTGGGTCCATATTGGCTCTGTTTTCTGTAAGTGTTGGTGTGAGGTGTGACCCAGGTGCGGTGCAGGATAGACAGTAGGCAGTAGGCAGAGATGGTGAAACAAGGATCTTTACTGGTGGTCCCAAAACCAGGATACAAAATAACGGACTTGTCACAAAAAAATTAAGGAGGAGCAAATTGTTCTCCAAAAACAGGCTGACAGCAAACATACGAAATACTAACTATGACTGAAAACATCAATGAAACAGGGAGAACACTTCTCAAGTACCTGTACATACGTCTCGCGATCAGACACTGATTAGTACTGTTTGGTATCGCGAACTAGCAGAGAAAACAGAGCAAGGGAACATTGGGAAGTGAGGGCATAAATTACACAGGTGAACAGGTAGACACAGGTGACACCAATAAGATAATGATTAGTCAAGACTGTTAATGAGGAGGTGCCTAAGGAAGTCGGAGGATGACACCTAGTGGGTCGCTCCAGAACTACGACCCCCTCCTGTAACACAAAACATCTTGTTGCAAAAAGGCACTAAAGTAATACTGTAAAAAAATTGGCAAAGCAATTAACATTTTTTCCTGAAAACAAAGTGTTATGTTTGGCGCAAATCCAATCCAACACATTACTGAGTAACTCTCTCCATATTTTCAAGTATAGGTGTGGCTGCATCATGTTATGTTATGGGTATGCTTGCACCGGTACCCCCCTGTATATATAGCCTCCCTACTGTTATTTTATTTTACTTCTGCTCTATTTTTCTCAACACTTTTTTGTTGTTTTATTCTACTTTTATATTAAAAATAAATGCACTGTTGGTTAAGGGCTGTAAGTAAGCATTTCACTGTAATGTCTGCACCTGTTGTATTCGGCGCATGTGGCCAATACAATTTGATTTGATTTGATTTGCTTGTAATCGTTAAGGACTAGGGAACTTTTCAGGATAAAAAAGAAACAGAATGGAGCTAAGCAGAGGCAAAACCTGGTTCAGTCTGCATTCCACCAGACACTGGGAGATTAATTCACCTTTCAGCAGGACAATAACCTAAAACACAAGGCAAAATCTACACTGGAGTTGCTTACCAAGAAGACAGTGAATGTTCCTGAGTGGCCGAGTTACAGTTTCGACATAAATCTGCTCGAAAATCTATTTCAAGACCTTAAAATGGTCGTCCAGCAATGATCAATAACCAATTTGACAGAGCTTGAAGGATTTTGAAAAGAATAATGGGCAAATGTTGCACAATCCAGGTGTGAAAAGCTCTTAGAGACTTACCCAGAAAGACTCACAGCTGTAATCGCTGCCAAAGATGCTTCTACAAAGTATAGACTCAGTGGTGTGAATATTTATGTAAATGAGATATTTATGTATTTAATTTGCAAACATTTCTAAAAACATATTTTCACTTTGTCATTATGGGGTATTATATGTAGATGGGTGAGAAAAATAAATATTTAATCCATTTAGAATTTAGGCTTTAACACAACAAAATGTGGAATAAGTCAAGGGGTATGAATACTTTTTGAAGGGACTGTATGTATTCTGAACAAAAATATACATGCAACATGCACCAATTTCAAATATTTTACTGAGTTACAGTTCATATAAGGAAATCAATCAATTGAAATCAATTCATTAGGCCCTAATCTACGGATATCAAGACTGGGAATGCAGATATGCATCTGTTGGTCACAGACACCTTTAAAAAAAGTAGGGGTGTAGATCAGAAAACCAGTCAGTATCTGGTGTAACCACCATTTGTCTCATGCAGCGCGACACATCTCCTTCACATAGAGTTTATCAGGCAGTTGATTGTGGCCTGTGGAATGTTGTCCCACTTGATATTGGCGGGAACTGGAATATGCTGTCGTAAACGTCTATCCAGAGCATCCCAAACATGCTCAATGGGTGACATACAGTGGGGGAAAAAAGTATTTAGTCAGCCAACAATTGTGCAAGTTCTCCCACTTAAAAAGATGAGAGAGGCCTGTAATTTTCATCATAGGTACACATCAACTATGACAGACAAATTGAGGGAAAAAAATCCAGAAAATCACATTGTAGGATTTTTAATGAATTTTTTTGCAAATTATGGTGGAAAATAAGTATTTGGTCACCTACAAACAAGCAAGATTTCTGGCTCTCACAGACCTGTAACTTCTTCTTTAAGAGGCTCCTCTGTCCTCCACTCGTTACCTGTATTAATGGCACCTGTTTGAACTTGTTATCAGTATAAAAGACACCTGTCCACAACCTCAAAACAGTCACACTCCAAACTCCACTATGGCCAAGACCAAAGAGTTGTCAAAGGACAACAGAAACAAAATTGTAGACCTGCACCAGGCTGGGAAGACTGAATCTGCAATAGGTAAGCAGCTTGGTTTGAAGAAATCAACTGTGGGAGCAATTATTAGGAAATGGAAGACATACAAGACCACTGATAATCTCCCTCGATCTGGGGCTCCACGCAAGATCTCACCCCGTGGGGTCAAAATGATCACAAGAACGGTGAGCAAAAATCCCAGAACCACACGGGGGGACCTAGTGAATGACCTGCAGAGAGCTGGGACCAAAGTAACAAAGCCTTCCATCAGTAACACACTACGCCGCCAGGGACTCAAATCCTGCAGTGGAAGACGTGTCCCCCTGCTTAAGCCAGTACATGTCCAGGCCCGTCTGAAGTTTGCTAGAGTGCATTTGGATGATCCAGAAGAGGATTGGGAGAATGTCATATGGTCAGATGAAACCAAAATATAACTTTTTGGTAAAAACTCAACTCGTCGTGTTTGGAGGACAAAGAATGCTGAGTTGCATCCAAAGAACACCATACCTACTGTGAAGCATGGGGGTGGAAACATCATGCTTTGGGGCTGTTTTTCTGCAAAGGGACCAGGACGGCTGATCCGTGTAAAGGAAAGAATGAATGGGGCCATGTATCGTGAGATTTTGAGTGAAAACCTCCTTCCATCAGCAAGGGCATTGAAGATGAAACGTGGCTGGGTCTTTCAGCATGACAATGATCCCAAACACACCGCCCGGGCAACGAAGGAGTGGCTTCGTAAGAAGAATTTCAAGGTCCTGGAGTGGCCTAGCCAGTCTCCAAATCTCAACCCCATAGAAAATCTTTGGAGGGAGTTGAAAGTCCGTGTTGCCCAGCGACAGCCCCAAAACATCACTGCTCTAGAGGAGATCTGCATGGAGGAATGGGCCAAAATACCAGCAACAGTGTGTGAAAACCTTGTGAAGACTTACAGAAAACGTTTGACCTGTGTCATTGCCAACAAAGGGTATATAACAAAGTATTGAGAAACTTTTGTTATTGACCAAATACTTTATTTTCCACCATAATTTGCAAATAAATTCATTAAAAATCCTACAATATGATTTTCTGGATTTTTTTCCCTCATTTTGTCTGTCATAGTTGACGTGTACCTATGATGAAAATTACAGGCCTCTCTCATATTTTTAAGTGGGAGAACTTGCACAATTGGTGGCTGACTAAATACTTTTTTCCCCACTGTATCTGGTGAGTATGCAGGCCATGGAAGAACAGGGACATTTTCAGCTCCCAGGAATTGTGTACAGATCCTTGCGACATGGGGACGTGCATTATCATGCTGAAACATGAGGTGATAGCGTCGGATGAATGGCACGACAATGGGCCTCAGGATCTTGTCACGGTATCTCTGTTGAATACTTATCTAATCAAGATATTACATTTTACATTTTACATTTTAGTCATTTAGCAGACGCTCTTATCCAGAGCGACTTACAGTTAGTGAATACATATTTTTTTTATACTGGCCCCCCGTGGGAATCGAACCCACAACCCTGGCGTTGCAAACGCCATGCTCTATCAACTGAGCTACATCCCTGCCGGCCATTCCCTCCCCTACCCTGGACGACGCTGGGCCAATTGTGCGCCGCCCGGTCGCGACAGAGCCTGGATTCGAACCAGGATCTCTAGTGGCACAGTTAGCACTGCGATGCAGTGCCTTAGACCACTGCGCCACTCAGGAGTACTAAGATATATTAGTGTTTTATTTTTCATAAATGTTTTACAAATGTTAGAAGTTTTCTTCCAGTTTGACATTACAGAGTATTTTGTGTAGATCGTTGACAAAAAAAAAACAATTAAATCAATTTTAATCCCACTTTGTCACACAACAAAATGTGGAAAAAGTCAAGGGTTGTGAATTCAAGGTCAACTCAGACAGTCCGTGTAGGCATTCTGTTAGCTATTTAAAAGTCTTATGGCTTGGGGATAGAAGCTGTTCAGGAGCCTGTTGGTGTCAGACTTGATGCACCGGTACCACTTGCTGTGCGGAAGCAGAGAGAACAGTCTATGGCTTAGGTGGCTGGAGTCTTTAACGATTTTCCGGGCCTTCCTTTTACAGCGCCTCATATAGTGGGCTGCCCGCACCACCCTCTGTAGCGCCTTCTTCACAACTGTGCCTGTAGTCCACGATCATCTCCTTGGTTTTACTGAGGTTGAGGGAAAAGGTTGTTGTCCTGGCACCATACTGCCAGGTCAACACACCTGTTCCAGCCTAACTAATCGAGGGCTTGGTGAATAGTTGAATCAGATGTTAGTGATGGGTTAGGACAAAAATGTACAACCAAAACCCTTTTTTTGTTTTAGTTCCAATGAAACATACATACCTTAACAGATCTAGAATATTCCACAGGTAAAACTGTGCACACACAACTGGTTTACTCTGGACCTCCTCTTGACTGATTATCACCATAAACAGTAGGAAGTTTTTCGTCATAACCTGGACAGGGAAATGTTGGCATTAGACTACTTTTGAGGTCTTTGATATTGGCGTTAACTACTACCACAGGAGTCGTTGGGGACATACTGTGCTTTCCAAAATGACATAGCGCATCACTTACAGTGGGGAAAAAAAGTATTTAGTCAGCCACCAATTGTGCAAGTTCTCCCACTTAAAAAGATGAGAGAGGCCTGTAATTTTCATCATAGGTACACGTCAACTATGACAGACAAATTGAGAAAGAAAATTCCAGAAAATCACATTGTAGGATTTTTAATGAATTTATTTGCAAATTATGGTGGAAAATAAGTATTTGGTCACCTACAAACAAGCAAGATTTCTGGCTCTCACAGACCTGTAACTTCTTCTTTAAGAGGCTCCTCTGTCCTTCACCCGTTACCTGTATTAATGGCACATGTTTGAACTTGTTATCAGTATAAAAGACACCTGTCCACAACCTCAAACAGTCACACTCCAAACTCCACTATGGCCAAGACCAAAGAGCTGTCAAAGGACACCAGAAACAAAATTGTAGACCTGCACCAGGCTGGGAAGACTGAATCTGCAATAGGTAAGCAGCTTGGTTTGAAGAAATCAACTGTGGGAGCAATTATTAGGAAATGGAAGACATACAAGACCACTGATAATCTACCTCGATCTGGGGCTTCGCGCAAGATCTCATCCCGTGGGGTAAAAATGATCACAAGAACGGTGAGCAAAAATCCCAGAACCACACGGGGGGACCTAGTGAATGACCTGCAGAGAGCTGGGACCAAAGTAACAAAGCCTACCATCAGTAACACACTACGCCGCCAGGGACTCAAATCCTGCAGTGAAAGATGTGTCCCCCTGCTTAAGCCAGTACATGTCCAGGCCCGTCTGAAGTTTGCTAGAGTGCATTTGGATGATCCAGAAGAGGATTGGGAGAATGTCATATGGTCAGATGAAACCAAAATAGAACTTTTTGGTAAAAACTCAACTCGTTGTGTTTAGAGGACAAAGAATGCTGAGTTGCATCCAAAGAACACCATACCTACTGTGAAGCATGGGGGTGGAAACATCATGCTTTGAGGCTGTTTTTCTGCAAAGGGACCAGGACGACTGATCCGTGTAAAGGAAAGAATGAATGGGGCCATGTATCGTGAGATTTTGAGTGAAAACCTCCTTCCATCAGCAAGGGCATTGAAGATGAAACGTGGCTGGGTCTTTCAGCATGACAATGATCCCAAACACACCGCCCGGGCAACGAAGGAGTGGCTTCGTAAGAAGCATTTCAAGGTCCTGGAGTGGCCTAGACAGTCTCCAGATCTCAACCCCATAGAAAATCTTTGGAGGGAGTTGAAAGTCTGTGTTGCCCAGCGACAGCCCCAAAACATCACTGCTCTAGAGGAGATCTGCATGGAGGAATGGGCCAAAATACCAGCAACAGTGTGTGAAAACCTTGTGAACACTTACAGAAAACGTTTGACCTGTGTCATTGCCAACAAAGGGTATATAACAAAGTATTGAGAAACTTTTGTTATTGACCAAATACTTATTTTCCACCATAATTTGCAAATAAATTCATTAAAAATCCTACAATGTGATTTTCTGGATTTCTTTTTCTCATTTTGTCTGTCATAGTTGACGTGTACCTATGATGAAAATTACAGGCCTCTCTCATCTTTTTAAGTGGGAGAACTTGCACAATTGGTGGCTGACTAAATACTTTTTTCCCCCACTGTATCTCCATTTGTTGCTTGCACAGTCACGTACAGTCATGTACACACCAAACAGGACCACTAATCAGAGATGAATTGCTCTAACTGGTCCTATTTTGTCAGTGAAAATCCTCAATTAATGGAAGAAGTGTACACTTTGTATTATTTGAACAGGGCCCAAACTCCAAAGAGTCAGAACACAGTGTTAGGCTTGGCAGTGGCACATACTTGAACAAACCGTGGAAGAAGGCATCCCTTCTCGATCCCATCAGCGATGTGGAAAAGCTCCAGCATGGACAACAGCTGGCATAGACTCATCACAACCCCCACAGCATAGAAGGTGTCAGCTAGCGCGTCTGGAAAACAACAACATTCAGTTAGTGTTCGTGCTTTACCTGTCATACTGCATTATACAGTCTTGTAAAGCATTTATGAATAGGCTCTTGAGTCTAGACCAGGGATGGGCAACTACAGGTAGCCCGCAGCAGTTTTTCTCTTGTTATGTCAGTCACTGACAGCCACTCAATTAGCCCATGTCAGCTAATAATTTTTAGATTGGTAAGTTAGTCTACACTCTTAGAAAAAAAGGTGCTAAGTAGGGTTCTTCGGTTTGTCCCCATAGGGGAACCATTTTTGGTGCTAGGTAGAACCCTTTGGCAAAATTTGTAGAATTGCATGAAATTTGTTATAAAATTGAAAAATCTTCTCTCCGCTCCATGACAAAATGTGTAGAATTGCAGCAAACTTGCTTTAAAATAGCAAAATTCAAAAACCGAAAACCATTTCTCTCTGCTGTCAAGAGGGGGGCTGCTAAAATGTTTTGCTCTCAAGGTGGGGGGAAGGGCCCACCAACAATATTTAGCCAAAAGGCTAAGGCCGGCTCTGACTGCATGTGTGTGAATGAATGAAGGAACATAAAGATGTGCTCTGAGTAATAGTGCAGTAATGTGTACTTGAAGTACAGGCTTTACCGGCATTTAAAGCGCACTTCCGGGTTTTCCGATCACAAGTATCAAGTGTGAGTGGTCTAAGGCACTGCATCGCAGTGCTAACTGTGCCACTAGAGATCCTGGTTCGAATCCAGGCTCTGTCGCAGCCGGCCGCGACCGGGAGACTCATGGGCGACGCACAATTGGCCCAGCGTTGTCCAGGGTAGGGGAGGGAATGGCCGGCAGGGATGTAGCTCAGTTGATAGAGCATGGCGTTTGCAACGCCAGGGTTGTGGGTTCGATTCCCACGGGGGGCCAGTATAAAAAAAATATGTATTCACTAACTGTAAGTCGCTCTGGATAAGAGCGTCTGCTAAATGACAAAAAAAAAAAAAGATAAAACATACGAATACGAGTATCATGAGATCGGCACACCCCTAGCAGACCCCTGCCTCCACCCCCATCAAAGTTGCCCATCCCTGGTCTAGACTATCCAGGTTTGCTGTTTTGACTATGATCTTGACAATTTACCTCCACCAAATGTGAGAAACCTGGCTGTCATGTTTGCAAATATCCATGTGTGCCCACAGAACTGAAGCAGGTTATACAGGAAAAGGTAAGCAAGTCTCATGCTGAGCCTAGAAAAGAAAATAATACACACTAATACCAGAAAAAAATAATGATATGCATACCTTCCACAATAATGTATCTTTTACAGTATTTAACATAATAATAGCTCATAACAATACAACATAACATTAATTATTAAAATTAATAATAATAATGAATTATCTTTATTTTATTACAATAATTATAAGAATCATATTTTCCTTCTTTTGCAATAAAACAAATCATTATACAGTCTACTACACGACTCAATTCTTAACTTTGTCTTATGCTTTCCTAAAACTCCTCAACAAGTCTTGACAAATCCTGTTGTGGTTAATCCCTTAAATTTAGGCTACTGAAAAGAATGTTCACAGTCACATAAAGCCCATCGACTAGTGTTTTTAACCATTAGGTGATTTTCTATGCAGTTTTGTGAAAAGGGGAAGTCCCCTACATAAACATAACCTAAAGTTTCTCCAAGTAGACGTCTCTGCGGCCAATGCACACACTGCAAATTCTTATTTCAATCCGAGGTGGGGTAAAACAAAGCTTTGTGTCCTTACCTCATTTCACCTGGAAACGAAGGACGAAAAATAAAATGATGTAGTAAAGTTGTTTCCTGTCCTTTTGGAAATCCCAAATTCGAGGAAGTCGACATCTCTTTCATGCAAGTGCAACTATCTGACGTCAAGGAGGTTGGTCGGATATTCAGTAATGTTTGGTGATTTTTCCTCCTTAAAAAGTTCTGATGATGCCGATTCTGTACGCGAACTATGGCGCTTGTGTGACGTTATCTATTCCTCTACCTAAAATATGATATAAATCAATGGTCCATAAATATGATAAATAAAACAAACAGTAAATCACATTTTGGATGAAAATGAATTAAACTAGAATTCAATCATACCTGCGGATCAGAAGTCTGCTTTGTTACAATGCTGCATGGATAAACATAAATCCGTGTGTTCAGAGTCAGACAGTGGTGTTATTGTATGCGGAGTCAGACCACCGCCCAGTTCACTACATTGATGTCAGAAGTGGGAAGACACGGCACGGCCAAAGAGTGAGCAGACCCATTAAGGCAGGGTTCTTCAATTCCGGTCCTGGAGGGCCGAAACACTTCTGTTTTTTATTTCTACCTGGTAGTTAATTGCACTCACCTGGTGTCCCAGGTCTGAATTAGCCCCTGATTAGAAGGAGAGGATGAAAAACAGAGGTGTTTCGGCCCTCCAGGACCGGAATTGAAGAACCCTGCATTAAGGGGTTTGAGAGAATGTTGAGGTGTGGGAATGCACTAGCCTACCTAAGGGAACCTGGCACACCTGTTATGCATCTTTCCCAGTGGTTTCAGTTGCTGATTTCTGACAATCTGTCAGATATGGGGAATAATGCCCTCTAGTGGTTCATTTTGTACAAGGGTATTCAAATTCAGGCCTTGAGGTCTTCACATCACTGGTTTTCAACCTTACTCCATAATCTGGTTTTAAACCATACCCTGTAAACCAACCCCATCTAACTTGATTTAAAGTACTTGAAGTAAAACGTTAAACAACTTTGGTCATTTGTTTGATATTACAGGACTAGGTAATCCAGACATCTCCACAAAGTCAACTTTCGGCTCATATAGTGTATGGAATGAATCCATGTGACCAACATGTTGTGCCTCCCCCACCGTGGGTGTAACAGAAGCCATGCAGCCTGCCACTCTGACACCTCAGGATCCGGGTGCGAACAGCACCCACAGGGTCCAACCAAATCAAATCAAATGTTATTTGTCACATGCTTCGTAAACCACAGTTGTAGTCTAACAGTAAAATGCTTACTTACGGGCCCTTCTCAACAATGAAGAGAGAAAGAAAATAGAGAATTAATAGAAAAGTAATAACACGTAATAATAAACGTAATAATAAATACACAATGAGTAACCATAACTTGGCTATATACACAGGGTACCATTACCGAGGCGATGTGCTGGGGTACGAGGTAATTGAGGTAGATATGTACATATAACTAGGAATAAAGTGACTAGGCAACAGGATAGATAATTAACAGTAGCAGCAGCGTATGTGATGAGTCAAAAAAGGTAGTGCAAAAAGGGTCAATGCAGATAGTCCGGGTAGCTATTTGGTTAACTATTTAACTAACTCTTTAACAGTCCTATGGCTTGGGGGTAGAAGCTGTTCAGGGTCCTGTTGGTTCCAGACTTGGTGCATCGGTACCGCTTGCCATGCGGTAGCAGAGAGAACAGTCTATGACTTGTGTGGCTGCAGTCTTTGACAATTGTTTGGGCCTTCCTCTGACACCACCTGGTATAGAGGTCCTGGATGGCAGGAAGCTTGGCCTCAGTGATGTACCGGGCCGTATACACTACCCTCTGTAAAGCCTTGCGGTCTCTGACCTCCTCCTTATAGGCTGTCTCATTGTCGTTAGTGATCAGGCCTACCACCGTCATGTCATCTGCAAACTTAATGATGGTGTTGGAGTCGTGCGCGGCCACGCAGTTGTGGGTGAACAGAGAGTACAGGAGGAGACTAAGCACGCACCCCTGAGGGCCCCATATGTTAAGGGTCAGCGTGGTGGATTTGTTGTTGCCTACCCTCACCACCTGGGGGCGGCCCGTCAGGAAGTCCAGGATCCAGTTGCAGAGCGGGTGTTCAGTCCCAGAGTCCTTAGCTTAGTGATGAGCTTGGAGGACACTATGATGTTGAATGCTGAGCTGTAGTCAATGAACAGCATTCTCACATAGGTGTTCCTCTTGTTCAGGTGCGAGAGGGCAGTGTGGAGATTGTGTCAACTGTGGATCTGTTGGGGCGGTATGCAAATTAAGGTGGGTCCAGGGTGTCTGGGATAATGGTGTTGATGTGAGCCATGACCAGCCTTTCAAAGCATTTCATGGCTACGGGGTGAGTGCTACGGGGTGATAGTCATTTAGACAGGTACTTTGCCGTTCTTGGGCACAGGGACTATGGTGGTCAGTATTACATACTGGGTCAGGTTGAGGTTGAAAATCTCAGTGAATACACTTGCCAGCTGGTCAGCGCATGCTCTGACTACGCGTTCTGGTAATCCTTCTGACCCTGCGGCCTTGTGAATGTTAACCTGTTTAAAGGTCTTACTCACATTGGCTACGGAGAGCGTGATCACACAGTCGTCCGGAACAGCTGGTGCTCTCATGCATGGTTCAGTGTTGCTTGCCTCGAAGCGAGCATAGAAGGCATTTAGCACGTCTGGTAGGCTCGTGTCACTGGGCAGTTAATGTCTGGGTTTCTCTTTGTAATCCGTGATAGTTTGCCCTGCCACATCCGACGAGCATCAGAGCCGGCGTAGTAGGATTCAATTGTAGTCCTGTATTGATACTTTACCTGTTTGATGGCTCGTCGGAGGTCATAGCAGGATTTCTTATAAGCGTCCGGATTAGTGTCCCGCGCCGTGAAAGCGGCAGCTCTAGCCTTTAGCTCAGTGCGGATGTTGCCTGTAATCCATGAGTTCTGGTTGGGATATGTATGTACGGTCACTGAGGGGATGACGTCGTCGATGCACTTATTAATGAAGCCGGTGACTGATGTGGTAAACTCCTCAATGCCATTGGATGAATCCTGGAACATTTTCCAGTCTGTGCTAGAGAAACAGTCCTGTAGCTTAGCATCCACTTCACCGGACCACTTCCGTATTAAGCGCGTCACTGGGACTTCCTGTTTAAGTTTTTGCTTGTAAGCAGGAATCAGGAGGATAGAGTTATGGTCAGATTTGCCAGATGGAGGGCAAGGGAGAGCTTTGTATGCGTTTCTGTGTGTGGAGTAAAGGTCATCTAGAGTTTTGTCGCCTCTAGTTGCACAGGTGACATGCTGGTAGAAATTAGGTAAGACGGAGTTCAGTTTGACTGCAATAAAATCACTGTCCACTAGGAGTGCCTCCTCTGGATGAGCATTTTCTTGTTTGCTTGTGGCCCAAACAGTTCATAGAGTGTACTTAGTGCCAGCATCGGTTTGTTGTGGTAAATAGACAGCTATTAGACACCAGGGTTGGGTAGTGGTTGTGATGGTGGGGGTGGGGGTTCGAGTTAATGGTGTGTGGTAGAAAAGAAACACTGGAGCCTGTAGGGAGCGACCCTGCATGCCTGGCATGGTTAAGAGTATTGATGACAGCTCACTATAGCTCGCGTTGCATGTTTTAAAGATACAGGCCCTCTATTACTGCAGAAGAGTAACAGCCAACGATTTCTGTTTTTCAGATCACACAAACATCTCATTGACAGGGCTTTAGTAAAGTAGGATTGTCTGTTGGGACTGGGTAGAGTTTCCCACCATATAGGAAGGTCAAAGTTTGCCGTTTTTAGATGCCGATGTCTCTGTCTGAGCTGACTCTGCCACAGTGCACAGATGAAGAAATGCCTTGTTGAAGGGGGACGTTAGGACGCTCTCCACACAATTCCAAACCAAGCGTCTTCATGTCAATATGACTGCCTACAATATGATTGATTATCTTACACTTTACTATTTACCTGATGTTTACTTTGAAAAAATAGGTAAGATAGTTATTACATAATAAGTGTCTAGTATTTACTGTTTTGTTTGTTTGTGATGAATTCAAATAATACATATTTAGTACCATTTGGTAGCAGGTATATAGCTACCAACTGTCTTGAATTCCTCAAAGTAGGATATGATATGTATTTTTGTAAATACCAGGCAAACACCCTGTATCTCAACTGGCAGTTTAGTTTATGACCTTACAGATACAGTATACAGTATGAACACATGCCCTGTATTGCAGTTGCCAAAAATTCATAAAATGTGACTCCAGAGTCTAAGGTTACCCAACCATAATTTTCTTAGAATAAAAAGACCCTCATCAAAATGGATTGCTAGATGGACCAAGCGAGAATCATGTTTCTGTGAAAACATATTCTGTTTTCAGGGCCCCATTACAACCACTAGGCACCAGCCCTTAATATAGTTATCTGTAGAGAACCGAAGAAGCCTGGTTGCTAACGGACAGCCCTTCATATTGCAACAAACCTGGTGCCCCAAGGAGGCCTGGGAAATACAACCCAATGAGCTCTGTGTTGTCAGGGCAGGTGACTAAAGAGATGCCCAGTGTCTGCTCAGATCTGCCAGCCAACCAAACCGCTACCAATGTTTTCCATTGCCTCCCAACTTAATCCTAGACCTAGAGGTATGTGGCCTTTGTGGAATGGGTCAATTCAAGGCTATTCAGGAAATTAAAAATAAAATAATTGTATTCATCATGTACACAGTTACAGCATGTATTAAAGGTGCAGTGAAATGTTTGCATGCTATCTCCCTCAACATTACAGTACAATAATCAATATCAATAATAAAAAAAGTCAAATATCAAGTAATTAGAAGAAGGTAGTATGCAAAGAAAGTAATAAACTAATATGTACATAATAGGATACACAGAATAGATTATGAATGTGCTATGTCAAGTATAACTGTATTTACAAATATATAGTGGGTAGTGTCTTGGTAGCGCAGTTAAATCTATAGTATATACTAGATAAGCAGCGTTGAATGTGTGTGTGTCAAATAGGGTGTGCTTATATTTGTCCTGTTTCACTGCATGTACAAGTGGGAGGTGTGAAATGGAAATGTGTTTTTTTTCACATCCCAACTCCCCCTGAGACACCCTTGGAGAGTGGGGTCACAGCCAGGGATCAGCCATTATTGACGGCGACGCTAGAGCAATTATGGTTAAGTGCCTTGCACAAGGGCAGATTGACACATTTTTCACTTTGTCGGCTCAGGGATTCGGACTAGCAACCTTTCGGTTACTGGCCCAACGCTACCTGCCACAGTTGTGTGTGTGTGTGTGTGTGTGTAAGGGTTGGGGAGAGGGTTTGCAAATAGTCTCTAGGTGTAGATAGTCTTTAAAGATGGAATCCGCAGTAGGGGACCCTATAACATCTTCAAAAGTTAAAACATTTTCAAACAGTGATTTTCAAACACTATGAGATTCATGGTGGCGTGGGGAGCAAGAAAATACCCTCCCTCTGGCTAAAAACTAATTGCAGGTTTTGAAAATCACTGTTTTCTACTTTTAATCATACCCTGTGATGTCACAGAGAAGCATTTTTTAGG